GTTCTTAGATAAATATGGTAATTTATTTGGGTTTCAAATATATGGGACGGGTTTAGACCCTGGGACAATATTGTTTATAGGGATAGAGACTGATACGGTAACCTCCCAAACTCATCAAGTATACCATTCCTTTTATGAAGAGATGAGCATAGATAATAAGATCCCCCATAATGCTAAAAACTTGTTCATTGATTTAGCCGAGAGTATTGCCGGTAGTCTTAATGTTACCAACTGCTATGTGTGTGGAGGTACTAACATGGGAGACCAATGGCCTTGGGAAGCAAAGGAGGTAATGTCCGGTTCTAAGGCAGTTGACCAATTAATATCTATACAAGCCGACTATCATATGAGTGTTAGAGGTAAATCTGAGTGGAGATTGAAGACCTCCATCATAGGTTATGTTTGCATAGCGAGGAAAGGAATGATGTATAATACTTCTGTAGGAGAATTAACTTGTCTAGGGCAAAAAGCTTATGATGATGATACAAAGAATACAACTTGGTGGTCGGCTTCAAATGTCTCAGAACCATCTAACCCGTTTGCAAGATATGCCAATTTAAAGGACGTATGGTTTGATCTATCCATCACATCTAACTGGAGAGCCCCAGCGAATTTGTACTGGATCTGTGGTAAGAAGGCCTATTCGGAGTTACCACAGGACTGGGAAGGGGCATGTGTGTTGGGTATGTTGAAACCATCCTTCTTCTTGTTGCCTATTGAAACAGGTGAGACTTTAGGTGTTAAAGTGTATGATGTGAATCATAGGAAGAAAAGGGGACCCATAGAGATAGGTGCCTGGGAAGATAATGAATGGCCTCCCCAGCGTATTATAGATTATTATGGGCCAGCCACGTGGGCAGAGGATGGTACCTTTGGTTATAGAACCCCTATTTATATGCTCAACCGCATTATAAGGTTACAGGCGGTGGTTGAGATCATTACTAACGAGACATCACAAGCGCTCAATCTTCTAGCGAAGCATAATACCAGGATGAGGACAGCAGTTTACCAAAATAGATTAGCCTTGGATTATCTTTTGGCAGTAGAGGGAGGTGTATGTGGGAAGTTTAACCTGAGCAATTGCTGTCTTCAAATAGATGACGAAGGGCAAGCAATAGCTGAGCTTACTAGCCATATGGTTAAACTAGCGCATGTGCCTACTCAGGTATGGAAAGGGTACAATCCAAGTAGTTGGTTTGGTAGCTGGTATGAGTGGTTTGGAGGGCTTAAGGCAGTGGTAGGTGGAGTCCTACTGATTTTAATGTTGTGTCTACTCCTGCCGTGTCTTATACCCTTAGTAGTTAGGTCTGTGCAAAGCCTGATAGAAAATATAGCAGAGAGGAAGGCTGCTGCACAGATAATGGCAATTTATAAATATAAGGCTCTAGATCAGGGAGAACCAATGCAGGAAGACGAGTGTTGAAGATTCACATCATAGGATAAGTCTGGTCTGGTTCAAAGGTAACTTGTGGTGTATGTAAACCAAGGTTAAGTGATGCCTCAAGTAATTGTAAAATATCAAGAGGCATCAAAGGGGGGAATGTGGTGGAATCTCGGTAAAAATAAATTTAGTAGGCCGAGATTACCACATGGCATGTGTACGTGCATATGCTGACGTATCGATCAGTTGGTTGCACGAGGCAAGATACGATCAGTAGTGTACGGAGCATGTGCAAGAATACAGGATGTAGTATTCCCCTCCTCCATTGTGCTGGACAAGCCATGCGGTCAAGCAGGAAGTTAATTCTTATTTGTAATGATTGGTCAAGAGAATGTGCGGGTGGAGCTTAATATGGGAGGAGTTATGTGCCTATATAGGGAGCCTGCACCATTGTTCAGGGCTCAGAACTTGCTGTATTTTTGGTGACATTAGTCCCTCTGAGTCCCGATCGGTGATCCAATAAAGAATCTCTTCCTTCCTGAAGAAACCTGTGTCCATCCCTCTGTGCTTTGCTTCCGTCAGTTTCTCCGGTATCAGAGACACTTTAAGAATAATCAGTAAACTACTAACCTATGTTTGGGGGAGAGTTATTGTTGCCAAACAGAAGGATACTTATAAGGCTAAGCAGAAAGTGAAGCACATCTGAAATTGATAATTACTTCTTCAGTGATTAACTCAGGAGAGTTTTGTTAACACTGTAGCCCCCAAAAATACAATCATTATTTTGGAAATATAGGCTCCCTTATGACCACCCACCTCCCCTGCCTTTGACATTTAAAAATAAAAGCGCTACGGAATATGTTGGTGCTATATAAATGGCAGTAATAGATAATAGTACTGGTAGTACTGGGACTCCACTCATAGAGAAGCAATGGATTGGAAATAGACATGTGCAGTAAAACATTGCACTCCTCCAATGAAATGCTGCTATTAGCAGCATTTTATTACTGGGCTGAGTTTTATAGGGTTATTTATTAAAGGCAGAATTCAACGTGAATTTAAAGTGAATTTCAAATTTAAGGCCATAATAGTTGAACTGGAAAAATTCAGCTCAAAAAAGGCAGCTATGCTTCCAGTTCAGCTACCTAAGCTTTAAATTTGAAATTCACCTTAGTGAATAACCCTGTAAAATCGGTCGGGGGGGAGAAAGAGCCTCTAGTTGCGGTCAGGAAGATAGCCGCTAGAGGTGTATTTAACCCCGCAACGCAGGAAGACGGCCGCTAGAGGTGTATTTAACCATGCAACGCAGGAAGATGGCCGCTAGAGGTGGATTTTACCATGCAACGCAGGAAGACGGCCGCTAGAGGTGGATTTAAGCATGCAACGCAGGAAGACGGCCACTAGAAGTGGATTTAACCATGCAACGCAGGAAGACGGCCGCTAGAGGTGGATTTAACCATACAACGCAGGAAGACGGCCACTAGAGGTGGATTTAACCATGCAAAGCAGGAAGACGGCGGCTAGAGGTGGATTTAACCATGCAACGCAGGAAGACTGCTGCTAGAGGTGGATTTAACCATGCAACGCAGGAAGACGGCCGCTAGAGGTGGATTTAACCATGCAACGCAGGAAGACGGCGGCTAGAGGTGGATTTAACCATGCAACGCAGGAAGACTGCCGCTAGAGGTGGATTTAACCATGCAACGCAGGAAGACAGCCGCTAGAGGTGGATTTAACCATGCAACGCAGGAAGACAGCCGCTAGAGGTGGATTTAACCATGCAAAGCAAACATTACAGTTTCTAAAAAAACTTCAATGTTTTACAAGGCAGGGCTAAAATGATGGGACCACTGCATCTAGACCACTTCATTGAAATCAAGTGGTCTGAGTGACTCTAGTATTGATGGCACCCAGAGGACTTCTTCTTCAATGAAGTGGTATTGGTGCAGTGCCCCTGTCTTTTAAAACCTGCAATGTAAAACATAACCGTTCTGTAGGAACCTTATGTTTACATTGCAGGGTTATAGGAACACTCCAGGAACCAAAACAACTTAATGTAACTGAAGTTGTTATAGTGCCAGGAGGTGGAACGGTTTAACCCCTAAGATGCCTCCAGCGCAAGTCTCCACTCTTCCCCTGGTGGCTTCCGGCTTCTGAATTTTAAGATTCAGGAAGCGCGGAGTGCTGCCGAGTAGAGGCGCCGCTGATTGGTTGAGAGCGGTCAGAATAAGCTCTCAGACAATCAGTGACTCCCCATTCACTATGCTGGCTTGCAAAAGGTACATTTCTGCTAAGACTGTCAGGGTCAGTCAGTAAAGTGAGAAGTCCAGAACAGCCGAAAGCATAGCTGACTTAGAGAATATTTCCAGTTCAGCTATTTAACCTTACGTTTACTTTGCATTCAGCTTGAATTCTCACTTTATTGAATAACCCTGTAAGTACCAGAGCTCTGTCAGATTTATTCAGAAATACTCTGAATTTTAGTGAATTAAAGTTGAATTGTATAATTCAGGCTATATTTGTGGATTTGGAGAAATTGTATATAAGAAAAAGTACATGCCCAAAAGGTGCTGCCAACTTTAATTTTCATTTACTTTTTTTTCCATCTAGACACAAAATTCAGTGTTTAGTGAATAACTAATGACAGGTTTAGTTCAGATACCAGTAATATATGTAAAAAAAAAAAAAAAAAAATTTAAATACAAATGTCCTCACCCCAGGAGTCCCCATAGGTGGGTTCTCTGATATCTGAAGACTATCAGGAGAAATATCTGGATTTTATCAAGTAGATAAAAAGTATAACTTTATTTAATCTAACTTGCCTATAATAAAAGAAAACCGGAGCTGGAAGGACACAAAGATAGAGATTCACCCTCACCATGCACGTTTTGTTTTCCTTTTATACATACATAGAGTCAAAGTGCAATGAAAACCAAATTGCTAAATTTAAAAAAAATATCTCAGTTATGATGCAAAAATGGCCGATCAGGATACTTTCTCTATTTTTTTTTCCATTTAATTTGCAAACCATGTTTGTGCGTATTCGATAAGTAAACAGAAAATTGTAATTAATAAAAATCCAAGCCGCAATAGCGGAAACCTTTAACATTTGGACGTCATTATTGAGAAGATGTACAGGCTATTGAATAACTTTATTCACTAAATTGAGAATACAAACAGGATTATTTACTAAAGCTACAATTGTTAACAATTCAAAGTTAAATTTAAAATTTAAGGCAAAAAAAAAAAAAGTCCAAGCTGGGAAACAAAAAAAATAAAAAATCTGTATTTTATATCTAATATCTAAAATAATATATTGCAGTTCAACTACTTTGGCTTTAAATTTAAAATCCCCAAGATTCTCACTTTACTAAATATCTCTATTTAGTAAATAGAGCACCCTAAAAGGCTCAGATTACTGTCACCATGGTAACAAGTAAAAGCTTGGCCAGGGATCTGCTCTACATGGCTGTGTTATTATCACGTGGTACAAGCAGTACTTTTTCTTTTTTTTCTTCAATCAACTTTATGTGTCAGAAACACGAAATCCCTTCTTCGCCATCTTCCGTCGAGAGGCACTCTGCGGACGGTGGCCGGGAAGTAAAAGTTCGTTTTCATCATGGCGGCTCACTTGAAAAAACGCGTCTATGAGGAATTTACTAAAGTGGTGCAGGTGAGACAAACCAATAGTAAATTATTATGCTGTCTGACCTCTCTCTTTGTTATCTGTCATCTCCATGCCCCACCAGTCCAGGAAAGCCATTTCCCTTAAAGGCTATTAAATAAATGTGTAGAGAAATTTGGAAGTAAAGTAAGGCGTGAATATAGTGGACTTTAACCCCCAATAATTCTGCAGTTAACTAATTGTGGAGAGTTGTAATTAGCAACTTCATCTCTGCAATCTCTGAAAATTGATCAGTTCACTTCTAATGCTCATTATTATTACTTTCTTATTATTTACATTATTATGCTCAGCCACTGCCTAAGAGCAGGAATGTCAAAGAGGTTCTTGTCCACTGTATGTAGACTTTAATATTCTGCAGGAGGGGAGCAAAATAAAGTAATAATTCACAGATATAATAATACATGTAATATTTTATTTTAAAAAATTAACTTTGTGTTTTCTGTAATAAAGGCGGTTTCTTTTGTCTCCCTTTGTTATTTTATTAATGGTATGTACTTTTTTTTTTTTTAATTAATAGGGAGCTACTGACTGGCTCACAGCATTAGCTGAACTCTCTAAGCCAATAAGCGGCGCCCCCTGCCTGATGCTGCTTGTGCCTTCCTTACTAAAAATGTAAAAAAAGCTAATGGACAGGGGGCAGAGCGAAACTGCACTGGAGCACAGGCTTGTACAGTTCGTAAACAGTTTGAAGTAGCGCTGTCATCGAATTTGCAAAGACACCCCCCAGTTTGAAGTAGCGCTGTCACTGAATTTGCAAAGACCCCCCTTTCCCCAACAGTGAAATCGTTGCTGGGGGGGTAGCAGGTAAAAGTAAGATTTACTTACCTGAACCTGTCCCTTGTGGGTGCAGACATCTTCCCCTTTCTGCTCCTCTTCAATAGCACCAGGAGCAGGGTACGGTATTGAGATCTGTGGAGGATCCCGCGAGAATATGGGATGCTCCGTAGACCGAGCTAATTCCCTGCAGCCGTCACTTGTGATGACTGTCGAGATTTACTCGGTAGCTCTGCCCAAAGTCTAAAAAGTCAGGCTTAGTAAATATACAGAGACAAAGTAGTTCCTACTGTCTCTATAGTTCTCTTGACTGGGTTGGAATTACAGTCAAAATTTGTATTTCAAAAAGTTAAACTTAATTGAACTTAAAGAACCACAAATGTACCCAGACTGCTTTTTCTCAATGAAGTAGTGTGGGTTCTGTGGCCCTGTCCTTTTAACACTGCTGCAATGTAATACATACTTACATTGCAGGGTTATATCCACCTCTAGTGGTTGTTTTGTAGAAACTGCAGTTGTTTTCATTGCAGGGTTAAAGGGATTCTGATGAGGCAATCTTACCTGATCCTCCTCCCTGGTGCTAATCTTCTGATATGCTTCTGTAACATCAACCTCTGATCTGCCCCTGTTCCTAACTAATTTGCCCTGCTTGGGGAATCGCTGGATAAGGAGATACCATAGCAACCACAGCGCACTCTGTGGAAGGTTCCTTTTCTGTCCCTGTCAATCAATTATTTGGCATAAAGTTTATGCCAAAAAATTGATTGACAGGTGGTAGTAAAACCTATTTTAAACTTTTATTTCCCCAATCTATCTAATTGCCAGCAAAACTACTGGCACAATGTATAGATGGAATTGCATTCTCTTTAAACAGACATAAGTAGCTTGGGGAGTGTTTTATTTTTCATTTTAGAAAAAGTGCAGGTTTCAATAGCAATTGACAGTTTTATAAATTAAAAGAACACTGGAGGGTCAGGAACGCAAACATGTATTCCTGACCCTTTAATGTTAAAACCACCATCTAGACTCCACCTCGACTGGCACCCCTTGCCTTCCTAAATATAGTAAAAATCTTACTAGTATTCAAGCTGCTGCCTCTGACCTTGAGCTGTCTGCTTGGCTGACATAATCAGAAGTTATTCTGTGAGACAATCACAATGCTTTCCCATAGGATTGGCTGAGACTGTCAAGGAGGCAGATCAGGGGCAGAGCCAGCACAAGTCAAACACAGCCCTGGCCAATCAGCATCTCCTCATAGAGATAAATTGAATCAATGCATCACTATGAAGAAAATTCAGTGTCTCCATGCAGAGGGTGGAGACACTGAATGGCAGCAGCACTGCCCCAGGAAACACCTGTAGCAGCCATTTGAGGAGTGGCCAGTGGAGGTGTCCCTATGCTGTAATGTAAACACTGCATTTGCTCTGAAAACACAGTGTTTATTGCAAAAAGCATGAAGGGACTGATTATACTCAGCAAAACAAATTCAATACGCTGTAGTTGTGCTGGTGACTACAGTGTCCCTTTAACCTTATTACACCCCTCTTGCTGTTAATCAGAGAACCACTGCTTGGTTGTTTAGTCCAGTGGAGCTAAACTCGAGGCAACAATTTCTCAGAGCACCTGCCTTGCAAAGACTTCTCATTGAGCTGCATTGGGAAGTCTGTGATTGGACAGCCACAGAAAGTCTTGGCGGGGTTATAAGAGGAGGGCTTGCAAAGACTTCAGACAACAGATCTTCAGTATTTGCAAACTGTTTTGAGATATATTTCCAATAAAAAAAGTGAAATAAAATGCATGCAGGTTTTTATTGGGGTTATTTCCACTATAACAGTTGGTGTTTTTTGTTTGTGTGTATTTGGTCAGTGGAGTGTCTCTTTAAAAGTTCCAAACCTAAAGTCAGTGCCATTTTATGCCTCATGAGTGTAACAAAATTCTGTTTATCTTGTTCGTGAATAAAACGTGTTGACTCGTATTGCTAATTTTTGATTGAACTGATAATGCAAGACTGAAACACCTCTTTATTTCTTTTTAGAAATGTGAACTTAACATTTTTTTTTCTTTTTCAATAAATACATAGCAGCAGCCACTTGAGGAGCTTCAAGCAAAGAAACTAAGACTTACAAAGCCTAGTAAATCAGCTGCTCTCCACGTTGATTTATGCAAGGCTACATCTCCTGCCGATGCCTTGCAGTTCCTTTTGCAGTTTGCACGCAAACCAGTGGAAGCAGACAGTGTGGAGGGAGTTGTCAGAATCCTGCTGGAGTATTACTATAAGGTACGAAAATCTACCAGGATGCAAATTAATCCAAAAAAATAGCAAAGAATTACCAGGTGAACATTAATCCAAAGGCGTTTTAAAAATTCAGCATCATAACAGGATCAAGGAACATTGGCCTTGATTTGATAGTTTTGGAGTCATGTCTAAAATGTTTTAATATAGAGATATATTTTTATAATGTATATTTTAGTGTAAGTAGGAAGAGTGTGTTAGGTTGCTGGTTAAGTGTAAGTATATATTTTATTATATTTTAATATTTTTTTGTTGAATAGTTTTGGAACAACTTTAAATCACTTGAAAAGCTTATCCAAAAATATAAAAAGTTAGTCTATGTTCTAATAAAATATATTATTTTCATATGCGAGTCATAAAGGCCACAGGCATTAAAAGGGACACTACAGTCATCAGAACAACTACAGCTTATTGTAGTTGCTCTGGTGAGTAATCATTCCCTGCAGGCATTTTCATGTAATCACTGACTTTTCAGGGAAAAAAACAGTATTTACATTACTCCCTAGGGACACTTCCTGGAAGTGTCCCTAGGGGCAATGTAAATACTGCCCTTTATCTGCAGTTCAGGGTTTCCATAGATGCATTTGTTCTGCTACCTGGGCAGAAGTGGTGACACGGCTGTAGTTGGGGGACAAGAGTTGTCTGTGGATTGGACGCAAGCCGCGAGCCTGAGAAGCACGGGTAGCCAGGTAAGAATAAATGTTGGCAGTGCAAACACAACTCCTGACAGCTTTCCAGGAGAGAGGCAGGGTGTACGGACCCCGCTCTCCCACCCATTTTTCTTAAGTTATTTCTATATTTTAATTGTCATGGTGTTTTACAGGGAGGAGGGGGCTGTGACACAGGGAAGGGAGGAGGGGGCTGTGACACAGGGAAGGGAGGGAGGGGGCTGTGACACAGGAAGGGAGGAGGGGCTGTGACACAGGGACACAAGGGAGGAGGGGGCTGTGACACAGGAAGGGAGGAGGGGGCTGTGACACAAGGAGGAGGGGGCTGTGACACAGGGAGGAGGGGGCTCTGACACAGGGAGGAGCGGGCTGTGACACAGGGCTGTGACACAGGGAGGAGCGGGCTGTGACACAGGGAGGAGCGGGCTGTGACACAGGGAGGAGGGGGCTGTGACACAGGGAAGGGAGGAGGGGGCTGTGACACAGGGAAGGGGGGCAAATATTGCCTACCATACATATAGGTTTTATCATTATTTTCCATTTTTATTTAAGAAATTAGTAAAGCAATTGTTCACATAGTGAAAAACAACCCTCCCTCCCAATGAAAAAAACAAAACATAGATGTCAAGCTTTGATTAATTCAATAGTATATAGAGGACTTGTGCAAAAATGAGTTTGAGCTAGTTTATCCGAACCAATTTCTCTTTTAATACACATATTAACAAATTGTTCCATCAGGATTTTCCGCCGGAGTTCTATTCATTTGATAAGACTCTACACTTAAATCCTGGGTGGAACCATTAATTCAAGCATGGCTTGAAAGGCATTTAATTTGTTCGTACCAGCTGACATACCAGTTCTTCAGTTTTTTATACCGTGTTAATAACTATTATTTTCACATCCCTGGTTTATTAGATATATAAATTGGTTTCTACAGACAAAGCCACAGATGTAGTAGACAGCATAACAAGTGTTAATTTGTAATACAACTTTTCTATGCCTGCCTTCCCTTGTAGGAAAATGACAGCTCCGTCAGGCTGAAGATTGCATCTCTACTCGGACTGTTATCAAGGACTTCTGGATTTTGCCCAGATTCTATTGTGGATGATGTGATCAATATTCTTCAAAACGAAAGTACATTTTCTATATGATAAAATTAATGTGTAGCTGTTTTGTTTTTTTGTTTGTTTTGTTTTTTAAAATGTAATCTATTATATTTTCTTCCTTGCTATCTTTTAGAGTCTCACCAAGTGCTTGCCCAGCTCCTTGACACCTTGCTAGAAATCGGAATTAAGCTGCAGGAGAATATTCTTGTTCGTGTGAGACTATTAGATGTGGCCTACAAGGTACCTAAGATTCTGTTTGAAGGGTGCTCTCTATAATAACTGGATGTTGCATCGAGAAACTATCAATGCCACTAAAAGTGATTTATGGTGCATGCTGTTTTATGGTCACTGGGAAATGTGTTGTGATTGTTAAAATTGTACCCACAGTTATTAACTGATGTAGATACTGGGTTTACTATTTCTAGCCTTGACTGCTACAGTTGCAGCTGTGTACACGTGCTTTATATATTGAGAATCTATTATATAGGTCTATTTATACCAGGATATCAAGGTTAAAGGGACACAATAGGTAAAACTACTTTTGCTTAAAGGAACACTATAAAACCAGGAATACAAATGTGTTAAACACATTATTTTGCCCCCTCCCTTACCACTATTAAATAAGGTAAAAACATACTTTTATTTCAATACCACAAGTGTCCACTGGCCGCGCCCCAGATCCTTGGCTGAGATCATCAGAATCGATGATCTCAGCTGCGCCAATCAGCATCTCCTCATAGAGATGCATTAGTTCAGCGTCTCCATGCAAAGCTTTGGAAACACCTTTAATGGCCATCTGAGTGGCTGCCACTAGAGGTGTGCCTAGGCAGTAATCTTTTTTTTCCCTTAAAAGGCAGTGTTTGCATGAAAATTCCTGCATGGACATAATATGCTCACCAGAGCAACCGCATTAAGTTTGTTTATGTTAATGCAATCCTAGCCACACCTCCTCTGGCAGTGACTGAAACAGCGTGAAAAAGTGGTTCACTTTTCAATCAGATGTTAACTTGAGTTAAAAGTTTTTATCGCCAACTCTGTAAATGGAACCTTAATCACATACACGGTGCTCCTGCAGGCTATTATTCTAGAAGGCTATTAACAGTGCAGGAAATAAGAAATTAACCAGAATGCAATAAGGGAAGTTAAAACATTAGATCTCTCTTTACAGGAAGTATTTACGAAGGCTGTGTAAGTCACATGCAGGGAGGTGTGACCAGGACTGCATAAACAATGTGATTTAACTCTTACATGCCAAGGAATTGAGCAGTGAGACTGCATGGGAAATGATCTATACAGTAAAAAGGCTTCATTAAGCTAAAGTTGTTGGGTGTGTGTATAGTGTCCCTTAAATTCACTGGGAATTGAGTCTCTAATAAAGGCCTTAATTTAATAAGCTTTCCAAATGATTCAATACTGTTAGAATTTTTTTCCAAATTATTTATCTATAGAAGTCACAATTAAAGTATATGGGAATTCTTGTTGATAAATCATTTGGAAGGTTTTCCTAAACCTATTGAATCGTTTGATTTGGAAAGCTTATTAGATTGAGGCCAAAGTATATTCTGATAATAAGCAATTTTACACAACAATCCTCCGTTTTATTGAAGTTCCTGTGATGTTCACTATCTTCTGCAAAAAGTTATACAGTTACAAGTTACTTAGAAATTGCATCTACATTGCATGAAAACTTGTACAGTCTGTGGATGCATAGCTTCCCGTGTGATGTATTTCAATATGAAATTGCCTTTTTATATTTTATTAGAACTAGAACAATTAACATGTAATCAAATAGACTTGGAAAAGAGGAGGTTTTTGCACTATTACCGAAGCAAGAAGCTGATTCTGTAGCATCCCTTTTTAAAATGGCTTTATTAAATAAGCAGATGGTAATTAAATAATAATTTTGAGTAGGATCTCCCTTTTTGAAAATTGTCACAGTAAATGGTTACTTATTCTATTGAATCTACAGCTTCTTTCTGACACTTCACATGGTGTCAGGAACAAATGTCTTCAGCTGATTGGATGCCTTGGGGCTGTAGATAAAAATACTACAAAGGAATCAGAAAATGCTGCAGGCAAAGACGTTCAAAAGATAATTGGGGATTACTTTGGTGATCAGGACCCTCGTGTCAGGACTGCTGCAATTAAAGCCATGGTAAATATGCATGCTTACAATCTGTATTGTGCTGCTCATTGTTTTGTGTATACCGTGTTTACAATATCTCCTATGATCAGGATATAAAGGCTCAGTCAAATAGATTAAAGAAGGGACACCTTAAAGGGACACTCCAGGCACCCAGACCACTTCTGCCCATTGGAGTGGTCTGGGTGCCAACTCACACTACTCTTAACCCTGCAAGTATAATTATTGCAGTTTTTTTATAAACTGCAATAATTACCTTGCAGGGTTAACTCCACCTCTAGTGGCTGTCTAGTAAACAGCCACTAGAGGGCACTTCCTGGTTCCTAGTACAGGAAACCTGTGCCAGAGCGTCGCTCATTTCCCCATAGGAAATTTTCAATACTTTCATATGGGGAGCGCTAATGTGCATGCGCGGCATTGCCGCGCATGTGCATTAGGTCTCCCCGGCCAGTGGGCGGGATCAGTCTCGCCCACCGGCCGACGCAGTCAGAAGGAGGAGCGGCAGCAGAGGAGGAAGCAGCGACGAGGGACATTGTCGCTGCTTCAGGTAAGTTACTGAAGGGGTTTTCACCCCTTCAGCAACCAGGGGTTGGGGGGTGGGAGGGAGAGGGAATCTGCAGTGCCAGGAAAACGGATTGTTTTTCTGACACTGGAGTTTCCCTTTAAAGACACAACTTCTGGAATAAAAGGCAATCATGACGGAATATTTCCTTCATGTGTCATTAAGGGGTTAAAGGGATACTAAAGTCACCCAACGGATACAAAATCTCAATTAAGTGGACTGAGGGCACTGGCTCTTTAATTTTAACCGTACAGTATAAAGCATTGCAGTTTTATAGAAACTGCACTGTTTGCATTGCAGGGTTAAATCCACCTCTAGTGGCTGTCTTCCTGACAGCCACACGAGGTGCCTCCTCTGCACTGACCGACCAAAACTCGGTCACGTGACACAGAAGCAAACTGAAGCCAATATTTTTGGTGTTGAATAATTTTAAAGCTGGTTAAGGGTTCCTGGTCATCGACTGCCCTGCCCCAACTCAAGGCATGACTAAGGCAGAGATCACATACTGCCTTAACCATACCAATTAATACCAGCAATGTGTGTCTGTGATAGGCTGCAAGCGGTAAGCTGACACTCTCAGCCAATCAATGCCACCCATTGCTTCTCAGGCTAATGCTTCCTCATTAGCCCAAGCAGCACAGAGGAAATGGGCTGCTGCTGACTCTCATTTAGCATTTGATCATTAAAAAACAGTTTAACATGGAATGGCGTTACGGAACTCCAGGCACTGTCGCTACTTTAATGATATGAAGCAATTCTATTTAACCAAAAGTGAAATTTGTGAAGTCCAAAGGGTTAAAAATGTATTTTAAGGGAAACTATTCCCCCTTTGTGTTTTGTTGCATTTTATTTATTTAATAATGAGGCTGTTATATTATGTTCCTTGTGTCCACAATGCTTTCCTGTGATTTGATTGGAAACAAACCAAAACAAATAAGGCCGATTTGTGCTGGGGAATAAAAAGTGACAGATCAGCTTAGCTGCAGAAAGCAATATCTGCTAAGAAAATGTATGATTTTAGGCAGTTAGGAAATGAAGTTTGGAAAACTAACAAATGCACATTTTAGCTACAAATGCATTTTGTAACAGAGACCTTCCGTTTTAGTGAAGGCTTTCTATTTGTAGACCTAAGAATAATCAACACAAGGGGAACAATGTTAAATGCAATGATGAGATGTCTGTATAAATTACCGTATTAAACTACATTTATAAAATAATTTATTTTATGAAAATCTTTGTTCCAGCTACAACTTCATGAACGAGGACTGAAATTACAACAAGCAATGTATGGTCAGGTATAGAATTCTCTCTTTGCCAAAATTTGTAACTGTGATTGTACTTCCAGGTCATGTGTAGTCGTTCTTTAATTTGCCAAATAGTGTAATGTTGATCATTTTCCTTTGTCTGTACAATCCGTGAAGGACCAAAATGCCTGTAAAACAGATAGAGAACAAACGTGATGCAGATTAAAGATAGTTACATGGTTCTTGCTGGTTGCAGTTACAAATGTTTGAATGTTTTTGTTTTTAAAAGTTTATGTTTTAAAAAAATATATAAATATAGGCTTTATATGTGTGTGTGTATTCTGTAGTTGTGTGCACACCGCACAAGGAAGCAGGCTCCTTAGAGAATTTAGCCAAACTATACTTGCAGGGAAGAATGCATACTTTGTGTGCAGCTGTATGTAATAGATTAAGGATTTGTGTCTGTGTTTGTGGATGGCAATACGGATTTGTGTGCATTCACGTGTGGCAGTACAGTACCTTAACAGACCAGCCATCTCAACCACAACAAATAATTGTGCACTTGCCACTTGATGTGGACCAGGCCAGCAACAATCTGGGATTAAGCAAGTTATTACCTGGACTCTAACTTGTCTCTCTATCTTGAGATGGATAGCCACAGACTGCATTAAGTTCTTAGGGAGCTGCCTTAAAGGGAAACTCTAGTGGAAATATGCCTCTCTCCGTATAATACTGAGCTCAGCTTGCAATTGGTGCTATAAGTGGCACCGAGAGCATATCACAAATGCCATTTATTAAAGCAGTAAGTAATATGTCCAGGTCCCATGGATTCCTCCTTCCAATTTTTTTCTTAATAAAAAGTTTAAGGTGTGAGTACTTCTGTGTAATTCCCTGCCTTCTCAATGTTTCGCAAAGTTGTAAAACGTAAAGTTCGTGAGAATTAAAGAAGGTATTTGTGGCCTGCTTAAGTTACTCTCAATGTGTTATAAGGTTATCCTGCCTACACCTCAAGACTGTATACTTTATGGCTCGTTGGATCTACTTTTTAGTGGGATATAGGTTTTCTTTTTCTTTTCGTAGTTCCTCAAACTGTTAATCAAGGTGCATACTGTCAAATATTGCACATCCTCTGCGCAGGATATTATTTTATTGCTGTTACAATGTGGTGTTTTTCTATACATGTCCTACTGTATTACATTGTGACATAGCAATAAAATTCAATTTACAAAAAAAAACCTTAAAAAAAATTAAGCTTTTTCCATAGCCCACCTCTTACTAGCGTATTAGGTTTGCAACTACATGTGTTCTACAGATAAATAAAACAAAGAAACATAATCACATGCCAAAGCGACAAGTTTTGTTTAAGATAAGAACGACAACTCCAAGGTGTATACATATGTGTAGCAAGCCCTGCTTGGAACACGGCGCACCTCATGTGTGCGTTAAATTACTGTGGAACGAAAATGAAACTACAGACTTTAAATGGAGAACTACGATTTAGCATGCGTTGCATTGAAGGTAAGGAAAAATAAAAATGGAAAGCAAATGCTCTGCCTTTCTTCCACACTAGACTGAGGACATCCTTGCCCTAAAACATACTGCCAATAGGTTACAGTCTCCCCAACTAGGAATCCTACATTTGAGCCCCCTATGTAGTAATAAAGAAAATAAAAAGCTGTGTGACTGCATAATCGAACAGCCGGTTGGAGTGACTGTCAAGTACTGTGCAACATGTGTAGTTGCCTACCTAGCAAGTTCGTAATGGATGGGTTATGGGGATGGGGGGTGTTACATTTTAAAAGCTTTGCAGGACCTACCAACTAGTTGAGATGGAAGTAACTACCCAGGGTTAAGTACTGTTACTTCTATGCTCAGAGCGGGAGATTATTGTGCTCTCTTATTTGTCTGTGTGTACGTTGACTGGGGTGAGAATGTAACCGTCTCATACACTTCAGTGAAAATGCTGGGAAAAAGCAGTTCAGAGATTAATGACACCTATGCAGAAGAGCCAAAGACACCGTGCAAAGCACATCATCATAATACAAAAATGTCGGCTTAGTGCTGAGTATGATGGGCCAGTTTGGTATTAAATAACACAGCGTGACAGTCGTGTGTTTTTGTTTGCATCTTCTATTCCTATACCAGTTCTTCTGTACATTTGTAATGTGTTTTTGATTTCCTTCTTGTTCCTTCTGTCTGTCCAGGCCTGTAAGCTGTTGTCTGATGATTATGAACAAGTCCGTAGTGCCGCAGTGCAGCTGACTTGGGTGTTAAGCCAGATTTATCCTGAAAGGTAATATTTCTGCGGAAATCCATAATTCCTTTTGCTGTCAAATTTGAGAAGTCCGATTTTTGCTATTCAGACATATCTATCATGTGGTGTTTTGCTATAATGCTAGGTCTTTCTGAAAAGAATCTCAGTGCAGCTCTTGTTTAAACATGTTGACATTTAAAATAATTTTGCTTTCCTTCTGGTCACCTTACTACAATATAATTGTAAAGCCATTGTATGATTCTAGCAGGGCAATATATTGGGTGAATTATTTGTTAAACAGTTAAGTGTGGTCAGTTGCCAAGACAAACACATGTTGAGTCAAAGTGGCACTCAATGGGAAATTCTCCAACATAACTCTTTTGGCTAGCATTTCCCCACTTTGTTCTCAAGTAACTAATATGTGAAAACTAGTGTTCTTTTTTTAAATAACTATTGATTTTTGTTTACATAATGATACCCTGTATTTGTAATATTGCTTTGTCTATTAACATATTTTCCTTGTTTCTCCATTCTTCTTCTTCATGTTTCTTTGAACATATTTTGAAACTTGCTATCCTATACTAACTTGGCCATGATTTGTATTTTTATGATTTCTATACTGGGCTGGGATTGTCTGTTCTTCCTGGCCCTATGCAATAACCTGAGACAGAGGGATGTGCGTGCATAATATCATTTTTGTCTACTCAGCATCGTGCCTATCCCTTCATCCAATGAAGAGATCCGTCTTGTTGATGATGCTTTTGGAAAAGTGTGTCACATGGCTAGCGATGGCTCCTGGGTGGTCAGAGTCCAGGCCTGCAAACTTCTGGTGAGATATCACTAATTTAACAATGGAAATTATGGGATTGTTCAACTTTTAGCATATAGCCTGAGAGCTTGGGTGTTTAATAAAATATGTTTCCTAGCTTTCTGAATCCGTTTCTGTAAATTTTGAATATTTTAGTTTGTTAGTTATCCAGTCCTGCATAATATGTTTCTATATTTAAAAGAAACCAATAATAATTACAAAATACTCATTGGTTAAAGTCCTGATTGGTAAACTTTAGCTAAAGTCCTGATTGATAAACTTTAGCAATTTTTCAATCTGTTCTTCTCATGCGGGACAATACACCCATTGTGGAACCATTTTCACAATGTAGTGTTCTAGTTAATGCTCTTTGTCTGGAATACATTCTAGATGTTGTACAATATTGCAGTTACTGTGGAATAACAAAGCATATTTTTGTTTCCAACCTTTTGAGATGTGGTTTGATGCAGCAGGTTCTGCAGAATGATCCCTAGCTGAAAAGGCTTAGAGTCTGAGTAGACTATTGTAGGTTCTCTGAGATTTCTCCTGGCAGATTTGCTAATAAACATTGGAGATAAAGTAGAATACAGCTGATTGTATGGGATACCTTTTTGCTGGTGTTATGAAATGCCACCTGGTTGGTAAGGTTTAGAAATGTGGTAGAACCCTGCAGGTTTTATGGGATGTCTCTTTGTAGATAAGCTATGTTGTAGGACAGAGCAGGTTCTGTAGAAAAGTCGATGCTTATATTGCTGCCTAATGCAATCTGTAGTGAATGTCACTTGGACAGCCACTAGAGGGACTTACTGGATGTGGTCCTGCAAAGATTGAGTCAATGCATCTCTATTAGGAGATGGTGATTGATGCAGTGTTGTGATTGCCATGCAAGCTCAATCCCTACGGGAAGCATCAGTAATGATGATCTTTGCCAGGGGAGGAGTCTCTGCTTTGGCGAGATCAGTGCGCCAGGAGAAATAAGATGAGTAAAACTATTTTCTTACTTCTATTATGGCTGGTATAAAATGCAAATGAGCACAGGCATGTTTGTATTCCTAATGCTAGAGTGTTTCATTCTGGCTTCACTATCAACTTGCAGACTGAAATCACTGATTTGGTTTTGTGAAGATGTTCAATAATACGGTATTTGTAGACCAGAGTCTAAGAAAATACTCTGTGTCTTAAGATAAAATGATCTCTACCATAATCTTGTTGTTTCTGTATTTTCAAGGGGTCCATGCAGCAGGTTAGTCCCCACTTCTTGGAGCAGACTCTGGACAAGAAATTAATGTCAGACCTTAGAGTAAGTATTACCCTGAATGCATCTTACAATGGATGCAATGTTTTTGCACATCATGCTCGAGAGCTTCCAACTTCACAAATAATATGAAAGGATGGTGGTTTTACTAGTCCTCATTGTTCAGACATAATCTTACAAATGGCAAATAGAATTAATACATTTTTCATGCAGTTTAACTTTTAGAGCCATAGTGTATAATATTCTGCACTATTTAAAATGTAGTTGAAACTGGTTATATTTAATGTATAGTTGTTTTAATTTACCGAATATATTCAGTATCCAAACTATATTTGAATAATCATATGCTGTAAAATTGAATGTGCAATATTTTTCTTCTTGCTTACAATAAATGGGATTCTTGGGAATTTTAGTGACACCATCCTCTCACTTGTATGTATATTGTAAAAGATTTCTGTATGCAATTATTCGAGTGCATGTTCTCTACCCAGCGGAAGCGGACTGCACATGAACGTGCTAAAGAACTCTACAGCTCTGGGGAGTTTTCAAGTGGCCGAAAATGGGGAGATGACACCCCCAAAGAAGAGCTAGATACAGGAGCTGTCAACCTTATTGAGTCCGGAGCATGTGGAGCTTTTGTTCACGGTCTGGAAGATGAGATGTATGGTATGGAAAACAGTGTTAATTGCACACTCACTAATTTCCTTCTCTTTAATCACTAGAGTTATGTTTAACTACCTGACTCTTAGAATGGAAGAAAATTTTAACCACTTAAGTACTGACCTTATTATGAGTGGAACTGCTCTGTAAACTAATAGTAGTCCTATCATAGCTTCTCTAAGCTTACACGTAGCCTAGTGAACTGGGCTATATACAGCTATTTGTCTTTGTACGCGAGGTTCATGCCTCAGATCTCTCCTGGGATGAAAGAGAGCTCAGCTCTCGCTCAATGGCTGGAGCTACACCTGGAGAGAAATGGTAAAATATATCTATAAAATAATTGGCAAGATTTTGTGCTAAAAATTCCAGACAGGGGACTTGCACCTTATTTCTCCTCAGCATGCTGAAGTGATTATGGCACATAAAACAATACTTTAACATGTTCACAAACACAAACTAGGATTTATTTTTATAAATAGATTTTGAGGACAAAATAGTTTAAGCAAAGAGCACATATAGAAAAGCAAACATTTGTAGAGTATAAAAGAAATATCAGAGTTACATAGTTACATAGCTGAAAAGAGACCTGCGTCCATCAAGTTCAGCCTTCCTCACATATGTTTTTGCTGTTGATCCAAAAGAAGGCAAAAAACCTAGTCTGAAGCGCTTCCAATTTTGCCACAAACTAGGAAAAAATTCCTTCTTGACCCCAAAATAGCAGTCAGATGTCTCCTTGGATCAAGCAGCTGTTACCCCACTAATTAGAAATGATATCCCTGTATGTTATGTTTTTGCAAGTATTTATCCAATTGCAGTTTAAACATCTGTATAGACTCTGACAAAACCACCTCTTCAGGCAAAGAATTCCATATGCTTATTGCTCTTACTATAAAAAAACCTTTTTTTTGCCTTAGATGAAATCTCCTTTCTTCCTGCCTAAATGTGTGACCTCGTGTCCTATGTATTGCACTGTTTATGAATAGATTTCCAGATAAAGGTTTGTACTGGCCCCGAATATATTTGTATAATGTTATCAAATCCGCTCTCAGGTGTCGTTTTTCCGAATTTAAGAGATTACATTTTTTTAACCTTTCTTCATAACTAAAATGCTCCATTCCTTTTATCAATTTTGTAGCTCATCTCTGCACTTTTTCTAGTGCCATGATATCTTTCTTTAGAACAGGTGCCCAAAATTGCACAGCATATTCAAGGTGTGGTCTTACCAGCGATTTATAAAGAGGCAAAATTATATTTTCATCTCGAGAATTTATGCCCCTATTTATACATAACAAAACCTTACTGGCCTTAGCAACGGTAGATTGACATTGCATATTGCTGCCTAATTTGTTGTCTATAACAATTCCCAAATCCTTCTTGTGTGTGGTTATCCCTAGTTCACTACCATTTAGGGTGTAAATTGCTTGTGCATTCTTAACGCCGAAGTGCCTAACTTTGAATTTCTCTACGTTAAATTTAATCTGCCATTTTAGTGCCCAGTCCCCCAATCTATCCAAATCCCTCTGCAGCAAGGCAATATCCTGCTCACATTTTATTACTTTACAAAGTTTTGTCTCATCTGCAAACACTGATACATGGCTTTCAATGCCCATTTTAAGATCATTTATAAATATGTTAAATAGAAGCGGTCCCAAAACAGAACCCTGAGGGACACCACTTACCACTTTTGTCCAGCTTGAAAATTTACCATTAATGACAACTCGTTGTACTCTATCCTTAAGCCAATGTTCTACCCAAGAACAAGCATATTCATCTAGACCAATTTCTTTTAGTTTGAAGACTAACCTATTTTGAGGAACCGTATCAAATGCCTTGGCAAAATCCAAGTAGATCACATCCACTGCAACACCCTGATCTATACTTCTACTTACTTCTTCGTAGAATGCAATTAGGTTAGTTTGACATGACCTATGTTTCATAAAACCATGCTGATTATTGCTAATAACACAGTTCTTCCCAATAAATTCCTGAATATTATCCCATAATAGCCCTTCAAATAATTTCCCAGTCACAGAGGTTAAGCTCACAGGTCTATAATTTCCAGGCAAGGATTTTGAACCCTTTTTAAATATAGGAACAACATCTGCCTTCCTCTAATCCTCCGGTACAATACCTGAAACAAAAGGATCTCGAAAAATTATATTCTTTATTTTAAGTAGATTTTTGGGGTTTGAAAACAAATCCAATAATTATTTAACTGGCACAGACTTTGTAACTGCTAACCTCAACCTACAGCATCTGCCTGATTCACACATCCAATTTCTCCAGAAGGTGTAATGGCATAAATATTTATTCATAAACATGTAGCAAAAACTCTTAAGGACATGATCTGAATAAACTGTGGGTTTTTATGTATTATTGAAATGCAACTTGAATTATCTAAAGTTAGCCTGGGACCTATGATCTGAGTATAAGAATTACAGGCCAGCAAATATTAGTGTACCACAGATTACCTTTAAAAAAACCAAACAAACAAATAATATATTATAGATCTGCAAAACTAACTAAAAATGTATATTAGTAGACTGTAAAAATATTTTTTTGCATCCACCCAGTGTACTTACATAGAAACGTAGAATGTGACGGCTGATAACCATTCGGCCCATCTAGTCTGCCCAATTTTCTAAATACTTTCATTAGTCCCCGGCCTTATCTTATAGTTAGAATAGCCTTATGCCTATCCCACGCATGCTTGAACTCCTTTACTGTGTTAACCTCTACCACTTCAGCTGGAAGGCTATTCCATGCATCCACTACCCTCTCAGTAAAGTAATACTTTCTGATATTATTTTTAAACCTTTGTCCCTCTAATTTAAGACTATGTCCTCTTGTTGTGGTAGTTTTCTTCTTTTAAATATAGTCTCCTCCTTTACTGTGTTGATTCCCTTTATATATTTAAATGTTTATTATATCCCCCCTGTCTCGTCTTTCCTCCAAGCTATACATGTTAAGATCCTTTAACCTTTCCTGGTAAGTTTTATCCCGCAATCCATGAACCAGTTTAGTAGCCCTTCTCTGAACCCTCTCTAAGGTATCAATATCCTTCTGAAGATACGGTCTCCAGTACTGTGTACAATACTCCAAGTGAGGTCTCACCAGTGTTCTGTACAATGGCATGAGCACTTCCCTCTTTCTACTGCTAATACCTCTCCCTATACAACCAAGCATTCTGCTAGCATTTCCTGCTGCTCTATTACATTGTCTGCCTACTGTTAAGTCATCTGAAATAATTACCCCTAAATCCCTTTCCTCAGATGTTGAGGTTAGGACTCTATCAAATATTCTGCCCTTGGGTTTTTACGTCAAAGATGCATTATCTTGCACTTATCCACATTAAATGTCAGTTGCCACAACATTTTTCTAGTTTACCTAAATCATTTGCCATTTGGCTTATCCCTCCTGGAACATCAACCCTGTTAGATATCTCAGTATCATCAGCAAAAATACATACCTTACCATCAAGACCTTCTGCAATATCACTAATAAAAATATTAAAGAGAATGGGTCCAAGTACAGATCCCTGAGGTACCCCACTGGTGACAGGTCCAAGCTTCGAATATACTCCATTGACTTCAACTCTCTGTTGCCTTACCCATTCAAAAATATTGGAATCCAAACTCAAAGATTGCAGTTAATTGATAAGCCTTCTATGTGCAACAGTGTCAAAATCCTTACTGAAATCTAGGTAAGCAATGTCTACTCACCACCCTGACCTATAATTTTAGTTACCCAATTAAAAAAAAGGATTAGTTTGGCTTGATCTCCCTGAAGTAAACCAATTTTGTCTCCGATCTTACAATCCATGTGATTTTAGATGTTCAACAATACTCCTGTTAACAATGATTGGTTAAATAGATCTGTTAATGGTTTTGCTAGTACACCACTAAACTCTTTGAATATCGTTGAGTTTATCCCATCAGGCCCCATTGACTTATTTGTCTTTACTTTTGACAGTTGAAATAGAACCTCTTCCTCTGTAAACTCACGTGTAACACACGCCTCATTTGTCCTTTTTCCTAACGGAGGCCCTTTCCTTCATTTTCTTTTTTTTTTTTTTTTTTTTTGCAGTGCAATATATAATAAGTCATAACAGCAGGCGTGTGGTGCCCCAATAGCATTCCTCACGCTGAATATCAACATTTTAACAATGGGGTTTTCATAAATCCTTGCACATTTTTTTGTTATTTAGTCGAGATTGTCCACGCTTAAGCTTTACGCTGAGTATTCGGTTAACAAGTGGGCCTGGGTAGGTCTTACAAAATCTTGGCCGCACAGTGCGTTAAGATAGTTACACTAGTTATTAGATGCAAGATATAATGAGAGTTACGGTTATACATTTTAGCGTTAAAGTTAACATGAATTCTTGCAGTGCCACAACAGCGACTGTAGGCATATTTTGAACATCAGGTTGCTTTGGCGTGCAGTTAAAACAGCACGAATTTTGTTATTTTTCATGTAAAATTAACCCGCTATATAAAACAAGTATGTTAGTGCATAGATTACTTTGCTAGACAAAGAGTTACAGACCTTCCTTCAACAAGAACAATTGCAAACTATTCATCTGAACTAAAAGCTGTCTCATCAATCAGGTTATAGGGCAATTATAACTTAATCGCTTCCAGTTACAGGCTCTGTGCACTCCTACAGAAACTAACGTAGTGCAGGTTACAAATGGTAAGTTATACGCAGGCTTAGTTATTACATCTAATGCAATGGGTCACGATGGGATCTACATGTTTATGCTAGTAGATGCAAATTGTAGCTTAAGTAAATGTGGGCTTTCAAGAAAATTACACGATTAGACTTCGATTTTACCACTGCCAGAGTAGGTAGGCGGGCGGCCACCGGGGCCGAGTGTATTCCTCTATTATTGGGTATTACTAATAGACATAGTAGTATAATTGCGTGGCTATGGTATATGTTAGAACACCTTTCAGGTGACAAGAGGTACATAGGTAGCTGCTGTCTCTTAGGTAGCTGATGTAAAACTACAGCTTCTGTTATTTAGTCAGTGTCCTGTGGTGGTGTTAGAGTCTCTGAGCTGGCATGTGTGACTCCTTCCCTTCGGACACTGATCCCTCACCACGGCAGTTCAGCTTCACCGGTTCTTTTCTGTGTGTGGTAAGTCTCCCCATATCAGGCTCGTGTAGGCCCGTTTGGCCGTTACCCGCTGCAGCACACTTTCATTTCGCGCCTTCTGCGCTTGGCCCCACCTGGGGGTATCCATTGCGGGCCCGGGGTCTCTCATTCTCTGATCATGTCTGCGGTGTTCTTTTACTTGAAGCCATCCGGCAGGGCAGATGAAGGAACCGTGGTTCAAAAGGGGCTCCGTGGTGCAGGAGCAGATAATGTTCAGCTGTCTGCCGCCGCCATTTTGTGAGGCAGTTAGAGATTCTCCTCTCAGCCCCCGCCCGTCTCGGGCTCTCCCCAGTGGGGACCGGGATGACCCCCCCGGTCCAAAGGGGGGGGAACAGGGCCGGCAAGCAACTCAGGCAGTCAGCCTGTGGCAGCAGGGGAGGGAGACGTAGCGGCGGCCGTCCACCACGCTCCCCTCCCGGGTAGGCCGCAGCCCTCGAAGCTCCGTGCCCCCTTCAGAGGATCAGAACTCCCGATCTCGGGGTCCGCCGCCGCTCCCACAGCTATGGGTGTCTTTTGGCCCGTTTTGTGTGTGTTAAGATCCACTGTGAATAGCTTAAAAGACCGGGTTTCCCCAGAGCCTCTCCTGCATGCGACCGGTCAGCATGGCGGTCCGGCCCCGCCCCCTTCATTTTCATCTGTAAATACTGAACAAAAATATTTATTGAGGCAGTCAGCTGAATATTTTTGTTCAGAATTTACAGATGAAAATGAATACTGTGCCCAAAAAAAACCTAAAATATACCAAAATAATTTTTGCTCATTGTGACTTTACAAATAGAAAGTAATGTATATGCAGGCAAGTTGTCCTTTTCCTAGTTTTTGCCAAATCTAGCAGTAATTCTTTCCCACATATATTGAGTTTAGTGAATTTCATAAGCTTGGTGTGTCCAACCACATCATTGGCCTTATATGTATACGCTAGCACTACCCCACATATATACCTCTGCCAGATTTTTGGAGAATTCACAGGATCAGATTTGAGACCTGCCCTAATTTTTACATTCCTGTTGCCTCTTATAAAAGTTGTTTGTTAAATTCGCACTGTGTGTGGTACCTAACAGACCAGCACAAAACTCTGACTCTGTTTTTAAGCTTACCATAGACCCTATCCCTGCCTAAAACAAACCTTACCAAACCGTACCGCTGGACTCCTTCATCGTGGCTTACAATAATCAGGACGCTGTAATAGCCTGTTACAGAGATACAATACCAGGGTGGCTTCTGGAAAGCTATTACTTTCTTGTGCTTGAGACATCCAGCAATAACCCAGTGTACCAAGCACTCCCGCCTGCCACCAGCAATTCTCTGTGGCAATAGGCATCTGATACCACAGCAATCTGAAGACTTGAGCAGCCTGGGGAAGCTCTATTGCCAGGCTGTATCACTACTTATAAATATGAAAAACATGTTGCCAATATGAGGCAATATATAAACCAAAACCACATGGAGAGGCAAAATTAGTAACCACAAAAGCCAGGTGCAAACCATATAAGCACTCAGGTGCTTAATTACAGAAATCTATATATAATACAGAATGCACACTGTAACAACCAGATATCAAATACAAAACTTTAATAAGTATACAAATAACAACAAATGACAAATTGAAACAAAGTAACACAATAAGGAAAATAGTAATCAAGAGTAATTTACCCAAATCTTTCAACACAAGTAATGAGACAATAACATATTGTTAAATATGTTGTTATGGCTTTGTACTAGCAGCGTATTTTTGACATTCCTCCAGTGAGGTCCAAGCTGTTGGAATACACTGCATGCAGTTCTCATTCTTCTGTTGAGTGAGTGCAGTCACAGAACATTGTAGGTGAGAGTCACAGCTATATTTATATTTGCATTATTATTTATAATTCTGCATTATATATTATTGTATCATTATGTATAATGTGCATTTGATTCTGTTATATGTTCTACAATTGTGTAAGACTAGATTTTACTAAATATAAATACATTTCTTTCTAATTTAAAGTCAGATTATGCTCAACATTTCCATAGATTTTATTGACCATTTGCTGTTCATGGGTTTTTATCATGACTTTTTTTTACCCCAGAGGTAAGGATAGCTGCTGTGGAATCTCTCTGTCTGCTGGCACGATCCTCTCGTCCCTTTGCGGAGAAGTGCCTGGACTTCCTGGTGGATATGTTTAATGATGAGATTGAGGAGGTCCGTTTGCAGTCCATCCACACTATGCGCAAGATTTCTGACAACATCACTCTGCGGGAAGACCAGCTAGATACTGTACTGGCTGTGCTGGAGGTAGGTGTTTTTCTCCTTAAATTAATTTTCCCTGTCATTTACATCAGTTGCCCCGGATGGGACACTCTATACTGATATGCCTATTTGTACTTAAAAAAGAAATGTATTATGATGCAAAAATATCATGCTAAACTGGCATAGCAAGTTCCGTATTAAAAATGTATAATTATACCACAATCTACCCATTTAATGTCTTTATACACAGAACACTATGCCTGTGTATCAAGATATTAAATAGCCTCAATTTAATATTGTTTTATAAGCTTTCCAAATGATTTAATATTTCGGGGTAAATAATAAAAATTATTTAATATTCTGAAAAAATATAAAAAAATATTTAAAAAAATGTTGTTTTTTTTTGTCATATTGATATATTTTTATATATTGATATATATATGTTTTATCTTTTAATATGTTGAAAAAAATAATTTCAAAAAGTTTATCCAATGATATTAAATCAAGGCTATAGTGGTGTGCATATATATATTATTATTATTATTATTATTGGTATTTATATAACGCCAGCATATTCCGTAGCGCTTAACAATATTATCAAAGGGAGAGATTTAACAATAAATTAGACAATTACAAAAACTTAGAGGAACAATAGGTTGAAGAAGGCGCTGCTCAAACAAGCTTACAGTCTATATACACTGCCTGGCCAAAAAAAAGTCGCTACCTGGATTTAACTAAGCAAATAGGTAAGAGCCTCCTATTGGATAGTTACTGCATGGATGATTATCTTTCAGCTGGCAACAAGTTATTTAACCCCTACTGATGCAATGAGTAGCTTCTCATTTCTTAAACAACCATGTCGAAAGAGGCTGAAGGGTCAAATCACTGGCATACATAAAGCAGTAAAAACTTCCAAGGAGATTGCAGAAACTACTAAAATTGGGTTAAGAACTGTCCAACTCATTATTAAAAACTGGAAGGATAGTGGGGAACCATCGTCTTTGAGGAACAGAGGCAGATGAAGTGATGCATTCATCATGCCTACTGTACGAACCTGTGGGGGCAGCGCTATGATCTGGGGTTGCTGCAGTTGGTCAGGTCTAGGTTCAGCATCATTATGTGCCCAAAGAATTAGGTCAGCTGAATATACTGAATGACCAGGTTATTCCATCAATGGATTTTTTTCTTCCCTGATTGCACGGGCATATTCCAAGATGACAATGCCAGAATTCATCGAGCTCAAATTGTGAAAGAGTGGTTCAGGGAGCATGATACATAATTTTCACACATGGATTGGCCACCACAGAGTCCAGACCTTAACCCCATTAAGAATCTTTGGAATGTGCTGGAGAAGGCTTTGTGCAGTGGTCCGACTCTCCCATCATCAATACAAGATCTTGGGGAAAAATTAATGCAACACTGGACGAAAATAAATCTTGTGACATTGCAGAAGCTTATCGGAACAATGCCACAGCGAATGCGTGACGTAATCAAAGCTAAAGGCGGTCCAACGAAATATTAGAGTGTATGACCTTTTTTTTGGGTGGCGACTTTTTTTGGCCAGGCAGTGTATATTTGAGGGTATAGGGCTGGCTACAATTACTTAAGGAACGCGCCTCTCAATAGCATTCAATAGCATTTTCACAAAGCGATTGTTGTGCCTTAGTTAGCTGTTCTCTTTCACTTTCCTTCTCTTCAGGACACTGCCCACTCAACACAGGTGATCCTTATTACTCCAATATTTATTTGGCATTTACATTTAAAAATGCAAATTAGGTTGTATATCTAGATTTTGTTGTGAACAGTCATCTAGAACATGGATATTCTAGAGCAGGGGTTGGCAACTATCATCATTTTCTTTTCTTTTTTGCAGGATTCTTCTCGGGACATCAGAGAAGCTCTGCATGAGCTGCTGTGCTGCACTAATGTGTCTACCAAGGAATGCATCCAGCTTGCTTTGGTAGAACTTCTAAAGAACCTGTCAAAGTATCCAACTGATCGAGACTCCATCTGGAAGTAAATATCTGACACATAGGCAAACATACCGATTGGTAATGGAAGCAACTCTTACCAATAAACTTAATAGGATATTACTTGAGGTTTTTTTTTTAATGGAGTCCCTTTGCTTTTTGTCAAACTGTTTCAAGTAGTCTGCCAAAAATTTTTTTTTTTTTTCTTGGCACGATAAGCCCAACAACCTCTCTGGCTTCTACATCATAATCACAATGTAGTGAATACCCTCCTAGAGGAATGTAAACTGCAGGTATCAGTCGGGCAGACTATAATTCTCACCGTCCTTACACCAATTATTAACAGAACAGTCCCATAGGAACTCCTGGTGTGTAGTTTGCATTTGACATGTAGTCTTCGATTTAATACGTTTTCCAAAAGATTCAATACCGTTATAAAATCTATCCAAATGGTTTATGTATTGAAGTCACCATGAAAGTCTATGGGAATTTTTACAGAAAAATTATTTAGAAAGTTTTTACTAACAGTATTGAACCATTTGGAAAGCTCATTAAATCAAGGCCTTAGATATCAAGGACACATGAATGAATAATACTGAGTTTTTAGGTAATTCTTGTAGTCGTGCTGTTTCTCCTTTTCCCCCATTTACACTCTGCAGAATATTTTTCTTTTTAAACCTTCATTAACATTTTCCTCTGTTGCAGGTGTTTGAAATTCCTTGGAAGCCGACATCCCACCCTTGTACTTTCCTTGGTCCCAGAGCTTCTCAGCACCCACCCGTTCTTCGATACTCCAGAGCCGGATATGGATGATCCAGCCTGTATCCTTTCTGCCATGTTTTTAGGATCCGCTTGTTTTCTGTGGCTCTATGCAACTAGGTGACTTCACACGTTTGTTCACTCTGCTAGATTTGATACATTGTAGCAAAAAAAAAACACATATATAAGAACAGATTTATGTATACTTATAAGTGAGACAAAAATAGTTTTGTACTGATAAATATGCAGACTCCTCACTTATCTAATGAATTCACATTGGGGCAATTAGAGGCTGTAATTGTATTGTGTTTGTGTGATTATGCAATGTATTCATTTTTAGACTTCTTAACTGAAGTGTTCATTTAAAGGAACACTATAGGGTCAGGAACACAAACATGTATTACTGACCCTACTGTGTTAAAACTACTTGGCTGATCTCATCAGAAGTTAAGGAGGACACAGCCCTGGCCAATCAGCATCTCCTCATAGAGATGCATTTTTATGAGGAAAGTTCAGTGTCTACATGCAGAGGTTGGAGACACTGACTGTCCCCAGGAAGCCCCTCCAGCAGTCATCTGAGGAGTGTCCAATGGAATTATTACTAGGCTGTAATGTAAACACTGCATTTTCTCTGAAAATACAGTGTTTACTGCAAAAAGCTTGAAGGGAATTATTATACTCACCAGAACAAATGCAATAAGCTGTAGTTGTTCTGGTGACTAAAGTCTAAACATGATTTGTATGTCACAAAACCTGTGAGCATTTTACTAAGGATGGGGAGTAGCCATAGTTTTGTACCTGTCGTCTATGGTAAGGGACAGAGAGATAGAGAAAGGAATATCTTTGCTCACTTGTACTTTTGCACCATTGCGTGTCCCTAAATTTGTTTTAGCAACGCTCTCAGTAATACCTTTCCTAGAGAATGATCAGGTGCCTGTCTTCTGCAGTGTGTGTTTTATTTATTTTTTTACTTTATTTGCCATGAAGTAAGACTTGTTCCAAAAACTGCATAAGATTGGCAGAATGTAGAATGTAAACAGAACACCCCATGTAAAATGCACGTGATAAAAGATTTCTCAAAAGTATAAATATTACTTTTAACCTGCTGAGTGTTTGATGTAAGGAAGGTATTGGTATTTGTCAACCTCAGTATGCAGTCTTCATCATTTTTGACACCTATTACATCGACATTGCTGTATGTGAACTTTAACTTTGCTAATCAGATATTGCTGTTTTGGTTTTGATATTTAATGCTGCCAAGATCTGTCCCACGATGCCAGCATTGTTTTCTGATCACACCTTTCGCCATTACGCCTATCTGCGGGACAGCCTTTCCCACCTTGTGCCAGCTCTCAGTGTAAGTTTATAAAATGATCAGTTTGGGGATTTGCTGCCAGAAAAGGGAATGACTATAGGGTGATACCCAAGGGTACATCATTCTGCACATTTAGGTAATGTAGATTTGATATGCTCTAAATGGTGAATAGAGCTTTGAAGTTAATTTCATGAGCTGGGACTAGAATATTTATTTTGGCTTGCACTAAGTCACTACAATCCTATCTCTTCTGCAGCTTATGTGTGTGTATATGTATGTATGTATGTATGTATATATATATATATATATATATATATATATATATATATATATATATATATATATATATATATATATATATATATATATATATATATATATATAACCTATATCTATGTATGTACCAAATGTGCTTAGTTTCCATAATGTTTCTCTATCAAACATTATATATATTTATATATATATATATATATATATATACACACACATACACACACAAAAAGAAAGCGGCTCGATCCTCCTTTTCCTACAGAGCACCGCAATTATGGAACGACCTCCCGCACACTTTCAAATCTTCCACAATCCTAAAATACTTTAAGAGATCCCTCTCTACATATCTCAAAACAGAATGCACCTGTCATGGTTGATTATATATTTCCTATCTGTTCTATGTAAAATTTTGTATATATTTCGTATTAATATTGTTTTTGTATTTTATTGTACCCTATTGTATCAATGCAATGTTTTGTGAACCCAGGACATACTTGAAAATTAGATAAATTTCAATGTATCCTTCCTGGTAAAATATTTGATAAATATAATTTGTGTATTAAATACTGATCCTTAATGAATTACATTAATAAAATATGTTGTGTCAGAATAGGTCTCAAAATGTGCTTCCCTATAGTGCAGGTCCATGGGTAGCACTGTCATAGGCGACATTACCTCTAATGTATTAATTCCCTTTTAAAAACTAAAATAATAGTTACTCTTCACTGTAGATTAATCTGTTCTCATTCAAGTATGTTTGTTGTTATGATGAGCTAACACATACCAATGTAATGTTACCTTGCGGACAAGTGTGGATGCTGTTGGCATTCAAACTTGTCTTCTGCATGCCAGCTCACAGATTAATATGTCAACTACAGCTATTCTAACTATAGAAGAGTCTGAAGCCGGCTAAGTTTGTTCCCACTACAAGAAATCTATTATCCGTCTATGTTTAAACATGGTTTCTCCTGACTGTTAAGATTTATTTATTTTAATCTTCTTATCCTCAGTTGCCGGGTGTGAAGTGGTCATGGATTCCAGATTTGGAAAGAGAGGCCCCTCATGAAGACCCCTCACAGCAGTTCCTGCAACACAGCCTGGAGAGAGTTCATAACCTTCAGCACCTTGGTTCACAGGGGACACAGGAACTGCTCGAATTCACCATTCGGTAAATAAAATCACAATTGTATCTGTCTTGTCATAAATATCTTCAAGGTGCATATACCTCCAGTACCATGCCAGCTCCTTGTAACTTCATTCAACTTCCACTGCATTCCATTTGCTTGATACATTTATGAAAACCATAAAAAGTAAGATTAATGAAATAGGTGTTACACGCACTGATTTATATATTGTAGGGCAGTGAAGGCTAACCTTTTGGCATTGTAGCTAAATATCACCACTTGGGCTCTTTGCATAATTTGTTGATGGTGGCATCGTCGCTGAGTGTCCAGGGATGCAGGGGAAGAGGAATTATACTTACCTAAACCTTTGCCTCGCTGGAACAACCATGTTCTTTTGTCAGGTCCTCTTTAACTCCTGGAGATTCAGCATGCGCATGCATGAGTACATGGAGGATCCTACAAGATCGCGGGACTCTCCATAGACAGAGCCTTTTCCCTACTTTGCTTTAGTATATCTTTTGCCTAGGATGGAATTTCAGTGATTGTACCTGTATGAAATACTCATTTTGGGAGGGGGGATGTTAATACAATAACACTGCTGTGAAAAAGATTGTCCATCACTGTCCTGCAGTATTTATATCTGTTATAATGACTCTTTACAATGGAGTTGTAGTGCTTATGGAGCCTGGAGTGTTTTTTGTAAGATTAAAAAGCATGTTGTTTTTTCTTTCCTTAGTGATCTGCAGAGAATCGGAGAGCTTCAGTACGAGCTTGCGGGAATGGCAGATTTCTCTGCTACTTATCTGCGTTGCCACTTACTGCTGATCAAGGTTTGGTTTTCATTGTATTTTCAGTGAATTAGGAAAGTGAAAGAGTCCAATGTTGCTTGTGGGAGTAGCCATCTTTAAAGTATATTTGTCATGCGTATACTGACTTGTACTCTGGAGTGGATATGCAACAAAAACAAAGCAAAATAAGCTAAAGTCTTTTGCAGCTTATGAGCTAAAATTAAAAAAAAAGCAACCCCTCTCCCATCCCCCCACCTTAAAATATTCTTCTAGTTTTACCTCAAAAAGGAGCTAAACAACTATCTGGTGTCAATTGCAATCAATCCCTGTATTAACATGCTGTATTATAAATGTTTATTTTCTTCTCTGCTAAAAATGCAAAGTTATGTCAGTTTTAAAAAGGACCTGCTCATTTGGACAAGACAGCCTCTCTAGACAGAGACCAGGCAACATTATTCACATGCACTAAACAAATGGTATTTCTAGTAAGCTGAAATCCTGTGTGTCTGTTTTCCCATTTCTGCTGCTTTATTTAAAAACATTGCAAGCATCAGCTGTGACAAATCTATTTGTGTTCTATTTTCAGGCCTTGCATGAAAAGCTGTGGAGTCTTGCAGCTCCTCTCTATGTCAGTCAGAATTCTGTGACAGCTGCTGCAGTGAAACAGGTAAATTAAGAATTAGTGTGTCAAACGGCAATAGCTTGGTAGTCTAAGTAGCACAGTCTAAAAAAACAAACAAAAAAAAACAAAAACCCTCCTTTCGACTATTCAGTAAAAGTTTATAAATAATCATTATTTTGTGGATAAACCCAGTAATCTTCAGGTTCTTGATTCTATTACTAGAGATAAGTTAATTTGTAGTAATTACATAGCTATTTTACTTTTGCATCCTATGGGAAACCTGCCATTCTGCTAGCAGACATAAACATATCCCTAGTGATAAAATCCAGCCCCTTTTGTCTATCCCAGTTTTAAGACCTGTGATAAAGTATTAAAAACAAGCAATGTGAGCTGCCTGTCAGGAAGAAGTTAGGTGCATGCTGGTAATATAAAGCAGTGTGAGCTGCCCGTCAGGAAGAAGTTAGGTGCATGCTGGTAATATAAAGCTTTTCACACATTGTAGAATTTGCTACACTATAACAATGACAAAAGGGAGAATCATCCTGACAGACAAGGAAAGAGTGACTTAGAGAGAAGGAATGATGTACAAAGCCATTGAGGTAAAGCAACACAAAGACGGTGACAGAGAGAGATAAAGGAGAAAGTTATACTGAGGAAAAAGTGACACCAGAGTGGAGACAGTGGGGGATGACACCGAGTGAGAAAAAGAGAGAGAAAGTTACATTGAGGGAAAGCGATACATGACAAGGGAAAACATTTTGAATGCAAAAAGGGCAAGCAGAGTTCAATCCTAAAGCCAGTAGATGTAGCTAAGGTTTATACCCAGAAAAAAACACACAGGCTCACAGGAATGGCATAAACACAGAGTAACGATTACACAAAGACCATGATTATAGAACAAGCTGCTCTGCAGTGGCTTAGCATCATTTAGATAGGCTGGATTAATTGCATGACTTCTTCCCTTTTAATTCTTAAAGTTCTTAGAATTTAGTCATTATGACCCCCAGAGTTGGGAGAATGATAGGAATCAACACTTGCTGGTTCATTTTCATATCTCGGTAGCTATTGTGGGTGCGTCGGCGTAGTGACAAAGTTATGTTCCAGGATTCAGAGTTCCATTTCCTACTGTATGTCTTTGTCTGTTTAGATTTTTTGGAAACCATATGTATGTTGACTGAAATGTGTTGTTGGGGATTACAGTTTCACTTTTCAAAAGAAGTGTTTAATTAGCATCTCTACTTTGTTCTTAGATTTTGGAAGAAACTTACAAGATGGAGTTTATGTACAGTGGACTTGAGAACAGACAGGTGGCTATAATACATCACATGAGGCTACAAGCAAAGGCTCTACAGCTACTAGTGACAGCCCGAACTACTAAGGGGTATGCTACATCGAAACGTTAAAACATCCTGAAACAGCAGAAAGTACCTCTTGTAGACCTCCACTAGAGGCAGACTGAACCCTTCAATGAAAGCACTGTGTTTTCAGCTGTAGGGCTAAGGGAACAGGGACACTGCTCCCAGACCACTTCAATGAGATGAAGTAGCCTTTATCATCCTTCTTTTATCAGCCACGGTTAATGTCAATTCAGATATCCAGGTGGTTTAGTGGGTATTTGTAACCGTTTATATTTGTTTTATTTGAAACTGATGTAACCTCCACAGCGTAATTCATCTACTTTGTTACTATTTGTAACTCTAGTATGGAGATCACAGAGTTGACTCCTAGTTTGCTTTTTTTTTTTTTTTTTAATAAACTTGACGTTTCAGGTTTAAGTAATAAACCAGTCCTGTGCTGGTTTGACTGTCTTTGGGGATATCGGATGTCTATACCTGAGCGTCTATCAAGTTTAGAGAATAAATCCATAGGGAGTGAATAGAGAGGTCAACTTTATTGATAATGGCTAAAAGAAGCACTTGCCAGGGATAGACTGCAATACAAAATTCAGGAGTATATTTATTTTTTAGAAAAACAGGAGTTAAACATTTTATGTCAACAATAATAAAAAAATGTTTTTAAAGGTTAAATTGAAAGCCTTTGTTATATCTATATAGTGTTAACGTATCCTTTGTTTACTTTTTCTCTGTCTCTGTCAGCGTGGAACCGCTGTTTGGAATGTGTGAACAATTCCTCCAAGAGGTGGATTCTATTCAAAGGTTGTTGAATTTTCTGATCTGTTTTGTTTTGCTTGTATTTAAATGTATGCAGAAGAAAAGCTATTGGATCCTTTTTCTTTTTTTTTATTATTTATGTTAAGTTTCATCAGTATACATACTGTCAAAAAGAGACATTAGAATTTTAATCCCAGAAACAGGCGGCTGTTAAACCAAATAATTTGCTTGAACTGCTGGTGTTATACAAATAAATCCACAAATCATCCTTAAGGAGTGGGGTGGGGTCCGTCTGTTAAACTTTGTTGATAATGCTTTTTAATATTATTTAAGGAATGCTAATGTGAGAGGGAAAAATGATCAATCGCAATAGTAATGTCTTCTATTTTCTATTAACTATTTTAGTGAGAGAGCAAAACGGAAGAGGAGGAAAAAGGTGGGGTGGGATGCTCGTACTCTTACAAATTTGTGGGTGTATTCATGTGTTCACTGCTAATTGTATGCGTTTTACAATGTCTATTTCCTATTCCCTACAGATGCTTTATTTCAGAGCTCCCTCAGATGCAGGACAGTTTTGTGGATAAGCTGCTGGATCTCATGCCAAGACTGGTTAACTCAAAACCTCTAGAAATGGTTAAAATTCTCCAGACAACTTTGCGACAAAGCAGCTTCCTCCATCTAACCCTTCCTGAGCAGGTAAAGTCCTTTCTCTAATCACCAAAAGGAGAGACGGAATGTGGCAATGATTCTATTATTAATGTGTGACTGTCATGCAAAATGGTTTGATTTCAAATGATTCTTTACGTGTGTGTATATGTATTAAGGAAAATTGTTTCATACTTACCGTAATTTTCTTTTCCTGATCATTATTCATGGCAGCTTTTACTCATAGGTTATCCTGAAGAAATATAGAGCCAGATAGGAATTAAGGCCATGATAGCCAAACCTAGAGAAGTAACAAGGCTAGACAAACTCTCGTAATGAACCCATCTTGTAATGGATTAAAAAAAAAAAAATTTTTTAGAAAACCTCTATGAAACCCAGACACGGTCTAGAAATTATAGATTCATTATGTCAACAATAGAAGATAATGTCCTTCTCTGATATAAATTAAAAACCAAATAGATGGCATCATCAAATCAGAACCTTGACAAAGGCATAACTTCCAGAGATCATACTGGAACAAGCAGATAATGTTGGATGAGAACGGTCACACCATGCTATTAAACAGGGGGAGAATTACACTGAGAATCCTACTACTTTCTGGATGGATTTATTAAAGACAATTCACACTGCTTCATTTTGCCTTGTGAACTACTTACCTGTAGATACAGGAAATAAATCAATATCTGCCTGTCAGAAAGAGGCAGAGCCTAGTAGAGAAATAAGAGTCTGTTATTAAAACACTGCAACAATGACTATATATTGCAAAATCAGACTCACAACCATACCTCACACTGTGAATGAATTGATACAGTAATGATCAGTCACAGGAGAGGTAGAAACTAATAACACAAATAGATATTACTAGGCAAAGGCAAGAAGAACCATATCATACAGATTAGTTAAAAGAAACATCGGTATGAACCGTAGAATTTGTGGCAACTACTAAATTATATGTAGGCCAACCGCGTCAGTACCTACATTCAAAGATAAACCGATTGTAAATGGTACAGATTATACCAAACAGTAAAATCAAAATGATTAGAGACTGTTGTGCGATATAAGTAGGAGTTATATAAAAGGCAGGAGACTAATGTGAAAGTAGTAACCAGAGGCACATTATACATTGTGGCAACAGACACATAATAAGCAGGGTAGTAGAAGATATTCAGTTATCCTTATGAGAACAACAACCGCATACTTACTCTGACCTTATCTTCTGATAGTGATGAAGTACTTATGGCAGAGCCTATGGTTATAATAAGATCAGTCTGCAGCTTGTTTTACCTGCATAGATATCAACACCAATCCAAGCATATAATCAACAAGTATTTTCACAGAACTCCATGCACAGATTATACCACTCACATATACGGAGGTTGTGACTAACAGAAACCCACACACACAGGTTGTATTAGATTGGACTCGTATATAGAGGATGTGTCTTATATCATTCACATATATTGTGTTTCCACTAATACATCAAGCATATAGAGAACAGATATACTGAAGCAATGTCTCCAACTTACATACAGAGCATATAGAGAACACACACTGAGGCCGAGTCTTCAAACCAACTCTTACATAGACAATGTAGTGGATACATATACTTTGGCTGTGTCCTCATAGTAATTCATACAAAGAGCATTCAACCATACATAGAGCATATAGTTGATACTTATACTGAGAGCATATACAGGACACACACACACACTGAGACGGAGTCTTCATACCAATTCATACATAGAGCATAGATTGGAAACCTACTGATGCTGTACCACAAACCAGTTCATGTACAGATATTGAGGCCCAGTGGTCTGATATGCAGTATATTCTTCCACTGTGTGCAAAAGCCTGCTTATTTGTGATAATGCACAGATAACAGCAATCAATGCCACATGCCTTCATAGAAACCAGTGTCTGTGTGGACTTAGAGCTAGTTTTTAAAACCTGTCATATACATGTGTGTACTTCAATCAGTCACCCAAGAAAGTTCTCTTACGTTGGATATTTCTCTGTCTTCAGGACTGTGGAATACCAGCAGACTTTAAACAGCCAGGATATCCATTATTAGCACTCTTTTGCACCATGCCTCCTTGCATTATCAGCACTATTTTTATGCATCCTTTCATGTAAAAACTTACCTAAATGCTCACCACACAAACCTCCTAAATGTGACCTGTTTGTTAGAAGGAAGCCTAATGTAAGCAGCTGGGAGGGACTGAAAGAACAGAGACCCAGGTGCCCATACTAGTTTTAATCTAAATTACTATTGCACTTACCTGAACAGTTGCAGGCCTGTGTTTCAGCGGCAAAATGGGGATTTGAACAACTGACAGCCTAAACTGTTTAAACTATAGGCTTCCATCTGTACCCCATATGCCGTTCGTCATCAGAAGTGGGAGAAGGTTTAAACCAAACCCCAGACAAGGTGGAAAACATAGAAGAGGCATGCACACGTAGTCACCTTATGGAAGTGCTGTATACTGGGTCTTCAGGGATAAAGGCTTAGACTCGGCTGGGCCTCATGTATGCAGTGGACCGCTGTCATCCCCTCAGGGAGAGAGATAGGTCAGACCCCTGGTTGCTGAAGGAGGTACCCAGGCTGGCAACTCTTACCGATATGCTGTTTGCTGGGTCTTCAGGGATAAGAGGCTGAACCCTGGCCTGGCTTCATGTAGGCAGTATATCACATTCATCCACTGAGGGGGTACCCAAGCTGGCCTGTTGCTGGGTCTTCAGGGATAAGAGGCTGAACCCTGGCATGCAGTGGACCATTTTCATCCCTTTCAGGGAGAGGTTGGGTCCGACCCCTGGTTACTAAAGGTGGTACCCAGGCTGGCTACCTTACAATAGTGCTTTGCTGGGTCTTCAGGGCTTAGAGGCTGAACCCCTACAAAAATATTGCCTGGTGAGCATAGAAGAAACAAATCTAGGCCTGCATAAGCAGACTCCTTCCAAACTGCTGTGCAGGACAGGAAAAAAGACTGCCTGATGGGAAGGGGGGATGATCTATTTATACCAGTTTCAGAGTTCTATTTCCTGTCCTTTCTGCTGTAAGGGGAGGAGCTAACCCATGAGTAAATGCTGCCATGTTTGATCAGGAAAAATGCGTGCATTAATACAAATAAATCAGCCAGATGAACTGATAACAAATGCATAAATTCCGATGCGTTTATCCAATTTCGACTTTAAATCTAGCCCATTCAGATCACAGGTAAACATGACAAATCTATATGCTGCATTTTTCATCTAATGTGGCAGCCATATTGGGAAAGAAGGAAAAAAATTTTAAGTATATACTTAACTCTGGAGTTATCTATAAAAAGTGTTCTGAAAAGAGGTGCAAAGATGTAAAAGGGGCAGAACCACCAGTTCAAGGTGGCTGCTGGTTCCCGTGGTGACCACTTTTTAGAGAACTCATTTTTATACATAACCCATCTATAGTATTTGCTTACAGTTTTGCCAATGTGCAGATTACATTTTAACCCCTTAAGGACACATGACATGTGTGACATGTCATGATTCTCTTTTATTCCTGAAGTTTGGTCCTTAAGGGGTTAATATATCTGAAGCTGATCATCCACATTTTACTTATAGAAGTGTCACCAGAAATACTGTTTACTATCTCAACAGTTGTTGTATGTCCTTCGTGCACTCATTTCAACTCACAATGCTTATTATATTATTATAAGGTTGTATTTGCACAGGGCATGTCTAAAGTTCATGGGTGTGGAATTACTATCACCTGATGTCTGGGTCATGTAGTGCCATGTAGGTCATGTAATGCCAGACAGGAATTCTTTTCCACAGGAAAGTGACAGGGTTGCTAGTAGGGCAACAGCCCCCCACCCATATGCCCCCTTTGCAAAGCCAAGCATGTGCTCTGCTCCTGCGGCAGGTACACACTGCTTTAAGTGCTCCCTTGTGAGCCCAGTGCCTAGTGAATGCGTTGGAGTGGATCCACCAGGTACTTTGGACGGGAAGTAGTGATTACTGTGGTATGTACCTTTAGAGGTGCAGACCAAACACACCCTTGCTGGACCATAAGATTTTTTTTTAATTTTTTTTTAAGGAATGGTAAACAGGACGAGCAACAACACAATGCACTAGCACACACTCACTGCAAGCAGCTGACGCAAAGCCACCAAACACACACTCTAGACATACACTTTGGGGGAGAAAATGAGACCATGTGATCAGGGCTCCAGGCAGGAGCTCCAGTCTATGAAATTGTATTGTGGGTCAGAACAGGTAACATGGGATATCACTTTAGTCCATGGGACAAGTCGTTTTTTTTTTTTTGTTTGTTTGTTTATTTTTCACAATTCACACCCCTGAACGTTATTGGCTAACACCTTTGGGAATTGTAATAAAAAGTTGCCACTAATGTAGCTCTTGTGTTGTTTTAATACTAACATTGTTATCCTTCCAGATCCACAAAGCTTCTGCCCAAATTATCGAGCCAGCAGCAGAGTCTGATAACCCAATTCGCTTCACCTCCGGCCTGGTTGTGGCTCTAGATGTTGACGCCACATTAAATCACGTACAGGAACCACAGAGCACAGTGAAAGTACAGGTACAATATATGATGTATACCAGGATAACTAAGATGTGGATTCCAGTTCGGCAAATATGAAATTGAATACATTAGATAATGTCGCTCATCAGTTAAACAAAGAACCCGCCTCCCATTTCTGGATTCTCCCACATTACTTTTGGGGATATTGTTTGTCGTTAGAAAAGCTTTGTTTGTTAAATAATTTTTCTTTATTATTTCATGTTATCATTCAGGTTGTATATCCAGATGGGCAGATGCAGATTATCCACCCTAAGCCATCTGATTTCCGGAATCCAGGCGAAGGCAGGCACCGGCTAATAACTCAGGTTTATCTTTCACATACAGCATGGACAGGTAAGGGCGAAATAAAGATGACTTAAAAAGAAATCAGACATAGGGCAGAAAGCTGGAGTGGTTAATGAAATTAGTGCAGGAATGTACTGTGTGAACATTAAAAGTGATCTTCGTTAGGAATGTGCAGTGGGTGAGTAAAAGGAATATACTGTGGAAATTAACACAGGTTGTCCATAAAGAGGTATTAGAATATGGTTGTCTCTCTGCTGGATCGATATAAAGATATACTCTAAATACCAGAACAACTTAATAAAGGAACACTATAGTCAACCAAAACAACTTAAGCTAAAGGAAGCAGTTTTGGTGTATAGATCAGGCCCCTGCAGTCTCACTGCGCAATTTGCCGCCATTTAGAGCACAGAGCAGGTTAGAGCGACATCCATGCCAGGGTACCACCAGAGGGATCAGCATAGAAGGTAAGAGACATAGTGGAACAATACCTGTCCCTTGCGGCGCTGTGCGATCTCTTTGCACTGTAGTTGGAGCCGGTCTGTGGATCCGGGAAAAAAACAACTGCCTCGGCTTGTCTAGGTGACATCAATGCTACCATGATGCACCTTAAAAAGTGCAGCAACCCCGGGCAAAAACATCTGAAGCGGAGGCCCGCAGCCTACCACACGGAACGACCACGAGTGGCTCACAGGGCCTTTCTCTCCACTGAGCCTCCTGAAACAGAGGTCTGACCCCAGCGATACAACTGCGGCCCTGCCATTTAAAATGGGGAAGAGATCGCAAAAAGCAAAATGGCGGCACCGGAGGAACAAACCGCCCAGGCCGAACCTCAAGACCCAATGCAGGATGACCCTTCCTTGCAAACTCCACCACATGTACCGTAACTGACTACTCCCAACTGCATAAATGTGGCAAATCTGGCCACCAAATAAGACATTAGAAATGTGGGAGACTCCTTCCGGGGGCCCAGCGTTTCTCACAGTGAAAGGTGCAGGATACCACACCTAGCAGTGTTTCTTTTTCTTGAAATCTTCCGTTTTATAAAGTAGGAAAAAGGGGACACTTATCTAACACCTTTAGGGGGTTTGCAGCGTCCCGTTCATGAAGTCTAGTCCTTTCCTACTTGGAACTTAAGTAAAGTTTCCTCACGTTTTGCCTGCAAGATAGATGTAACAGGCAGCACAATAAAGTAATTGTTCTGCTTATCCAAGAGGAACATGATCAAGATCCAGATGTCTTTTTGTGGCACTGAAGAAGGAAGTCTTTGTTTGATGTGTAAACCCTAATAGTTCTCCCTAAGTTCACACCTTCGATATCAGATCTCTGGGTAAGCCCTACAATCCAATCCAACTCAAGGAGTCCTTACAGAAAAAACAGCACTGCTAAGGGTGACTCCATTAGTACAGTGTCCTTTAAATGAGTCTTCAGTAGAATTGATCTGCATGCTTGTCATTTTGCTATATGTTTAAGATTAGGTATTGGGTCCGTTGGGCCTTTTTGTTAGGGATGTTGCTAATTATTTTTATTTTTTTTGGCATGCTTAATCTGTCCAGTTTTCCTCTCTTTTATTCCTCTACTTTATGATAAATAAAATCTCTTGTGTCAGGTGAAATTTGTGAGGAAATTGAGAGGAAAAGCTCTTGTACATGTGTTGTCGTTACTAGTAGGATAGATCAGTATCTGAATAAGGACTATATATTCATATAGCTCTGTATTTTCAAATGTTTTACATTAACTTAAAGTCGTCCCATTTATCTTCCTTATACCAGAACCCTGTCAGATTGAGGTGAGACTGTTGCTCGCCTATAGCTCCAGCAGAAGCAAAGCGTCCAGTCGGTCTCCCACACCATGGGGAGACAGCACAGAATCTATCCCTTCCACTGAGAACAGCACAGAGGGCACAATCCATCTTAGCAAACCTGTTAAAGTCTTCCTCATGCCTAAACCAGCCAGGCGGTAATGGATATACTTGTATGGATATATGTCTTTCCTGGTGTTGGGAAGCATTGCATTGCAAGGACACAGATAAGGACATGTCATGTGAGGCTCACTTGGGATGAACAAACTTTCCTACTCCAGGTGTTGTTGGATCACAACCTCCTTTACCCTCAGCCAGCATTCAGGGTAACATGAACCAAAGTGTGGAATGTTACCACACTAGAGATTTTGACGTAAATTATTTTTGAGTGTTTCTTTCATACACTATCGGGATATTCAAAGCAAATAGTAAGGCATCAAGTAGAAAAATCTCGCTGTATTTTTATTTATTTTTATCTACTTTTGAGGTTCGCTTATAACATTGGAAGAAAATGTTTGTCAAACCAGCTGTTCCTATATGCTTCCTTACCATAAAAACACATCTACATGAATATCTGATTAGGGGTAAATGTGCATTCACATGCCCTTCTAAACTCCATAAATGTTTCCATCAATGTGAACTTAAACAATAAATACATAAAAGAAATGCTAAAGTCCAAGTTCTCCCCTCAACCCAAACCTCATTGGTAGAGGTCAGGGTGGATGGACTGCGAGGTGAAGGGGGAAAGTGCTGCCGTTAGCTTTTTGCTATGTTGTTTTGGGCTGGCTAATAGCTAAAAGGCTAATCTTTCTGTATGTGCAGCAAAATGCTTCACATACAGAGTACAGTCATTGTGACCACTTTAAATAGTTGAAATGGTCGTGGTACTTTGAATAACCCTTAAAGTTTAAAAACAACAATGCATCTAGAAGGGAAGTTGCTCCTAGATGGGATCATCATGGTAAGTAAAACTACTAAACTGATGCTTCTCCAGTGTATGTTGTGAGGACAAAAAAAATGAATGAAAAATAATGTAATGAATAGGAAAAATCCTTGCTTGTAGTTGCTTATTTTTTGGTTGAAAAAGATAATAGAAATGCACCAGGCAGTAAACAAAATATTGTACAAGGAAAATAAGTTAAAATACAGGCAAAATAAATAATGGGGAGACACTGCTAAGCAAGAAAGTATGCGTCTCACGTCTAGCAGTAGCCTGTATTTGGATTTATTATATTTGTACGTTTACTTTATTACTGCTTTGTGCATTGCTATTCTCTTTTTCCCCAATAAATAAGCAACTACACTACAATGATTATCCCTGTTCATTACTTTGGAGATTCTTAAGAGTGCAATATACTTCATGCTTTTCATTCATCATAATAACTATACTGGTTTATTGCTTTAAATAGATCAGTCTGTGTTGATAAGAGTGATTGTGCTTATACATACATGCATTAAAGTTCATTGCCAAAAAAAAAAAGTTCATCTAAATGGATATTCATTTTGATCTATGTAATTGGAATGAAGGATTCCCTGATGTGGACTTGCAGTTGATTATACTAGGGGCAGCAATCTAATTGAATACCCTCACATCACAAGGTAGTGTGGTGTTAAATATTGGAAACTTGTTTTGTTTCACTTTAAAAGCACAACAAATTTGATTAACAGATTATTTCCATTTGTAATAAAGACCCCTATCCCATGTACAATGTACTTTCTTTCCTTTTATTAAAGTGGTTTTGTGCAGGTGACCATTTCTACTTCAAGTATGTGAAAAGGTTAATCTATACATTGAACAAATGAAATTACCAGTGAATGTATATCTCAGAGTGTCACTGTCAGTGAAAACGTATTTCCATAAATCAGTTTGAAACAATATTATAAATATTTTCTTTGATACCTGCAGGGGACAGCGCCTAGCGGACCCCAGGTAAGAAGTCAAACTGTTCTGAAATAGTTTGACTTCTTATAATGGGGAGAGCCAGGGCACTCCTATTTGCTGGTTACGGTTCTTTGAGTGTTCCTTTATGCTGGATTTACCGCTAGATCATCTGTCAGTGTTTCACGGTGGGAACTGCTGTCTTGTAATTGTATTGCAATTTTCTAACCCTCAGTTATTGATTAAAAAAAAATAAAGGTTGAAGAAAGCATGTAATGTCAGCGGCCAATCAGGGTCAAATTTTCACAGTAACAGTATAGATATATTATTATTATTTATATAGCGCCAACTAATTCCGCAGCGCTTTACAATATTATGAAAGGGGGGTAAATTTACAATAAATTAGACAATTACACAGTGACGCCGGAACATTAGGTAGATGAGGACCTTGCTCAAACGAGCTTACAGTCTAGATGAGGTGGGTAACAAATACACAACAGGGCACCAAGGGTGACAGCCATTGTGCTGGAAACTAAAAATGGTTTGTTGAACTCTTTGCTGGAAATCGTTCGGGTATTTTAAAAAAAAGAAACTACTGAAGAGATATAAAATATATTGTGTCTGTTATTTTACAAAGACTATTTTTAATGACTGGCACTATAGTGGTCCTTTAATGTAAGTAACCTCTCCCTTACTCCCCCGCTCAGAGCGCACACATGTGCTCGGAGCCAATGAGAATGGTCCAATGAAATGTTCCTGTATGAGAAGCTATAGTCTGTAAGCTCGTTTGAGCAGGGTTCTCTTCAACCTATTGTTCCTGTAAGTTTTCTTGTAATTGTCCTATTTATAGTTAAATCCCCCCTCTCATAATATTGTAATGCGCTACAGAATCTGTTGGCGCTAAATAAATGGCAATAATAATAATTTTATTAAAGACACGGAGGCTCCTATTATGCATTCTCATTCTTTATTATACTCCCAGCAGCAAGAAAAGGAAGTATGAGAGAATCATAGAAAAAACATAACAACAGCCTGGTAACAGTGGCACCAATCAGCATCCAGTACTATCCATATGGGTGTGGTGTTCCTTGACTCCTCTTTCTTGCTGCTCCCTCAGACAAGTTAAATACTTCATCTCCTGCTACTCCTGTGATTTTCATACATATATGTGTATTTTGTGAAAGAATTTTTAGCTTAGTCTATGTTAATGCTCACTGTTACTGCTGGTTTATTTCCTGCTGGTGTCTGGGAGTGCTGCCTATTGGGGTCTCTGGGACCCTGGTTTTCCCTCCTGCCCGTACTTCTGAGAAGTGTTTTACTCTTTTCTTTCCCTGCTCGTTCAGTTTTATTGGTGATGCAGCAGGGCTGACCTTAGCCGCTCACCGTTTATGTCTGCGGTCTATTCCGCGGTTTTGTACGGTCCGCGCATGCGCGATCGCTCATTTTACCGTTTTCCCCTTTCCTAGCGGTCGCGCATGCGCAGTTTGTGCCATGGCGGCCATCTTTTTGGTTTCTGTCGCCGCAAATGTATTTTTACTCGCGGCGGCCATTTTAAGCGTAATTTTCAGCGGGAAATTGCTGCGGACCGATGCTTAAGGTGGATAACAGTCTCTCCTACCCTCCTGGCGCACTCCCAGACCCATCCTGTGCATATTTGCTGTTTATTGCTGTTATTGCTGGTTAAACTGTAAGTGTTGGTGTGGAGGATTACTCTATCCTGACACACTTTTTGTTCTTAGCCTTAGCTAGTATTATTTTCCCTACAGGTCACTTCAGATACTGTTCTTCTTAACCATTCAGCTACTACTAGTAGCATTACTTCATTGGGCCCAGTATTTTTGACCCTGAGTGTACTTGGGTATATAATTCCCTGTGGGCTAATATTATTGCTAAAATGCAAGATCAGAATGAGAGACCTGCAGGGTCTGTGTGTTCCACACCAGGGGTTTCCCCCTCAGGCAGGGAATGTAAGGATGACGCCAGCCTCATGGCATCGGAGGAATTTCAATCCCTCCTCGATTCTACCATGGCGCAATCCATCAACAAGGCGTTGGCCTCCGCGATGGGGGTCATGTCATCCTCTGTCACACAATCTATAACCAGAGGACTGATGCAATCTCAGAGTAGTGGCCGTCGGAGCAAACAAAACCCAGGAACTACTAATGTGGTACAGCCGGGACGCAAAGCTTTGGCGAAAAGCAAACACATTGCCTCCCCTCCAGAACTGCAGGTTCTGGAGGGGAGGCAATATGTTTGCTTTTCGCCAGTGCTTTGCGTCCCGGCTGTACCACATTAGTAGTTCCTCGCCTCAGGCTGTCAAGGATGGCGCGATACCACCACGCAATAGAGCCCCTGGCCGGGCAAAATCGGCCAGATCCTGGAAGCGGGCACGTGCCTAGGAGGACTCGTCCGATTCGGACCGGAGTTTGGAGGAGGAGTATGATGATTTATATATGGATCATTATGGTGCGGAATATTCCGATTCTGTGTCTGAGGTGAAAGCAAACACTGCAACCCAGAAGGTTACCGCTCAGGGCGCTGAGCCTGCCGAATCCGGCAAGGGTGATGATTTGCAGGGTGATGATTTGCAAACCCGTTGTTTGACCCAGATAACCTCTGTCACTCTCGCTCAGCGGAATGGGAGCCGCCTGCGCACATCGCGAGATACCTCGTGCTAACAGTAAGGAAACCTTTATCTAAGGAAGGACGTAACAAACTACGGGCGGAATGCCCACGCCCCATCCTTCCAGACTCAGTGGGAAAAACCCCTGACGTGGATCCTCAATTGGTCCAATTTTTAAATAAATCTGGTTGGAAACCAGGACAAGTTCCTGGACACTTTGCGGCCCATCTCTAAGCTATATGAGTTAGTGGAATCTGCCCAATCGGGTGAGAGTGACTTCGATTTCGAAGTAGCGAAAGGCTGGTTGCAGAGGTTAGTCTGCATGGTGGGTAACGCCAATACGGCCATGGCAACCGAACGCAGCAAGGCGATTCTCTTGAAAATAGAGCCCAAACTGGTCAGTATGGCGACCAATGAGCCGGGGCCAGCCGCTATAGGCTTACTTTTTGGTGAATCCTTCATTAAGGATCTTGGGCTGTACGTAAAAACATTTTCAGCAATTGATAAAGCTCAGACTTCTCTTAAGTGAGTATTTGCACCTCGGGTTTTTGGAGGGGCCGGTAGGGGTAGAAGCCGTCTATCCGGCCGTGGATTTTCGAGGCTCATTTAGAGCCGGCAGAGGCTCCTTTAATACCCAGAGATCGGTACCAGAGCGAACCTATACCCCATTCTTCCCATCTCGTGGACGCCCCTGGAACTCTGTCTCAGGCAGACGACCTTATGGTGAGTACAGAGTATCTCCATTTTTCCCATATAAAAGTGGGGGGCAGATTGGCACTGTTTCACCATGCTTGGAAAATTCTAACCTCAGCTGTTTGGTTATTAAATACAATACAGGGGTACCTATTGGAGCTAGTCTCTCACCCTACTCAGGTGCAGTTCCCTCGAGAACTAAACATGGCCAACGACCACCACACGATGATCTCGTCAGAGACTGCAGATTTTTCATCAACACACGCTATTCAACAAATCCCATGGGACACAGAAGGGTTCATGAGCAACCTGTTTCTGGTCCCCAAGAAAGGGGGCGGGGTACGCCCAGTAATCAATCTCTGACCCCTAAATGCGTTTGTCCAATATCACCATTACAAAATGGAGGGTATTCATTGCCTTCGGGACATCCTACTACCATCAGATTGGATGGTCAAAATAGATTTACGGGATGCTTATCTGACAATCCCTGTCGCGGAAGTGCACCAAAACCTACTGCAGTTTCAGTGGCAAGGAACGAAGTGGAGGTTTGTATGAATACCATTTGGCCTGTCCTCTGCTCCATGGTGCTTCACAAAGATTGCCTTCCTGCGCACACGAGGGGTCTGATTAATAATTTACCTAGACGATATCCTTCTCCTGTCTCAATCTCAATCCCAATGACATGTTTACTTGTCTTGGACAACCCACCTTTTCCAGAATTTAGGATTCTTGGTGAATTGGGAGAAATTAGTTCTTCAACCCTCCAAATGCATGGAATTTCTGGGATTTCAAGTGGACTCTGTACAACAGAGGTTGTGTCTACCCAAAGACAAAATGATTTCGATCAAGAAAGAGATTAGACGACTTATGAATCATACAACCATTTCCCTCAGACAACTTGCGAGGATCGTAGGGCTATTGGCATCATCCATACAAGCAATCTTCCCGGCCCGTTACATTGTCGGGCCCTACAAAGGCTCAAAGCCTCATATCTGCGCTCCGGACACTCGTATGAAACCTGTGTTACACTGGACGAAGATTCCAGAGAGGAGTTGACATGCTGGCTAGCCCACATGGAGGCGTGGAACGGAAGGGCGATATTTGGGTCTACGCCAGATCTGGTCATAGTCAGACACCAGCTTACATGGCTGGGGCGCGCGTTGTGGATCAGTTTCCACCGGTGGCAGATGGTCCAACGAAGAAATGTTGCTACACATCAACTGCCTAGAACTGTTAGCGGCATCCTTTGCCATTCGCAGCATGACCCCCACAGGCATCTCATGCTCTATCCTAATCAAGATGGACAATGTCTCGGCGGTGCGTTATATCAACCACCTAGGAGGAACGAAATAGAAAGTTCTGGCACTGATGGCTCGAGATTTTTGGCATTATTGTCTGAAACACAGCATTTCGGTAATAGCGGAATATATCCCAGGACGAGACAATGTACTGGTGGATTGGAAGTCTCGATATCTTCGAGACGCAGGGGATTGGCATCTCCACCCGGGGGCCTTTCAACAAAGATCTCTTCGCGTCTCGACTGAACACCCAACTCCCTCGGTTCTTCAGTTGGAGACAGGACCCAGATGCTCTGGCGACAGACGCGTTCTTACAAGACTGGACCAAGGGCAAGAATTACACTTTTCCACCTTTCAACCTAATCTCTCTGAACCCTTGCATGCTTTCGATATTCCAAAGGGACTCTAGTTCTGATAACCCTGATATGGAAACAACCTTGGTTTCCACAGTTGCCAGACATACCTTACCTCCTGTCCAATCCAGAGGGAATGAGTCACGAGTTGATCAACCAGGGTCTACTTCATCTGATGGCATGGCTCTTTTCAGGAGATCATGGAATCTCGAAGATGTTTCGCAGACGACACTCCGTCTCTTGGCAGAGTCTTGGGCACCAGGTACCAGACGTTCCTACGGGTCGGCTTGGAGGAAGTGGACTGATTGGTGCGACAATTAGTGGATCCCATATTAGCTCCTGTGAAAACAATCTTGCAATTCCTGACTCTACTCTTTGAAGAAGGAAAAGCCTTTCGGACTATAAATCTGTACAGGTCAGCTATATCGGCGAGACATATGGGATTGGATGGTACTCCAATAGGTAAACATGCCCTCATCTGTCGTTTGCTCAAAGGCATCTGGTTTGCTCGACCCTCTCAGGCTCGGTATTCTTCCTTCTGGGATGTTAATGTGATTTTTCATTTTCTCAAGTCTTGGCCTTTGAATCACGAACTTTCTCTTAAACAATTATCAGCCAAGTTGTTGATGCTGTTTTGTTTACTTTCATGTAAACGGGTTGCTGATGTCAGAGCATTGGATTGGCAAGCACGCGCTTTTGTTCTGAATGGAGTATCCTTTAATATTTCACGTAGGACGAAATCTGTGACTAAGGAGGTTTGCTACCCGTCGTTTCCAGATAATCCAAATCTGTGCCCAGTGTTCTGCCTTAAGGAATACGAGCGACGCACGAGCTCGCTCCGTTCAGATCGAACCCATCCATTAATCAGCTCGTTCAGAGTACCTCACCTACCAGTATCTACTCCCACTTTAGCTCGTTGGATCAAATGGTTATTATCCGTGGCAAGCATAGACACTTCAATTTTTTCCTCACACTCCATTCGCGGGGCTATGGCTTCTAAAGCTTCCATGATAGGTTGTAGATTGGAAGACATCCTACGAGCAGCTGATTGGTCGAATGAGTCTACGTTTCGTAATTTCTACTTTCGACCGGTGCAACATATTTCCAATTTGGTGGTTGCTCAGCTTTAAAAAAGCATAATAGGATCCTCAGTGTCTTTAATAAAATTCCCAGATTTTACTTTTAACATGACGTAAAGTCATGATTTTATTAATGACACGGAGGCGAGTATTATTCCCACCCGCCCTAACCAGGTCAGTCATGGGGCCTTTGGAATGACACGATACCGTAGGTACAATGTCCTACACGACACAAAGGTGAGTAAGGTATGCGATGAATATACTTATGATACTTATAGTGATTGAATAACATAGTGGATGAGTTGGATAGTTGTGGAATAGCAGTCGCAAGTTTCGATATTACCATATATTTCTTTTTTTAGCTTGAATACACCTGTGAGAGTTGGCGGTTGAAGCTGTTCCCTGTTGAATTTCCGGTTATGATTTTGTTTCGGGAATTCGTGTTTGTTGGAATATTTTGGAATTTACAATATGGTCTTCGGGATCTACGCAGAAAGAGGAGGAGTCAAGGAGCACCACACCCATATGGATAGTACTGGATGCTGATTGGTGCCACTGTTACCAGGCTGTTGTTATTTTTTTTTCTATGATTCTCTCATACTTCCTTTTCTTGCTGCTGGGAGTATAATAAAGAAAGAGAATGCATAATACTCGCCTCTGTGTCATTAATAAAATCATGACTTTACATCATGTTAATAGTAAAATCTGGGAATTAGAGGTCACAAGGAAAGCAGAGCGGTGATGTCACGCAGGGCTTGGAAACCAGCCATGGGGGCATAGCCCTGAATTTCAGGTAAGTTTGTGCTTGTTCAGGAGTGTCTAGGTTAGTCACATTTATGGGTAAGTACTATCTTTCAGGTTAATGGAGTACTGGAATGCCTAGTGAATATACATTCCTGCAGATAGTTACATCTCTTCACTTCACCAAGGAAGGATAGGATTACTAGATTTATCTCCTATGATCAGAAAACCTTGTAGAGCAAATGTATATTCCAAATGTCTGTCGGATGCTGTATTTTTGTTCCCTGCCTTACTCAAAATATGTGTTAATGAATAAGGCATTCAGTGGCTGGTCCCCATTGTATTTTTAGGTTTTAGAATAGCTACTCAGTTGAATTTCTTGTTCTGAAGGAGATATATCTAGTCCTCATTCTGTGGAAAAGAAGTAAATACAGGATCTTATGGACAGGGGATTTTATTTCCCTGTTAAGGACATCTTCACTGTGGTGTGGCAGAAGCCAGAGTAGAAGGCTCCATTCAGGGAATGTTGGTCACAGTCTATATCTTTTTCAGAGTAATACTGAATAATGTTGTTGCTATTCGATTGGTCAGACGCACAACTACACCTATGGATGATGACCTTCTCCTGACATCTATTTGTTCCCACACTGCCAACTCTGATCTGCAGGATTTTCCAAGGGCTGGCCCATTCCTTTGGTATTTCTTACCCCGTGCCATAAGACTTCCTGCTAGTCAACAGTCCTTTAACAAGTTACTGAACACACCTTTTGAGGAAAGCTTGCCATCATCCTGTGAGCTGCTTCTTTCAATTCACTGCCCTAATAAGTTCCCTCACATCCATAACCCAACTCAGTCTCTCCATCTTTGTACAAAAGTCAGCCATCCATAAGTGGACTTGATGATGACTGACCGGTTGCATACTTTTTTTCACTTCAAGAGAGATCACCCAAATGCACTAGGAGATAGGGCCTCCCCATTCCTCCGATTATGCTTTGTCTGAAAAAATATCTCTGAGAAAAGGCAAAACTGATTCCTGTTATACCAACTTGACAATGTTGGCCTCGTTTCCACTATTACTAAATATGTCAACTGAACCTTCATGGGAGAGACTGCTACTTATTGCCCTAACATCAGCTAGATGGGTGTCTGCACAGCTTTATCTGCTAAAGCGGCACTGTCATGGCTACATCCGGGTTTTTTTTTTCTTTTTAAACCCCTTACCGACTCCACTACCTATTATTGCGCCCCTAGTCACCCCCAAATGCCCCATGTTACCTGTTCTTTTAAATCTTTGTGTCCGGATCTAGGACCTGGACGCCTCCATCTTTGTGTGGGCAAAGATGAAGGCCCTGTGGGACATGTCCTTTGCCCACACTAAATAGCGCTATGAAATTCCCACGCATACAGAGTTAAACACTTGGGCATTCACTATTGTCCTAAATTCGGAAGGGAATTTTGTCTGTTCATTCATCAGAAAGTCGAAGGAATAGAAATTTCAGACAAACGGTGTTCGTTTATTACAAGGAGGGAGCCCTTCCCCCTTTAATAAATGTCCCTTATGGTGGGGCATCTATTAACTAGCGGGGGGGGACATAGTGTCCCCCATGAGCGGCGGGTGGGGGCCCTAAATCACAATGTTCCTCATTTAATTAAATAGTCCCCCCCCCCGCTAGTTAATAGATGCCACACCATGGGTCATTTATGATGGGGGCGGGGGGCTTTTTTTCTTCAATAACTGTTTACTAGACATGCCCCTACTCGCAATATAGCGAGTAGGAGCAGATTAATTACTAATACTAAAGTTGGCTGAAAGACGCAGATGCAGCACAGATCAGATCGGAATGTAATAAATTCTAATGAAATTTTGAACTGAATCAAAAGTATCAAATATCATTCTAACATGAATGAACAAACTGTTCTCATTCTGTTAGTGTGAAATTCAGTAGTTTCGCCAGCATCCTGTTCGGGAAACGTGAAAGAGGCATCACTAGATCACAGAGGAAAGGGTGAGTATTGTGGGGAAATTTCTCTGACCCACAGGAAATGGGTCAGAGCGGATCAAGCGTAGGAAAAATACATACGACCTAGTAGTCTCTACTTTGTATTATGTTTTAAAGAATACTAGAGCAGATAGGAAAAAAAAAATAACAGATCCTGAGATAGGAAGTGATTAGTGCAATATGGCCCATATCTGGTGGTTCTGCCCCCAAATTAACTAATTATTGGAAAAAGATTCATGATCTAATTATTAAAGTGAACAGAACCATTAGCATTTTAATTTCGGAACTAGCCTTATTTAAAAAAACTCCCGGAGTCCGTTGATGGATCAGATAAAATAATCATAGGCCACATTCTGATCGCTGCTACATCCTGTTTACCAAAATGTGCCATCTCTCAGAGAAGATTTTAATTTGATTCTAGAAAACAAGGCACACAAATTATCGCATAGAGCTAATATACATGGTTTCCCAATATTAAAATATAATTGGGATAAATGGGAAGAAAAAAAATCAAAACAGTTTATGGTCTTTGATATATTTATTATTAAAGTGCATTGATGTACAAAATTTTTGCCATATACATTGTTATGCCTATTTCAGTGATGGATGGATACCCCTTCCCATTTCCAAGTTCCCCCTTCCTTTCCTACCCCTAATACAATGTTTGTATTATTATTACTTGTTATACCAAATTTTAAACCTTTAATAAAAATTATTTGAAAAGGAAGTGATTAGTGAAAGGTAAGTTCGGCATGACAGTGCTGCTTTAAACCTTTTTTTATTTTAATGCTGATTATGTGGTCTTACTTCCTGTGCCTGGTTGCAGGTTAGCAAAAAGATCTGACTGATACAGAATGAGAACTTGTCCCTAGACTCAGAATCAAGTGGAGGGGGGATTTATGGTAAGTAAAAATTCATGTTCCCCAAGATAAAGACTAGTGATGCCCAGCCCAATGACAGTATGAGGTGACTCTGGAAAAGAACCTGCAAGCATGCATCTAGTGAATATTTTGCAAGAAATCTTCCCAAGTCCCCTTTGCGTTCCATAATTGTAATCATACTTTTGCACACAATGCATTTCACACACAGACACACATACACAAGCAATGCATCCCTTACACACACAGAAACACACAATGCATTCGTTACACACACTCAATGCATCCCTTACAGACGCACACACTGCATCCCATACATACACAAACACACCTTGCAGCCCTTACACATACAAACACAGATTCACACAATGCATTCGTTACACACACTCAATGCATCCCTTACAGACGCACACACTGCATCCCATACATACACAAACACACCTTGCAGCCCTTACACATACAAACACAGATTCACACAATGCATTCCTTACACACATCAGGACATTCCCTACACACTCCACCCCCTGTGAACAAACTCATTGGTGGAACATGAAGGTGGACCCTGGGACCCAGACATGGGCTGTGTAAAGGGACCCCCAAAAATGGAGCTGCTTCCTGTTATCCCAGAACATTGATTTTTGTGACAACAGTTACAAACCGCCTCCAGAGAGCCTGTTCTACACCAGACCAGTGGAGCCAGACTGCAGCTAGAGCCCATCATCATCCTCATCTGGTTGTAAGTAGGCAATCTATTATATTATTTGTGGCACTAATCTCTAATTTACCTCACATTAAAGAAACACTATAGTCCCCAGAACCATTGCAGCTTAATGTAGTGGTTCTGGTGTCTATAGCCTGTCCCTGCAGGCCTTTTAATGTAAACACGGCGGCACTGCAGCACTGGCGTTAGTTAACATGGCAGATCATGGGTATAGTAAAGCTTGTAGTGGCGGGTAACTTGTAATGCCGGGTAACTTGTAATGCCTGGCTATTAGCATAGAACTACAAATTGTAAGCTTCTGATGATATCATGTCATCCTCTAAATTACCCAGTAAGCAATTTTCATTAGCTCAACAGTAGACAGTGGCTTCAGGTAGTAGATAGCTTTCTACTCCACCTTGCTTATAGAGAGTCCGCGTGTTGCAGGGCAGACTCTGCCCACAGGAGTCATTTGACCGTCTGCAGTAACTCAGTAGAACTAGAACCATTACTTATGAGTTAGAAAAATAATCAATAAAAAGGATCTCACTGTACAAGGATGCATAATATTAGAGAGCACTACCCATCATCTCCTTTTCTAATCTACAGCCTTATGGGCTGCAACACAAACTGCAGACGAGGAGTCCCCCTCCTTTTTTCCATGCACTGTACATATACCATAAATATATTCAACATCAATGTTAAAGTCACTAAAAGGAAGTCTAATAAATATGGTGTTTAGAGCAGCCCTTGTATTTTTCTCCTTCCAATTCCAATATGTTCTTTGTCCACTATCTGCTCCAACTCTCTGTTCATCTTCTTACAGTTTATTGTTCATATGTGATATTATCTGTTAAGACTAATTGACACTTCAGGTAGCCAGATGAAAATCATTCCTTCTCTTTTAAATAAACATCATTAACCAATGGCCATTCCTCTGTGTCCATTATGTTACTGCAGTACAAATGGAGTATGCTATTTATTTTGCTAAGTTTTTATTTAGAATGCACAGATTGTGTTTCTCCACATCATCTGCAGACAGGTTACTGTGGGAGAATCACACTATCCTTCTTGTGTCTGTGAAGAAGCAAGCTAGTAAACAGCTCTGTCAGATAAGCCTGGTAGCACTGTATCACAGACATTGTGAATGACCCAATAAATGAGGGATATTGATCACACTGCCTGGCACCAGAGAAGTGTGCAATGCAGTCATATGTGAACAAAAGAATTGTGTAAACCTTCCAAAACTGAAAAGGTTATAAACCCTCTATGGACATAGGAGCAGAATAATAAAATTTATGGGGTGAGGTAGAAGGAGAAAGAAGGCAACCAATGCTTAAAATAGTAGACTAACCCTATCACCATGACAGGCCGGGGCTGCGAGGGTAGCCTAGGTAAGCAAAGCATAAACTTACTAAATATTGTCAGGAGACTACTTTGGTCAGCTGTGGTAGTGTTTTGGGTTTTTTGTTGTTGTTGCTGCTGGTGTACAAATGTTTTGTAGCATTTTACCCCTATTATAAAATATTTTCTTGCTGGTTTCTATACCTGAACACATCTCATTTTCTTTCTATTCCTTCCTCCATCTTAACCTACAGTGTCTGTAACACGTCTGTACACATCATCCAGATAAAACCTGTCCAATGGTTCGAAATGCATAGATCAGACTAAGAGGCTGCGGAGCAAAAGGTTTGTTTGCACAAACGGTATTGAAAAAGAAATAGATGGATTGGTTAGTTTTGCATATTTTAATACATTATGAATACAATGCATTAGAGAACTGGACAATTACAGCTTTAAGTGGCATAATTCACCTCACACCTGTACTTCCAGACTGGACCAGACATATCGGCTCACTACCCTCAAGTGTGCCACAGCAGAAGCAATTTCTTTAAAAATAATTGAAGAAAACAAAAAGTATGAGATACCGTGTTTCCCTGAAAATAAGCCCTAGCTGGATTATCGGGGTGGGCTGCAATATAAGCCCTACCCCGAAAATAAGACCTAGGCAGGGCCGGCAGCTGCCGGCCCTTTAAATGCCTCAGCCGCCTGAGCGCTCTATAGAGAGTGCTCAGACGGCTGCCGCAGTGCCTCCCCTCCCCTGTAGCGTGGCCGAGCTCCTCTCCGGTCCGCGACCCGCCCGGACTGACAGGAAGTGCACACTGGGTGTGCACTTCTGGGTGTACTTCCTGTCAGTTCGGACGGGTCGCGGACCGGAGAGGAGCTCGGCCACGCTACAGGGGAGGGGAGGAGAAGATTGGAGGGAGGGGGGGATAAGATTGAGGAGGGGGGGGAGGGAGGGAGAGGAGTCTGGTCCACGCGGACCAGGAGGGAGGAGGAGGAGAAGATTGGAGAGAGGGAGGGGGGATAATATTACAGGGAGGGAGGGGAGAGTTTTACAGGGAGGGAGGGAGGGGGGGATAATATTACAGGGAGGGAGGGGAGAGTATTACAGGGAGGGAGGGGAGAATATTACAGGGAGGGAGGGGGGAGAGTATTACAGGAAGTGGGGGGGATATTACAGGGAGGGGGAGGTGAGGGTCTCTGGGGGGGTTACACAGTGCGGACATCAGCTGACAGACTGGCTCTAAGCCCTACCCTGAAAATAAGCCCTAGTGTGTTTTTTGTGACTAAAATTAATATAAGACCCGGTCTTATTTTTGGAGAAACACGGTAGTGAGTTCAGAGGACCCACTGCTGATTCTGTGTTTAGTTTATAGGTAAGTGAAGGTGAAAGAGTTATGGCCTATTTAGTTTTATATAATGGCTTTCATGCATTTTTGTGATATTAAAATTAGAAGTTGCAGAGCTGTCCATGTGAAGGTAGGCATTTTGGAATAAGCAGTTTTGTTTAATGAATATAATCCCCCATCCCTAAAAGCATATATGGTAGTTTTAAATTAACTAATTATATTTAGGATTCATTGGTGTTCTGAATTCATGTTTTTTTACTGTAGAAGTGTTAGATCGTTCATAGTAATAGATGGTTTGCATGGTAAAGTGCACAGACTAAATCACATTCTGTACAGTCCAAATGTAAAAATAAAATTAAATTCTAGTTTTTTTTCTATGTTGCAATGATAAGTAAAAAGTTTGAAGTGTAAGTTGAATGCAACCAGTACAATTATAAAAAAAGTCAACTCCTGTGTACAGTTGATATATTAAATATTTAAGAGACATTTTCCAAGAAGAGTAAACAAATTCTGTTGACAGTGAAATAAAAACATTAATATAAAGTGGAAAAATCCCTGACAAAGCTTTCATAAGGCTTGTATAGATTTGGGCAGACATTACACAAACACATATTGTTAATAAGAGCACCACTGGCAGAGCAGCTGTAATACGATCTATCAAAGCTAGTGACATATGTGGAGGTGGTACACACACAAAAAAAAAAAGACCCTCAGCAAAGAATTAACAGGTAGAATGGAAGACGCCTCCAACGTTAGCACCTTTCGATGCTAGACTATTATATTCCTTCACTGCCTTCTCTGTCTGGAGAACGACGGCATCGATCCCTTGTGCTTTGATGTAGGCGAGAGTAGCAGCTGGGACCTAGAAGCATAACAGACTTTAGTTAACCGGTGACACAGATCTAAATCAGCAGAGTGACAAAAAAAAAAAAAAAATATATATAAATTTCCTGCTGGATTAAGGAAAAGAAAGCTGGTGCATATATTTTGTTATTGTTCAAAGGTTTTTGTCAGAGTGGTACTGAGCATATAAACAGCAGTTATAGCAAATGCACTGAACCTTTAATAGGATGAATGTGGAACTAGAAGCTATAGAAGGAGCTCAAGTGCTTATGGTGATAGGACCATTATAGGTGTCATTACCACAAGTGTGGCCACTAGCTGTGCTTTCCAATCTAATTTTTTATTTTTTTTTATTTTTTTATATAATGGCACAAAATAATGTGTTCTTGCACTGCTGCAACCTCACACTACATAATGGTCGGAGTGAAACCCATATATCTGTTTGGTTTGTGCTGAGCAAGTCTAGCTGTAAAGTAATGCTTGTGTAGAGCACAGCACCTATGACCAGGAAAACAGGATGATATGCTCCGATTAGGTCATAGATTCTCAACTGGTTGCACCTTTACCCATATTATTTGAAGTGGCCTGTTTCGATGGAGACGAGAAAACAAATAAAGGTGCTGACCGCCGAGCCGACGCTAGCTGCTGTAGCTCTAATAGGGCATCAACGTCAGAATTCTGCTGAAACACCGCAATAAAAAAATAAATACAAAATCGACTCACAAGGGCCACATGTGAAGAAGTGGCACTCAGGTGCTCAAAATGGTACCATACTAGCAACCTCCCCCCCCCCGGACCGGTGTGCTCCCTAATCGGGTGGTCGGATGTGGAACTCCATCTGGAAAGGACCTTTAGTGCATTTTGGGAGAGACTGGAAGTTCATCTACACCCTATACCTTTGGAGTCCCTGCCTGCATACTCACCAGAGCCCACCCTATGTGGTCGAACAGGAGGTCAAGCTTACATCCCGACACCGGCTAGCCTGGGAAGACGATGCCAGTGGAAGACCACACTAGAATCGGAGAATTTGGATTTCTCATAGGGCAGTGATTGCCCGAAGACAGCTCCCTGGATTGTGGAGGCACAAATGATGGCACGCACAAGCCAGCCCTACCTTCATGCTGGAATTCAGCGTCTGCCTCAGTGTGAACGGGCATGTCTGCATGGTAACTCACCATGGGCTACGCCGCAGGGCCAGATAAGATGCACGTGGCTGGACTCTGTGTTACCCCAGCAGGGAATCAGCTGACCTTGGGACAGAGCTTTGAAATTTACCATGCATGGTGTCACAACATTACACCCAGCGGTACTCTATGATATGTTTTTTTTCGTGGTGGGGCACACATTTAGCTTACCTGGGGGCCTCCTAGGTGGTTTCTTTTCACTTAACGTCACTCACAGTGCCTATGGTTTTCCTTCTGATACCCTAATGTTAACAGTTACCTGCACTGTGCTTTTCTTGCCTTTACTTTTGTTACAAGCATGTGAGGATAAAGTCCTTATCGTGTCATTATTAATATAACAGAAGAGGTATTAACTCTATCTTGCTGATGCAAGCAGTTATGCAATGTGTCAATGCTCTGTTACCTTATCTCTGATATGACTCACATGTGTTTCACTCTTCTTTCTAAATATGTGCAGTAATATCAAGTCATAATATGGAATGTTATGTATTGGTTTATGAGGCTTGCACCTGCTGTTGTGGCAATGCAAGCATTTCTGCATCTCCTTATGCACAAATAAAATAAAGAATATTAAAAATAAAAAACACACTTAAAAATTTAAAAAAGTTGATACGAGAGAGAATGCTTAATGAAACTCTGACCCTGGAATACTAAATACATCTATACACAAACTTTATACAATTTAGATATATAGACCATGCTTTTCATTTAAATGGCTTACCTGCAATGACTCGGTCATGACCCGGCCAATAACAAGAGTCTTCACACCTTTTTTTACCACTTCCTCAAGGTCAGCTGGTTGTACTCCAGGGTGGTGCTGTTAAAGTGTAAATAAAAGCTATAACTGGGACATATACTTTAAAGGTCACTATCAAGTAGATTATGTATGTAGAAAATATAAACAGGTTTATCTCCTAAAGTAAGAATTGTTGGGAATTCAATGTTAATTTTAACATTGAAAAGGACCAAATTAGCCTAACTGGTAGCCTTAATGGCTTGGAAAAAAAGAAAATTCACCTTCAGTTCCTATTTTTTTTTTTATATTTATAGTTTTGAAGCGGTGCATCTCTTTGACATTTGGTTATTGTTGATGTCACATATTGTGTCACATATGCAGTTGCTTGTCAGAGGAATTGCATACAGGTTCGTCAAGTCAATTTTTCGTTGTAATCGTCTTCAGTACATGGCCTTATGTGGTCCTACAGCGAGTAGGATGCCAGTTCGTTGAAACCGGTGCACCTTTTATATGTGTATATATATATATATATATATATATATATATATATATATATATATATATATATATCATAACATAACATAATAATATAACATAACATATTTCTGCGTGTGAGGCACACAGCGATAAATTTTTATTAGCTGAGAATATGTGGAGCCACTGTGTGTCGGTTAATTTCATATTTAGGTCTAATTCCCAGGCTGAGATAAACGAGGGTTTTGTGAGATATGACTTGCGGATGATTTCGTGGTACATTTGGGACATAGGTTTGGTTGGCGGTTTGGTTTGCAGACACATTTGTTCAGCAGTGGACAATTGCCTGGGTTGCCCGGGTTGGGCATTTGGGGGATGGTGTTTGTGAAACCATGATTTTATCTGCATGTGTGAAAAGAGTAGTGACCGCGGTACCTGGTATTCGATTTGTAGGCGTTAAAACGGGATCAGTTTGCCTTTATCGAGTAACTGGTGGAGGTATGTTACGCCATGGGAGGTCCACTCTTTTACATTAAAGTAGGGTATGAGTGTTGTAAGGGCCTGTAGCTTCATAGCCGGCGACGGGTGCACTGACGGCCACGATTTGGTTTGGTGTGTATCCCATATGGACAAGGATAACCTGGTTGTTGGTAACATAGTTTTATATTTGGATCTATGGGAGCCCGGTATCCATGCCAATGTAGTTATATCATGTCCTTCTGTGGAAGTGGACTCAATGACGAGCCATTCTGGCTGGAGATCCTGATGGAATGCTGTGATTAGTGAGCTGAGAAGTGATGCCGAGTAGTACGTGTTTAGGTGTGGGATCCCCAGACCCCCTTGTCTGAAGGGTTTGTGTAACGTGGATGCCGCCACTCTCGATTTTTTTCTTGTTCCATATGAATGTATTTATGAGGGTTTGTGTTTCTCGGAGGAAAGTGTGTGGGAGCTTGATGTGTAACGTGCGGAATAAATACTGGAGTTTGGGTAGAAGTATCATTTTTGTTGCCGCAATTCGTCCCAACCAGGAGACATACTTGCCTGTCCAACTCATGATTTGGCCTTTCAATTTATTCACTAATTTGGTGTAGTTTGCCTGTAACATGGCATGCGACGTGGCTGTAAATGCGACTCCTAAAAAAGTGAGATGATCTGTTCGCCAATCGTACGTGTGGGCCTTTTTAAATTCTTGTAAGGTGTGGGGTGATATGTGCATCCCCATCGCTTGCGTTTTGGAAATATTAAGTTTGTAGTATGAGCATGCACTGTAATCGGCTAGGATGTCATGTAGATGCGGGAGTGATGTATGTGGTGATTCTATGGATAGCATGATGTCATCTGCGAACATTGTGAGTTTGTGTTCCATGGATCCTATTTGTATGCCTTTGACATTGTGACTCATTCTTATATGTTGCGCTAGTGGTTCTAAGATCAGGATGTACAGCAGCGGGGATAGCGGGCATCCCTGGCGCGATCCGTTTGTAATACTAAATCTTTTTGATAGAAATCCACTATTGGCTACATGAGCAGACGGTGTGGAGTATAGTGCTGTCAGTAGGGACATGAAACCCGGAGGGAAACCAAATTTTGTCAGCGTAGCCTCAAGGAATCCCCAGTGCACCCTGTCGAACGCTTTTTCGGCATCCAACGAAAGGAACACACTGGGTCTTCCCGAGGCCCACGCGCTTGACATCAGGCAGTTTCCTGGTACCATCCGAGCCCTGTCTCCCCCCGACAAACCCTACTTGATTTGTGTGTATTACCGAAGGGATTATGGAGGCGAGTCTGTTTGCATAAATTTTCGCTAGCAACTTCGTGTCAGTGTTCAATAGCGAGATCGGTCTCAGGTTTTGGTAGGTGGCTTCTCCGGCTTGGGTAATGTTGCAATGTGGGCTATCAACATCTCTGAAGGCATATAGCTTGTCGTTATAATGGCGTTAAACGTTTTCTCTATTTGCGGGGCTAAGGTGGATTTGAAGCATCTGTAATACATGTTTGTGAAGCCATCTGGGCCTGGTGCTTTCCCCTGTGGTAGGGCGTCGATAGTTTTTTCTATCTCAGTGATGGTGATCGGTTGCTGGATCATTGCCTGTTGAGCTGGTTCAGTGCCTATTTTAATGAATAACACAGATTGGATTGGCAGTATACAGGATTTCCACAGCACGAGATTCTGGATCATGACCAAGGCTGTGCTAGATTACTTTGGGCCCTAGGTAAGATGTTACTTAACCCTCCAAACTAAAATTGCCAAATTTTGTGTTTGTTTCTCCCCACAACCTCTATATGTATCATTGTTTCTTCCTCTTACTTGCTCTCCTGCGCCCTGTGTAGTGTGGCTGAGCGGACCACAGGTAGAGGATATTCTGTATCTTCTACCCATTCAGACAGGAATTTGTTCGTTACTCTTAGCGAGAAGTGACTGGCAGGAGCAATGTATTTTGCACTCTCCCCTTGCAGGTCACCCAGAGCCCAGTGTGTTAATAAACAAGGCATATAAAAAGTAGGCACACTCTATACATATTGATAAGCTATCTTATATAGTTTGAAGTGTATCTAGGAAGCACCTGCAGGAGTTTAGTAGCAAACTGGTGCCCAACCAATAAATGAAAAGAAACATATAATGGAGAAAATACAAAACAAAAGTAAAAATAACGGACATTTATCATAAAATGAGGAAGCTCCAAAAACAGCCCACACTCTTCATTGGCAAGCCTCTTGCCCACTTCGACCATATATACATGCTAATACTCAGTCCGAGTCGGTTCTGTAGTAATGCCCAGATGAGAGGAGTGTTCTCCTGGTGATATGAGAAATTCCCTCCGTTGTTTCAGATATTGGGTAAAGTCTTTTCCTGAATGTTAGCCGGTAAGCTCTGAGCTTCATTACAGAAATGGGGGAGAGAATGGAGAAATTGATATAAAAATATTTTTTTGGTTTACACGCACAGTGTAGCAGAGTTGTTTTTTTTTTTTGTGAGACACGCACGTCCATAAGCCATACCTTTGCCGTTTGGACACACAGGTCCTTGTGGAATAACATTCAATCATTTCGAAGACTAGGTTTTGTGGACTAGAAGCATGAATGTAGCGGTATATCTAATTTAAAAACCTCTAAAAAACAAGAAAAATAATAAGAAAAGTAAAAACTAATCATCTTGAGACTCTCACAAAATGTAAACTATAGGTTCAGATCACCTATCCATGAGTTGGTAGTCTCAGGGCACGCTTGTATCGCAGGAAGATAGCTCCTAGCCCGTCTCAGCATAAATCTAAGGATATAGATGGATGAAGGAATGTAGACAGACAAGAAAGAGTAGGATAGAGTCCAAAATTGGTTACATCCCGCAGACTTCCAGAAATCCCCTACAGTAGTAGTAGGCGGCTCCCCCCGCACAGCCGAGGCAAACTGGTCTCTGCTGGCCAGAGCATTCCTTGCCTCCTCCCCCAGGCACTATTCACGCAAGTCATCCGAAAATGGTTGAGGAAACCACGGTGCCCAAATATGTGTCTGTGGCCTACCCTATGATTGGTGTCAGTATTGCTCAATAACCCGCAGTTCCTCCGTTTTGGCAAACCACAATGACATTGATGAGGCAGAGTCTTTTTTTCCTAATACAGGGGCAGTAATGGTTTAGCTATGTTTATAATTTGAGGTGTCAGGGAGAGTTTATAATCAGGAAGTAGAGGAGGTCATGTGGTGGAGTTAAATACGGTGCTGGTAAGAAGGGCAGGTGGTTGTCAGTAAATTTGGCTGATGCAGGCTAGATGTTTCCAGTATGGCACTACAATAGGACATTCCCACCATATGTGTAGGAAGGAGCCCTTCTCTCTCCCACACCTAGAGCACAACCGGTTCAAGTCAGGATGCTCTATTTGCAGGAGTTTTGTTGTCAGATACCACTGGGTTAGGACTTTGTAGGCAGTTTCTGGACTTTTACTAGCTATGGGGCAATGATGCACGAGATCACACATTTTGTGCCATTGGGTCTCTGAAAAGGGTTTTCCCTATGGTTTGTTCCCACTTTGACATACAGGTGATACTCGAAAAATTAGAATAGCGCGCAAAAGTTAGTTTATTTCAGTAATGCAACCTAAAAGGGGAAACTAATATATGAGATAGACACATTACATGCAAAGCAAGATAGTTCAAGCCATGATTTGTCATAAGTGCGATGATTATGGCTTACAGCTCATGAAAACCCCAAATCCACAATCTCCGTAAATTAGAATATTACATGCAGTCAATAAAACAAGGAGTGTGCATAGACCAATATAGGACCTCTGAAAAAAAATACAAGCATGCATATGGACTCAGTACTTCGTTTGGGCCCCTTTTGCAGCAATTACTGCCTCAATGCGGCGTGGCATGGAAGCTATCAGCCTGTGGCACTGTTGAGTTATGGAAGACCAGGATGCTTCAATAGAGGCCTTCAGCTCTCCTGCATTGTTCGGTCTCATGTCTCATCTTTCTCTTGGCAAATGCCCCATAGATTCTCTATGGGGTTCAGGTCAGGCGAGTTTGCTGGCCAATCAAGCACAGTAATCCCACAGTCATTGAACCAGGCTTTGGTGCTTTTGGCAGTGTGAGCAGGTGCCAAGTCCTGCTGGAAAATGGTCAGCATCCCCATAAAGCTTGTCTGCAGAAGGAAGCATGAAGTGCTCCAAAATCTCTGCATTGACCCTGCACTTAATGAAGCACAGTGGACCAACACCAGCAGATGACATGGCTCCCCAAATCAACACAGACTGTGGAAACTTCACACTGGACTTCAGGCATCTTGCAGTGTGTGCCTCTCCATTCTTCCTCCAGACTCTGGGTCCTTGGTTTCCAAATGAGATGCAAAAGTTGCTCTCATCAGAGAAGAGGACTTTGGACCACTGAGCAACAGACCAGGTCTGTTTTTCTTTAGCCCAGGTAAGACGCTTCGGACGTTGTTTGTGGTTCAGGAGCGGCTTGACAAAAGAAATACAACATCTGAAGCCCATGTCCAGGATCCGTCTCTGTGTGGTGGCTCTGGATGCACTGACTCCAGCCTCAGTCCACTCCTTGTGAAAGTCCCAAACACATTTGAATGGCCTTTTCCTGACAATCCTCTCCAGGCTGCGGTCATCCCTGCTGCTTGTGCACCTTTTTCTTACACACTTTTCCCTTCCACATAACTTTCTATTAATGTGCTTTCATACAGCAATTTGGGAACATCCAACTTCCTTTGCAATTATTTTTTGAGGCTTTACCTCCTTATGGAGCGTGTCAATAATGATGGTTTTCTGCACAACTGTCAGGTCAGCAGTCTTCCCCATGATTGTGATTCCTACTGAACCAGACAGAGACCATTTAAAGGCTCAGAAACCCTTTGCAGGTGTTATGGCTTGCTTAGCTGATTAGAGTGGGACACTGTGAGCCTAGAATATTGCACGTTTTCACAATATTCTAATTTGCGGAGATTGTGGATTTGGGGTTTTCATGAGCTGTAAGCCATAATCATGGCTTGAACTATCTTGCTTTGCCTGTAATGCGTCTCTCTCATATATTAGTTTCCCTTTTTACGTTGCATTACTGAAATAAATTAACTTTTGCACGATATTAACTAATTTTTTGAGTATCACCTGTAGGAGAGTGAGCGAGAGAGATCATTAACGGCTATGCCGTCCATGTGTTCACGAGGTCCTCGCAATCACATGGCCCAGGGGGGCCGAAACGGACGGAGGGGGACTCCCTAGGCTCCCAGGTGAGTCCCCACACCGCGATCGCTGGCGACCGGGTAAGTAGAAAGGACGGCGAGGACGTGCTATGCCGCCCCCCGGCATTAGATCCACGTCCCCAAGGATGGCATAGCACGTCCACCGTCCTTAAGGGGTTAATTACATTAGATCTCAATGTCAGCATTACATTTATACTTACATTTGTTCCAGTTTCTCTCCAATCCCATGTTCTACTTCCTCCTGGCCAGACTTTACAGTCTTTGTAAACCTGAGCTCCAACTTTCATCGTTCCCCAGGAGAGTGAGGAGATCTCTGGAGAACTCATCTTTGAGAGATGGGCTAAAAAGGAAGAAATAAGGAAAAAAAAAAAAAATAGGTGGATTGCAACTGTGCCTAAATAATCATGTTTTATTATTTAACATTAAAATGAACAATCCAATCACAGCCTACTATAGTGGTTATGGTGCCAGGTGTGACCTGGCACCCACAGTAAGATGGGAAGCCATCTAGGCCCTGTGTAAAGCACCGCATCAGGCATTCTACAGTAGAAGCTGGATTCCTGTATGTAACAAAGCAGGACTGTTATTTGCTCTACAAACACATCAGGCTTCTCCTACTGGAGAAAAAGACAGATGTGGCATATACAGCATGGGTGCCCAGCTGGACACAAGCAGTTTGCCCATCCGTGCTTATATAACAAAGTATTTAACCAGGAAAGGTACATTCAGATCACTCTGGTTTTCAAGTACGTCCTGGGGGAGGAGGGGGTGTTACCTTAGCCCAATATCCAGGGGTTGTTACCATTACCCAATTTAAGAAGATAAAGAGGTGATTGTAGACACAGAATGGTCCCTGCTGATTGGACAGAAGAAGAATTCATGAAAACACACTGCATCCCTGACAGTCTCTCTAGCTTCCCCTGTAGGTGGTGTAGGAATATGGACTGAGCAACAGAGGCACGTGGTATTTCTGTTTCAGATCTGTGATGGTAAACAATCTCTATGTAAGGGTAGAAACTCTTGTTGGAGCTGCTTCCAGTATTCACCAGTGTCAAATCATAACTGATAGGTTCCTGCTGTGAGTGGCACACCGCGCAGCAACGATCGACAGCGCCCATCCTCATCAGTCATACTTCTACTCAGTTGCACCCATTTCCCCTGTGTATCAAGCTTGGACAGGGTGAGTTTTCTCAAGGGCGTCTCAGGCAGGACTGTGTCCACACACCTGGAGATTACCCTCAGGCAAAACGTTTGACATGCCTCCTGTAGGGTTTGGTGCTTGAAATGTTCCTTTAAACTACAATGTTTAATGGTAAAAAAAATAAAAACCATAAGGTTCACCATACTGTAAGCTACAACATTATTGATAGTGGTAGAGGTTAACACAGTAAAGGAGTTTAAGCATGCATGGGATAGGCATAAGGCTATCCTAACTATAAGATAAGGCTAGGGACTAATGAAAGTATTTAGAAAATTGGGCAGACTAGATGGGCCGAATGGTTCTTATCTGCCGTCACATTCTATGTTTCAGGCCTCGGGCAGGAATTCCACCGGCTGTGCTCAGGACGTGTCACGAGTGAACTAGACATTTCTTTAGTGTCGGTCACGTGATCACAGCATTACCAGTCGCATCCTGATGTGGCGCGGGGTATGCAGTGCCACAGAATGGTGGCGAACAGCGCACATCCACATTCCTCACTCAAGGAAGCAGTGAGAGAAACATTCCTTGTCGCTTGGGACACCGGATGCTCTCGGTTCTGGCAGACGCAAGGGTACATCATACAGCGACGACAGGGAAACACTCTGCTCCAGGAGACAGAATGACCAGTCCCTCACTATCTGGGCCGGACACTCAAAGGGCGTCTCAGGGAGGACTGTGTCCACACACCTGGAGATTACCCTCAGGCAAAACGTTTGACATGCCTCCTATAGTGGTTTGGTGCTTGAAATGTTCCTTTAAAACTACAATGTTTAATGGTAAAAAAATAAAAACCATAAGGTTCACCATATTGTAAGTTACAACATTACTGAGGTAAAGGTAGCATCTCTGAATTTATTGCAGTTATGACTACTGGCAAATTCAATGAAAATGTATTATTTACTGAAGTGAGAATTTAAACTTCATTTCAAGAAAACCACACCGCAAAAAATATTAAAGTCATTGTAGCGGATTGAGTTGGGCTGTCTTTAAATATTCATGTTATAAGGTCGTTTTCGTTTCATTTGTTTTCTATATACATGTATTGTATGGAGCATTCGTCTGATTGGTAAAACCACTCCGTTCGTCATACGAACAAACTACCGAACAATCAGATCACCCCAGAGAGAAGTGTGCCCCTAGTTTACCTCCCCGATTGGTGCTAACCGCAGTCTAATTAGCAATTAGACGAATGTTCTGTGTGTGTTCCCTGGATGGCCGCCATCTTGCCATACGAATGCCCAGCGGTGTTTGGTCATCAAGGATCTGGAACCCAAATCGGACACTCGACTACGCGAACACCGCTAAGACCTCCAGAGTTCCATAATTACCGAATGAAACACCCTAACAGCCCGCCGTTCAGTTAAATGAATCCCACGAACAAGGGGATTCATACGAACGTTAGTACAGCTATGGATGGCAAGGATTTTCATATCTTTTACCCCACGAACAAAGTCCGACTGCCAGGCCAAAATTTATGGAACTGATTTCGGCTACTGCCTCGTGTGCGGTCGGTCAAATGAACACTTCCACCTAACTCCAGAATCCCTGGTCCAATCTGGGTGATTTTTGAATATGTTGTTCACCCAGATCAGGAGTATCAGGGGATACCATTATAGATAAATTTAGGGGTCTATCTGGGGTACATCCAAAAACCATGTACTGTATAATTGAATTCTGTTAAGCTGAGGGGAGGAGATGTGTGGGAGGTAACGTGTAAATGATTTGGTTACTGTACTAATTACTGTGGGTGTCTCCCTTACATGGGAGAAATGCTTAAAAGCTGAGTATGTGGAATAAATCTTCAGTTCTGCTCCTGATATGGTGTGTCGTCTAGTTATTGGGAATCGTGATGGGATATTACTGGATTATTTTATTCTCATTGATACTGTTTATCCTGGGTTAACATCTTATTCCTGCTTCACTGTTCTAATACCAGCGGAGAACGCTATAGGAAACTAGGTCTCCGCTAGAGTCATTTAAGACTTGACTTAAGCTATTCCGGCTTCAAAATTCACTTTGAATTCTCACTTTAGCAAATAACCGTGACCGAGTCGCTTTCTACAGCGCCATGATGGATGTACAACAGGTGGATTTTAATCTCTCACCAAGCTCGATTCACGCAATCTGCTGCTAGTGCTGTAAATATTAAAACCAAGCAGGGACAAACCATGAAGAGGTTAGCGACATCAATAGAGCAGGAACAGGATTCCATAAGTCAAAGAATACAAAATGATGTTTAAATTCAAAGTTTACGTAAAATACTGGGTGCTACAATAACTACATATTTTGACGCAAACCCCACCTCCCCCCCCAAAAAAATAAATATAAAAATATAGACATAAAATGGTGTTGCATTAAAATTCAAATAGGCTAAAATAATAGATCTAGCAAAACAAAACTGGACTCAACCCTGACAGAAATTGAATACATAAAGATTGTTTACTACATCCCAGAATGAAATGGTAATTTTTTAATTTTTTTTAAATAAGTGGAAATTTGTAGCTGAAATGGCTTATTTAGGAGGGGTATTTACAAGTGTGATAACAGGGCTGTTTTTATGCTCAGATTAGACCACCCAGCTCATAAAAACGACAATTCAGAGTTTAGAGACAGAATTATTTGCAATAACGAACGAAAAGTGAACCTTGAACCCAATAGAAATAAACAGAGAAAGAAAATAAAATCCTCCAGTATAGTTATATTATCATTTCACCTGTTCAGCCTAAAATTTGAAGAATCACTTTTAAAAAAAAAAAAAAATGTCAACACCATATATTTTAATCACATTAATCAGCCAGGGTAACAGTGCGGAGACCTGCTGCCAACTAACTGAAGCGCTCACCTCACAACGCTCAACTGCGTCACGGCGAGCTTGGCACCCAGGTATTTATACCTCCAAGGCCCGCTTTCTAATTGGAGCGGAGTGTTGTAGCCACGCCCCCCGCCCTCCCCGGTGCAGGAGGCGGGAAGGAGACGGCGCGCGCTGAGCTCGAGCTCTGTTTGTCTCTGTCTGTGTGTGTGAGGGGGGGGCAGAGCTGACAGGAATGAAACCCACAGAATAATACGCCACGAGCGTGCCGACACTGCGAGCTGGGGAGAATCTCTCTCAGAGTTATCCCACCACCCCCTCTAACGGCAGCCAAAACACAGGCTTACATTAATATTTATATTCGTTATATATATATACATAGATATCTATATCACCCTCCTGCCTGCCCTGCTCCAAGCATTAACACTGACACTAATGATAAATAACGTATTTGTGCTCCCATGATGACATTGTATGGATGATGTAATTGTCAATAAAGTTTTTTTTTTTTTTTTAATGGTGGTGGGGGGGGATCTGTATCTCTTTGTTGTATATTCGCCTCCCATGTCGTTTCAATGAGGAGAGACCATAGAGTGGAACGGTGAAAGAGAGCGCGGCTCCCTCAGTCTCGGATTCTCTCCCGGTGCATTGTGGGATACGGGAATTGGTCTGAGCCCGCCGGGGGGAGGAGGAGGAGGGGCTGTGCGCGCGGCCGCACAGTGTGGAGAGGGAGAGCGCGAGCGTGCGTGCCGCGCGCACCGTCTGCCCATCTCCTCTCCCTCACCCCGCCCCCCTCCCTCCTCTAAAGCTCCAAGATGGCGGCAGCGGCGGCTGATGCGGAGACCCCGGCTCCCCCTCCCCCCCCGGCGGTGGTCGAGGCTCCGGATCCTGCTCCCGGCGGGGGGGTCGGGGCCTGCCCGGATTTCGCCGTGGTGTGCTCGTTCCTGGAGCGCTATGGCGCCTTGCTGGACCTGCCCGAGCTCAGCTTCCCGGAGCTGGAAGAGGCGCTGGAGGAGACCGGAGCAGGTGAGGAGCCGAAGGGAGGGGAGCTCGCTGGCCCCTCGGGTGTCCGGTCTGGGGGTTCAGGGGGCTCGGGCTCCCAGTGCGGCCCCCCTACATTTCCAACCTACGCCATCACAATGGTCCCCCCACCCCATCCTTCATCTGACCAGCCCCTTCTAGTCCTGGCTGCAAGATGGTCCGATGGGCTGCCATGTTAGCTCCACACTGGGCCACTGACTGCTAACCACATCACACTGCACTACATCTCCCACGGTGCTCCTCCTCACACCACACTGCACTACATCTCCCATGGTGCTCCTCCTCACATCACACTGCACTACATCTCCCACGGTGCTCCTCCTCACATCACACTGCACTACATCTCCCACTCCTCCTCACATCACACTGCACTACATCTCCCATGGTGCTCCTCCTCACATCACACTGCACTACATCTCCCACGGTGCTCCTCCTCACATCACACTGCACTACATCTCCCATGGTGCTCCTCCTCACATCACACTGCACTACATCTCCCACGGTGCTCCTCCTCACATCACACTGCACTACATCTCCCACGGTGCTCCTCCTCACATCACACTGCACTACATCTCCCACGGTGCTCCTCCTCACATCCCACTGCACTACATCTCCCACGGTGCTCCTCCTCACATCACACTGCACTACATCTCCCACGGTGTGCTCCTCACACCACACTGCACTACATCTCCCACGGTGCTCCTCCTCACATCACACTGCACTACATCTCCCACGGTGCTCCTCCTCACATCACACTGCACTACATCTCCCACTCCTCCTCACATCACACTGCACTACATCTCCCATGGTGCTCCTCCTCACATCACACTGCACTACATCTCCCTTGGTGCTCCTCCTCACATCACACTGCACTACATCTCCCTTGGTGCTCCTCCTCACATCACACTGCACTACATCTCCCACGGTGCTCCTCACATCACACTGCACTACATCTCCCATGGTGCTCCTCACATCACACTGCACTACATCTCCCATGGTGCTTCTCCTCACATCACACTGCACTACATCTCCCACGGTGCTCCTCCTCACATCACACTTTTGCACTACATCTCCCATGGTGCTCCTCCTCACACATCACACTGCACTACATCTCCCACGGTGCTCACTCACTCACATCACACTGCACTACTTCTCCCATGGTGCTCCTCCTCCATCACACTGCACTACATCTCCCACGGTGCTCCTCCTCACATCACACTGCACTGCATCTCCCAAGTTATCCCTCCTCCACATCACACTGCACTACGCTGTCTCCCGGTGCTCCTCACATCACACCTGCACTACATACTCCCATAGTGCTTCTCACTCACATCCGCACTGCTACATCCCGTGGGATGCAATGTTTCATAGGAGATCACGAATGGAAATATTTTCATGGGGAGATGCCAGTGCGTAATGAAGGGCACCATGGGAGATAGCCAGTGCAGTAATGTGTGAACCACCATGGGAGATGTGATACGAAGGAGTATGAAGGCCTGCAGTAACCGATGATAGTGCAGTAACGAAAGGAAAGGCGTGTAGTGATGTGAAGGCTATACGGCAATGTGCAGTATGAGGAAAAGCCGGGAAGATGTATTACAGTGACACCGTGGAGATATGCAACGTGAGCCACCGTGAAACAGCAATTACATATTAATGAAACTGTGAAAATGCAGTACCTGTGATGTGGCGTAAAATACAGTACTGAGCCTGAGTGCAGCAGGAGATGCGTTTCAGCATGGTGCTCCTCCTCACATCACACTGCACTGCATCTCCCATGGTGCTCCTCTCACATCACACTGCGCTGCGTCTCCCCATAGTTGCTCCTCACATCCGCAGCTACTTTCGCGTCTCCCACGGTGCTCCTCCTCACATCACACTGCACTACATCTCCCACGGTGCTCCTCCTCACATCACACTGCACTACATCTCCCACGGTGCTCCTCCTCACATCACACTGCACTACATCTCCCATGGTGCTCCTCCTCACATCACACTGCACTACATCTCCCATGGTGCTCCTCCTCACATCACACTGCACTACATCTCCCATGGTGCTCCTCCTCACATCACACTGCATCTCCCATGGTGCTCCTCCTCACATCACACTGCATCTCCCATGGTGCTCCTCCTCACATCACACTGCATCTCCCATGGTGCTCCTCCTCACATCACACTGCATCTCCCATGGTGCTCCTCCTCACATCACACTGCATCTCCCACGGTGCTCCTCCTCACATCACACTGCACCACATCTCCCACGGTGCTCCTCCTCACATTACACTGCACTACATCTCCCATGGTAATCCTTTCCCATGGTGCTCCTGGGCAATGCAATCCACCAACACCTTGGGGAGCCCTGACCAGCCATCTCTGCTTTCTGTCCTTGACTGTGGTATTCCTTCCAGTCTCCTTTGTAAAGCATTGGCTACTGCACCCAAGGAGGGGGGAGGGGGGGGGGTCTCCCATTCTGTGCAGTGCCAGCAGAAGGTGCCCCACAATGGGGTGTTATTTATTGTGCCTCTATAGGTATGGCTTGTTTTGGGCCACTCATTGCTAAACATTTGGCCCTGCTGCCTTTAAGGATTACTACTTTAGCAGGGATGCTTTGTAAGCCATGAGGATTACTGTGGCATGGCTGGCTGAGCATCATGAGAATTGCAGTGGTACAGGTTTGCCATCCCCTATTGGAGGACACTAATGCATGTTTATGCCTCCCTCCTTTGATTGAAGTGGATGTTGTGCTGCCACATCCTGTGTGGGCATACTCCCAGCCTCCCTCCTAAATTGATAGAGGGAGTTAAAGGGGTGGGAGGAGGGACGCAGACAAACCCACATACTACAATTTCGGGGTTCAGGATGGTTAGGAACTGATGGGGCTTTCATTAAATTGCAACATTTAGGCTACAGTATTAACAACTCTACAATACATCTTTCTGAATTTAAAGTGGTTATTTTAGCCTGTTTTAGTCACAATTTAGTGTTTTGTAAATGAGCAGCAAGATCAGCCATTATGACCTGATTTTTGCAATATTGCTTTCTATTCACTAGTAAGTGAATTAAACCTGGTTTGAAACACATAAGAAGAGGACCTCCCTAAATTTAGAAAGTCCTGAGCATCTCATGCTAAGTTGATGGCTTTGTTGTTCTAACACATTGGAAGAGAGCATGGCAGTGTGTTTAGGTTGGCTTGTCTAGAAAGCAGAGAATTATTTCCTATTGTCAGCTCTGTACGTACTTGGCATTTTCTTTTAAAGCAAATGATGCAGTGGGAGAGAATATTCCACTTTCCACCTATTCTGTTTTAGGTTTTATAGTAGACTGTAAATTTTAATGGTGTAATAAAATTTTTATTTAAAAATGCTTATATTCTCTTAAAGGCCTGTCATATGATCAAAACATTAATAGTGCAGAAAAAGAGAGTTGTGATTTAGCAAACATGGTGATATATAATGACATTTAATTCTTTAAAAAAAAATCTGCTTAAATCCAAAAATGACCATACATCATTTTCATTTCATGAACACTGTTCAAACCTTTTAGCGGTTTATAAGGTACTTTAATAAAGGATTGTTTTGCTGTCTCTTGTGCTGTTAACTTCACAACATGTTGAAGTTAACTGAAATATTTTAAATAGAAGTACACTAAGAGCAAGTTACGGCATAAAGACAAACTTGTTTGTTAGGTGGTCAACTCACTTTAGCTTATTCATTGTCAGATGGACCTTTTACTAAATTAATAAATTATTTAACCAGCAATGATACATTCAGATTACTTTGGTTTTCAAGTACGTCCTGTGGATGTTACCTTAGCCCAACATCCAGGGGTAGCTTATTTCCATGTGTGTTGTAGATTCTATACATCAGGTCATAGACTGCCATTTCTTAACTTACTGTTTAGATATTCAACAGTGGGGTAGAATGTGTTGAACAAATGGAACTTTGTGAGGACATAGGCACTTTGTTCTCACTGTCGAATATTTTATTAATGGTGTAGATGGACCCTGCCATGCCTTTATATGACCGTCCCATTGTAACCTGATCTAAGCAATTCTTTTTCTTAACTGTTCAGCTTCAAAGTATATACATTGGCAAACATTTATAAATTGACTTGTCTAGCATGACTCGTTCCATAAATTTGACCTGGCTTCCATTGACATCCATCCTGAAAGCATAACTCTTGGTACCCAAAACTCAACTCCTTTGCTGCTGATGCTAATATAGACCTCAATTTAATAGGCTTTTCAAATGATTAAATATTGTTAGAAAAACTTTACAAACTATGTATTAAATTTCACATGGACTTTAACAAAGACTTCTGTTGATCAATCATTTGAAAAGATTATTAAATCGAGGTCATATTGTGGACATTATACTTGTGTATTATCCAATCTGTTCTAGCTTGAAGACCAAGCCACCTCCACTACTTTACAGCATACCATAGCCAAGGTTAGACAATATCAAGTAAACCCCCTCTTTTCCTCCACATTCCCCCTCCCCCCCTTTTATTTACCACCATACAGGTTTGAAACGTTTTAAAGAGAGAGTGTCACAACATCCAAATACTCCTTACTCCAGAAACACTGCAAGAGTATCCCGTTAATGATTGATCCTGAGACTCGTTGCATCTAAGTTTAATTTTAGAATAACTTTCACTTTGAGTTTACTTATGAGAAAAAGTAAAATCAAAAAAAGTGAATCCCTGTCAATATAACACAATCTTTGTGTGTATAAAATATCTGATCCAAAATTCTCGTATCCAAATTAAATCCCCATATTCTCAAATATCAAACCTAATGGGACACTGCATTATCCAAATAATTTGTAAAATCACTGTCTAGTAGATATACCCCAAATTAAAACTCCTGCCTTGAATTGTGCATTCTTTCATTGAGGTATGTCTAAAAATAGCTTGCAAAATCTTCAAATCTTTTGCTTTAAAGGATCACTATAGGGTGAGGAACACAAACATGTATTCCTGACCCTACAGGGAGTGCAGAATTATTAGGCAAGTTGTATTTTTGAGGATTAATTTTATTATTGAACAACAACCATGTTCTCAATGAACCCAAAAAACTCATTTAATATCAAAGCTGAATATTTTTGGAAGTAGTTTTTAGTTTGTTTTTAGTTATAGCTATGTTAGGGGGATATCTGTGTGTGCAGGTGACTATTACTGTGCATAATTATTAGGCAACTTAACAAAAAACAAATATATACCCATTTCAATTATTTATTATTACCAGTGAAACCAATATAACATCTCAACATTCACAAATATACATTTCTGACATTCAAAAACAAAACAAAAACAAATCAGTGACCAATATAGCCACCTTTCTTTGCAAGGACACTCAAAAGCCTGCCATCCATGGATTCTGTCAGTGTTTTATCTGTTCACCATCAACATTGCATGCAGCAGCAACCACAGCCTCCCAGACACTGTTCAGAGAGGTGTACTGTTTTCCCTCCTTGTAAATCTCACATTTGATGATGGACCACAGGTTCTCAATGGGGTTCAGATCAGGTGAACAAGGAGGCCATGTCATTAGATTTTCTTCTTTTATACCCTTTCTTGCCAGCCACGCTGTGGAGTACTTGGACGCGTGTGATGGAGCATTGTCCTGCATGAAAATCATGTTTTTCTTGAAGGATGCAGACTTCTTCCTGTACCACTGCTTGAAGAAGGTGTCTTCCAGGAACTGGCAGTAGGACTGGGAGTTGAGCTTGACTCCATCCTCAACCCGAAAAGGCCCCACAAGCTCATCTTTGATGATACCAGCCCAAACCAGTACTCCACCTCCACCTTGCTGGCGTCTGAGTCGGACTGGAGCTCTCTGCCCTTTACCAATCCAGCCACGGGCCCATCCATCTGGCCCATCAAGACTCACTCTCATTTCATCAGTCCATAAAACCTTAGAAAAATCAGTCTTGAGATATTTCTTGGCCCAGTCTTGACGTTTCAGCTTGTGTGTCTTGTTCAGTGGTGGTCGTCTTTCAGCCTTTCTTACCTTGGCCATGTCTCTGAGTATTGCACACCTTGTGCTTTTGGGCACTCCAGTGATGTTGCAGCTCTGAAATATGGCCAAACTGGTGGCAAGTGGCATCGTGGCAGCTGCACGCTTGACTTTTCTCAGTTCATGGGCAGTTATTTTGCGCCTTGGTTTTTCCACACGCTTCTTGCGACCCTGTTGACTATTTTGAATGAAACGCTTGATTGTTCGATGATCACGCTTCAGAAGCTTTGCAATTTTAAGAGTGCTGCATCCCTCTGCAAGATATCTCACTATTTTTGACTTTTCTGAGCCTGTCAAGTCCTTCTTTTGACCCATTTTGCCAAAGGAAAGGAAGTTGCCTAATAATTATGCACACCTGATATAGGGTGTTGATGTCATTAGACCACACCCCTTCTCATTACAGAGATGCACATCACCTAATATTCTTAATTGGTAGTAGGCTTTCGAGCCTATACAGCTTGGAGTAAGACAACATGCATAAAGAGGATGATGTGGTCAAAATACTAATTTGCCTAATAATTCTGCACTCCCTGTATAGTGTTAACACCACCATCTAGACCCCCTGGGCCCCTCATGCCATAAATACTGTATTCAAGCCAGAAGCTGTAAATCTGCATGCTGTTAGACTCAGAAAAACAAGCAGTCTGCTGACATGTGGTAGCCTGATCCAAATACAGTGCTTCTCCGTAGAATTGGCTGAGACTGACAAAGAAGCAGATCAGGGGCAGAGCCAGCATGATTCAAACACAGCCCTGGCCAATCAGCATCTCCTCATAGAGATGAATTGAATCAATTAACCTCTATGAGGAAAGTTCAGTGTCTGCATACAGAGGGAGGAGATACTGAATCACAGGATGCTGTGCACAGTGCTGCCCTGTGCTCTGCTGACAGCAGATCTGAGTGGTTGGAGGCATATTACGCCTCCATCAACTCCGAAGTCCCTCTAGTTCACTCTGAGTGACTGCAACTGGAGGTGTTTTTAGCTTTCAATGTAAACACTGTTTTTTGTTGTTTTTTTCTCAGAAAATAGTGTTTACATGAGAGGCTGCAGGGAGCTATAGTTCTCACCTGAACAACCTCATTAAGCTGAAGTTGTTCAGGTGACTATAGTGTCCCTTTAAACCTTTGCAAGTCCTCTTCTAACTAAGTCCAGACATTCTGTCTGTCAAAGAGACTTCCCAATGCAGATCAATGAAGTCTTTGCAGGATGGCTGCTCTGAGCAGTTGCCTGCTTCTTGAGTTTAGCCCCACTGAGCTAAACAAACCAGGAAGTAACCAGTTGTCTGGGTAGCAAGTTTTATTTATAAACGTTCCACTATCTATGAAAATCTGCACTTTTTGTAACATTAAACAAACGGCTCCCCTTGACACAAGCTGAAGTCCTTTAGTGGCCTGGAGAGTTCCTTTATTAAATATAACGGTTAAAAGTCAAATAGGCAATTGCTAATAAAATTATCTATATTACCATCAAACCCATTCCTTGGAAAAGTGAGAGACCTCACTTGGTTACAAATGCTCTATTTGAATAAGAGGGAGAAGGGAAAAAAACTAACGTGTATCCAAGTTACAAATAAACTCCTAAAATTATATAAAAAGTATCACATAGGAATAATCACTTGAAAAGACTGCTATTGCAAAATCCCAATGCACTGCTCGGTGAAAGGAACACTATAGGGTCAGGAATCCAATCTTGTATTCCTAACTTTAAAGTGTTAAAATCCCATTTTAGACTTGCCGACTACCCCTATAAAAAGGGGTTTATAGTGTCGTGCAGGTTCACCGGCGCAGTCTCCGCCTTCTTGGTTGAGATCATCAAAACTGATGATCTCGGCTGATCCAATGTTTTCCCATAGGAAAGCAATGGAAGGCTAAAGCACACATGCAGTAAAACGCAGTAGTGCACCTATCTGCATCTTCTCATAGAAATGCACTGAATCAATGCATCTTTATGGGGAAAACTCAGCGCCTCCCTGCAGAGCATGAAGACACCGAAAGGCAGTGCTGCACATTGTGATTGCTTTTTGTAAAGTCTTTTTGTTTTTTTGTTTTTTTTTCTATTTTACAAAAAGTACAATTTATTAATCCCCTCTGACTGTCAGACAGGCGGTTCTGTTACTTCTTAGTTGTTTTAGCTCAGTTGAGCTTAACTCAAGAGGCAGGTAGTTGACCAATCCCTCCCTCCCCCAACCCACCACCCATGGAAAAAAAATGCACAACTACATGCATGCATCTTTTACTTGGAGAAATATCTACTAAATTGTCTGTTTTTTTGTGTGTGTGTGTGTGTGTGTGTGTGTGTACCATAGCATAAAAAGAGTGGAGAAAAGACAGTCTAGAAAAAGTAAGAATGTATCAAATCTAGAAGGTCATAAAGTACCTGGGTGTGAAAACAAGGGGATCTACTATGGGATGGGGCTCGTTTTTGTATCCTTGAGTAACTGCCTATTATAATCGGAAATTGTTAAAGTGTATGATTGTATAATTGAGTAGTCTCTTTTTCGATGGTATGAATATGCCATGTTACCTGTGGGCTTTCAGAATTGCATTACATTCCAATTTCTACTCGTATTGCAAAATTATCAATTTAGCAAATATGGGAATTTTCATTATTCATTTTCACAAACTTGCTAAAGCCATTTTTAGGCTTTTACACTAGCTGCATGCGTGGTGTTTTTTTTTGTTTGTTTGTTTTTTTTGCAGGAGATTACTAAAGGCGAACTATCAAGGGGTCTTATGCTCTTCTATATATTTTGGGAGGCCACAAGCATTAACAACATTTGTGTTAAGGGTTTCTAGGCTGTCTTTTTGATTATCTGATAACAACCTTACCATTGAGATCATCAGTAGATTAAAAACAATCTAAGTCCGAAGGGAGACACTGGCCTTTAAAATGCCCATAAAATACTGTCCTGATTAACAGTAAGGTAGTTGTACAGTTTGTAATGTGCTTATTGGCATCCTATCTTCTGGAGACATCTGATTTTAAAAGGGTAGAGATTTCTGTGCAGACAAGCAGGACAGCCTCTTTGAGGAGGTTTCTCCTGCTCTAGCCTGCATATTAATCCATGTCATACATGTGCAGCATTTGTCAAACCACTCAACTGGGTGAACAGTACTTAAAGGGACACTATAGTCACCTGAACAACTGTAGCTTAAAGGGACACTATAGTCACCTGAACAACTTTAGCTTAATGAAGCAGTTTTGGTGTATAGAACATGCCCCTGCAGCCTCACTGTTCAATCCTCTGCCATTTAGGAGTTAAATCCCTTTATGAACCCTAGCCACACCTCCCTGCATGTGACTTGCACAGCCTTCCATAAACACTTCCTGTAAACAGAGCCCTATTTAGGCTTTCTTTATTGCAAGTTCTGTTTAACCCCTTAAAACCGGAGGACGTACAATTACGCCCTCTAATAGGCGGCTCTAAACGCCGCCGGGCGTAATTGTACGCCCTCCGGTTTTTGTTAACTTACCCGTGGGACCGCCGGCGATCGCGGTTGGGGGGACTCCCAGGGAGCCCCCCGCGGCACGTCCATCCTCGTCGAAGCCCCCCGGCCATGTGAGAGTGGGGTCCTAGCGAGGACCCCACAATCACATGGCCGGGGATAGCTGGCTTCTGTATTGCCGGCAGGGGGGCTGCCTGTAATTACAGGTGGTCCCCCTGCTGGCTGAAAATAAAAATAAAATAAGTTAATGGTGTAAAAAAAAAAAAATTATATATACTTAGATCATATATATATATATTATATATATATGATCTAAGTATATATATATACACACACATACACCGTCTAGGTGTATTTTACTATTAATATATATATATATATATATATATATATATATATATATATATATATATATATATATATAATTATATATATTAATATCAAATTACACGAGACTGATACGGATTAAATATATATAAATTGTTATATATATATATTTATATAATATAAAAAAAATAAAAATGTAAATACGTTAAAAAATAAAATTTAAAAAATAATTAAAAATAAATAATTAAAAAATATATAGATGTGTGTTATTTCGTTCTAACTGTATTGTGAAATTAATATATATATATATATATATATCAAAATACACATAGAACAAAATAATATATATATCTATACACATAAATATATACGTATATATCACTATATATATACCTATATATAAATAAAAATATTTAAAAAAAATTATATAGATATATACATATATATACACATACGTATATATATACATATATTAATTCGACATATATATTTATGTAATATTTTTACATAATTAGGTATCTTAATTAATTACAATTAGCAGGACCTGCATGACAACCCATGCCGAAAGTAAAGGGAATTTAATTTGCTAGCACTATATTTAACCCTATAACTTTTCGAGACACCATAAAACCTGTACATGGGGGGTACTGTTCTACTCGGGAGACTTCGCTGAACACAAATATTAGTGTTTCAAAACATTAAAATGTATTACAACGATGATATCGCCAGTAAAAGTTACGTTTTTTGCATTTTTCACGCACAAACAGCATTAAACGGACAATATTATTGCTATGATACTTTTTACTGTTTTGAAACACAAATATTTGTGTTCAGCGAAGTCTCCCGAGTACAACAGTACCCCTCATGTACAGGTTTTATGGTGTTTTCAAAAGTTACAGCGTCAAATATAAGGCTTGCGTTTGATTTTTTTCCCATTAAAATTCGCCAGATTGCTTACGTTGCCTTTGTGACCCTATGGTAGCCCAAGAATGAAAATTACCCCTATGATGGCATACCATTTGCAATAGTAGACAACCTAAGGTATTGCAAACGGGGTATGTCCAGTCTTTTTTAGTAGCCACTTAGTCACAAACACTGGCCAAAATTGGCGCTTTTTGCATTTTTCACACACAAACAAATACTAACGCTAACTTTGGCCAGTGTTTGTGACCAAATGGCTACTAAAAAAGACTGGACATACCTCATTTGCAATACCTTGGGTTGTCTACTATTGCAAATGGTATGCCATTATGGGTGTAAATTTCATTCCCGGGCTACTATACAGTCTCAAAGGCAACGTAACCAATCTGGCAAATTTCAATTTCAAATATAACGTGCTATATTTGACCCTGTAACTTCCCAAAACGCCATAAAACCTGTACATAGGGGGTACTGTCTTACATGTGAGACTTTACTGAATATAAATATGTGTATTTTATTGCAGTAAAAGCAAACAGTATTATGACATTGACCGTTAAAATGTCATGTAGAACTAAAAAAAATCCAAAAAACGTATTTTCTCCCATTTTTTTCATATTAAATTATGTTTCATAGCTAAATATTTGATATTAAATGAAAGCCCTGTTTCCCCTGAATAAAATGATATATAATAAGGGTGGGTGCATTTACTATGAAAGAGGTGTATTACGGTTGGACAGACATGTAGCGCAAATGCCAGGTTTTGTTTGCATTTTGTTTTGTTCACAATGTGTACATTTGGCTCCGTCCTTAAGGGGTTAAGATTTTCTTATCCCCTGCTATGTTAATAGCTTGATAGACCCTGCAAGAGCCTCCTGTATGTGATTAAAGTTCAATTTAGAGATTGAGATACAATTATTTAAGGTAAATTACATCTGTTTGAATGTGAAAACCGTTTTTTGGGGGGGGGTTTTCATGCAGATGTTCTATCAAATTTCCCTACTAGCACTCCTGCTACTCCTCCACAGCAAGGTCCTGGAAGGGAAGTAAAACTAGTTTTACACTTTCATTATAGTTAGTGCATTCACTAAGCTTAGGACATGGGACATTTAGGGTTAATGTTAGGGTTAGGATTAGGGACTTGTTCCTATTTAGTGATATTTCACATTAGGGGAATATCACTAAATTGTGCTTTTTCACACTTTATTTTAACCCTTACCCCAAGGGTTAGGGTAAGGATAGAGTATGAGAGATGTTAGAATCACTTACCTAACCCTAATTTGAACTCTCACTTAAGCCTAAATGTCCCGTGTGCCTAAGCTTAGTGAATGCACGAACTATAATGAAAGTGTAAAACTAGTTTTACTTACCTTCCAGGACCTTGCTGAGGAGGAGTAGCAGGAGTGCTAGCACCATGTGCAGCACAGGATCCAGCTGATTCCCCTCACCGGAAGTGACATGGGTAGGGGATTTTCACGAGGTAGGGGAATTTGATAGAACACAGGCTCTGTCAATCATAGCCAGGGGAGGTGTGGCTAGGGCTGCATAAACAGAAACAACGTGATTTAACTCCTAAATGACAGCGAATTGAGCAGTGAAATTGCAGGGGAATGATCTATACACTAAAACTGCTTTATTTAGCAGTGTTCTATAGTGTTCCTTTAAAGGGACACTATAGTCACCCAGACCACTTCAGCTCAATGAAGTGGTCTGGGTGCCAGGTCCCTCAGGTTTTAACCCTTCAGATGCAAACATAGCAGTTTCAAAGAAACTATGTTGACATTTGGGGTTAAGCCAGCCTCTAGTGGCTGTCTTCCGGACAGCCACTAGAAGCGCATCTGCAATGATTGAGGCATATTGTGACGTCGGACGAGGATGCTGACGTCGGCGTGGGAGGAGAGGTAAGGGAGTCCGGAGCTGGAATTAGGTGAGCTACTGAAGGGGTTTTACTATAGTGTCAGGAAAACCGATTTGTTTAAACCCTTTCAGCCACTTACCTTATTAATCCGGCGCTGGCGACCTATCCTCCTCCTGCCGACGACGTGTCCGAATGCACAAGCGCGGCAAAAGCCGCACACACATTCAAACAGCCCATAGGAAAGCATTACTCAGTGCTTTCCTATGGACGTCAGCGTCATCTCGGTGTGAGACAGTCACTAGAGGCTGGATTAACCTTCAATGTAAACTATGCTATGTTTACAGCTGCAGGGTTAAAACTAGGGGAACCTGGCATCCAGACCACTTCATTGTGCTGAAGTGGTCTGGGTGCCTATAGTGGTTCTTTAAACACATTTAGCATCATTATCCCCATAATAAGCTGAAACCGTTATGGATGCATTCTGTTATGAAAGAAAATATTCCTAAAAGTCTAGGTCAGCTATAAGTTAACCACCAGAATGACGTCCACAAAATCTGAGGTTGGGGGAAGGATTTATGCCGTCTGTGTCAGGCTAGCAGTTTACTTCATTTTGTTTGAAAATGTTATGGAATTTTATGGTTTACTTGTTTTTTTGTATCAGGGTCTGCCTGGGAATTTTAGAATGTGTAATTTTTTTAATTCTTTTTTTATTCTCATTAAACCATGGTCTATAACCATTCAAAATGTAATTGCATACCTTAGGCCAACATTGCTGCATTGGAGAAATTCTGTTGCCTTTTTATCTGTTTTTCCTCATTTGAGTAATTTGACATAAATTTAGCATTTTCGATTTCAAATCATCACTGTTTGTTGAATAAACCTATATAATTTTACAATTTAAGTGAACACAATACCTGAGCACGTTATGGGTCTGTAGACTTGCTCAAAATCTCTTTTCTTAAAAGAGTGCTATAGTGCCAGGAAAACAAACTCGTTTTCCTAGCACTATAGGTTCATTAGGCCCCTTCAGCCACTTGCCTTTCTCCAGCGCCGAGCTCCCTCTGTGCTGGGGAACTCTACACTCCCTGCCGACGTCAGATCCGAATGCGCACACGCAGCATGCTCAATGCTTTCCTATGGACGTCCAGCGTCTTCTCACTGTGATTTATACAGTGAGAATCGCAGAAGCGCCTCTAGCGGCTGTCAGTGAGACAGCTACTAGAGGCTGGATTAACCCTCAGTGAAACATAGTTTCTCTGAAACTGCTTTGTTTTTAGCTGCAGGGTTAAAACTAGATGGACCTGGCACCCAGACCACTTCATTGAGCTATAGTGGTCCTTTAACATTTGAGAAGTCTGTTATATCTCTTCTCTCAAAAAAGTATTTTTAACAGACACCTTATGTCCTTTTTCTGCAGTGTGGTTTTAAAGGTGAGAACTATGGGTTATAAAAAGAAATAGCTACTAGTTGTGTAGGCGCTTCAGTGAGTAAAATTCACACACCAATAAAGGTGCACTGCTGGTGTATCCCCTTCACCATAAAATAACAAAAATCGTTGTAATTTTAACGGTGTTATTATGAGATGGTTTACCTATACATCCTGGATAAGCAATGTACCCGGTTTTACTTCTGGTGTTTTTTCTGGAAATCCAGGCTGCAGTGTACCACACAACTTTCTTCTCCAAACTAGTGAATTGGTATTTCAGATTAGTTTTTTCAGCTTATACGTTTTGGGTTGATAAGACCAGTCATAGAGCGTTGGTTACATCCTACATAAAATAGCAGCTGCTTCGTGTCGGTTTTCTAGGAAGAGGTATACGTATTTTCATTGTCTAAAGTGGCTTACACTGTTGTCAGAGAGGTATTTGGACTCGGAGCTCCTAACCGAATTCTGTGTACCGTAGCATGGGTGTTTTCGACAGTGAAAGTCAATCTGATTAGAGAAAATATACTATTGAATAACATGTATAGAATAGATAATCGTTGTTTATTGGCCTATTAGATGTTAAAAACAGCTTTGTCACTTTCTGGGGTCTTATCATATTTTGCAAAGACCCCCAATGGTGACATCACTGCTTGGGTTACAGTGCAGTGGAGGTGAATTATACTTGCCTCGTTCCATTCCCCATGGACACAACCAACTTTGATCTTCTGCTTGTGGCTCCTCATCTGCCAGAAGCCCACTTTGGTTCTATACTCTCATACAAGAGTACAATACTGATTTCCATGGAGGATCCTGCATATATCCATAAATATTTCATTACCATAAGACAAACTAGTCACGACGTAAGATTTTATCTTCTTGTAAGATCACATTTTATGGGGATTACAGAGCCACTTTACACTGTGAGAGAAACATTTCTATGTGAGGGACATGTGCATTTCCTGAGCTGTAAAACAACTGTCATCTGCAGCCATCTCTGAACACGAATTCACTGTGGTTGAATATGGGGATATTTTCAGGAAAGGATGTCTTCAGAAATGGAAGGTTTATCGCTGTGTGCATTTTCAGTGTTGCATCTCTGTTTTAGCTGCATTGAAAGTAAGTTATCCATTTTGCAATCTGTAACACCCACTTTCCATTAGTTCTGGAATACCCCTTTCTCTACTTGGTGGTATCTCCCTTTATCATATGTAACAGTGTCTGACATGAATACTAACTGAATCTGAGGTTTTAATTGTTACATATTTTCATTAGAATCCTCAGCAAACTAGATTTCCATGTATTTCTTCCTCTTCATGGTAGTTTTTCTTTATCCACAAGCTTATAATCGTTGAAAGGACTGCTCAAAGAAAGGTCTGATTAAGCATCCTTAAAACCAAGAAAAGGCCTTGGTTTTAGAATATTTTTATTCTGTCCGAAAATTCTCATCAGCATCTTTATTACATGCAGGCTGTTATGGACATTATTTTCCTTGGTAACTAGACGTATGTAATGACCGTGACCTTCAAACTACTCAAACAAGGAATTTAGGAATTAAAGGGATATGCACATTGGAGTTGACACCTATTTTCTATGTATTATATAGAAAACTGATAAGTTTTAAGCAATACCACAGTTTTATACATAAATGTATTTGTGTATAAACAGTGTTCTGTCATTTAACATTACTGAGCCCACCATTTCCATGTGAAATATAGGGATTACCTTTTAATCCAGCCATACGTGTCTGTAGCCTGGCTCCGCCCACTGGGAGATCATCCGTACTGGCCAATAGAATGCTTCTCAAAGAGACAAAATGAGTGGTAAGCACTACACAGGCAATGCTTCTAATGGATAAACATTACGTTCTCCTTTGTGGTGGAGTTAGATTGTGGTTTTGGGTTTGTTCTTTTTTTAAAAACCTCATTCATAGTGGTGGTGGAAGGAATATTTTTTTGTATTTAATTTTTTTTAGATTTGTTGAATAAACAAATATATAAAACTCCAACAAGGTATAATAAAAGTGAATAAAATATCCACACGAGCTCAGGATTAGTGTGTGTATCCCATCAACTGCAGATGTGAAATTAAATCACTTGCCATTTCCCGCCATTATAGATTAGCAGAATACGTACATGCAAAAAGCATAAGCACTTGACAATTGTTATACTGTCAGAAAAAAAAATGGCTCTGCCTCCACTCTATGAATGCACTGTAAATAAATTACAATGTTGCTAAAGTATCTGTCCATATCCCTTATACCAGTCTTGTCCAAAGTGCGGGCCATTTGGGCCTGCGTTCTGGTTTTAATACGGCCCCACAGTTAATTTGGTAAATCTATCTGTTGTGGCCCCCAGTGAATCCCTGAGCACAGCTCAGGACTCCTGGGATCTCTGAGCTGCGGTCAGGATTCACTTAGGGCCAAGAGATCGCGAGAACGCAGACGGACGTGCAGTTACCTCAATCTGCGTTCTCGCGATCTCTTGGGCGTCGCAGAATTCGCGAGATTTGGTTCCTTCTTCCTGCTGGGACAGAAATAGAAAATGGACAGAGTAAAGAGCTCTGAGACCGAATAAAGGGATGAAATGAAAAGTATGCTGTTTTGCAATAAACTTTGCATAAAATAGTTAACTTGCATTCAATTTTAATGGTTCAAAGAATATCAGGCAAAATGGTTGGCCCTCAAGCATGTTCATTTTGGACACCCCTACCTTACACAAATTGTAGCAAACTAGCCATTCAAATACTGCTATAATTGTATAATCTTTATATGTTCTCAATTAAAGGGATACTATAGTGCCAGGAATACAAAGCTGTATTCATGGTACTATCGCTTCCCCTTCCCTTCCGCCTCTCCCGGTAGGTAAACTTAGTGCTGCAATGTTTAGCATTGCAACAATAGTGACACTTTACCCAGACCACTTCATTGTCCCTTTAAGAAAAGAAATCCCGAGACACCATTTTTATATATTTTTTTTAAATACATTTTTTTTTCAGTGTTAACATTGCAGAGCTAAGGGAACAGGGACACTGCACTCAGATCACTTTGACAAAATGAAGGTGTGTGGGTGCCTATATTGTCACTTTAAAGGACCACTCTAGGCACCCAGACCACTTCAGCTTAATGAAGTGGTCTGGGTGCCAGGTCCTTCTAGGGTTTACCCATTTTTTCATAATTATAGCAGTTTCACAGAAACTGCTATAATTATGAATGGGTTAAGCCTTCCCCCTAATCCTCTAGTGGCTGTCTCATTGACAGCCACTAGAGGCGCTTGCGTGCTTCTCACTGTGAAAATCACAGTGAGAGCACGCCAGCGTCCATAGGAAAGCATTGTAAATGCTTTCCTATGAGACCGGCTGAATGCGCGTGCAGCTCTTGCCGCGCGTGCGCATTCAGCCGGCGGGGCGGATCGGAGGAGGAGGAGAGCTCTCCGCCCAGCACTGGAAAAAGGTAAGTTTTTACCCCTTTCCTCCTTCCAGAGCCGGGCGGGAGGGGGTCCCTGAGGGTGGGGGCACCCTCAGGGCACTATAGTGCCAGGAAAACGAGTATGTTTTCCTGGCACTATAGTGGTCCTTTAACAAATCACTTTCATTGTTGTTCTTAAACACATCTGTGATAAGTTACTGGAGTTTTTTATTTTTTTCATTTTTTTTTTTATATACCATTCCAAAATAAGTGCGTTTACAAGTGTATGGATGAGAATGTCTGCATCTGATAAGATATAAAATGTAATGCATACAATTTTAAGGGACATTTTAAACACCATAATTAAAGGGACATTATAGTCACCCAGACCACTTCAGCTCAATTAAGTGATCTGGGTTCCAGGTTCCTCGCACACATAGCAGTTTCAAAGAAACATTCCGGACAGCCACTAGAGGCGCATCTGCGACGCTGGAGGCACATTTCGCCTCCATTGCGCAGAGCGTCCATAGGAAAGCATTGAGAAATTTGTGTCTGACGTCGGTGGGGAGGAGAGGTCACCAGCGCTGAGGGAGCCCAGCGCTGGATTAAGGTAAGGTGCTGAAGGGGTTTTAACCCCTTCAGTGCCGGCGGGTACCTTGAGGGTGGGGGGACCCTCAGGGCACTATAGTGTCATGAAAACCGCTTTGTTTTCCTGACACTATAGTGATCCTTTAACCAAGCTGGGGTTTTTTTTGGTTTTTTTTTTCACTCCCAGCATTCTCTTTTTAAACATTTGTCTTTCTCTATAGTTGCAAAACCTTTAATGGAACTTCATCTGAAACTAATGAGAAAAATTGGAAAGTCTGTTACAACCGACAGATGGGAAAAATACTTAATCAAGGTACATCTTTGGATCTTTGTTTTTACTTGAGTTCTGTCCTATTTCTTTTCTTTATTTTTTTTACATAAACATTTTATTTTTGCTGCTTAATTGTAGATCTTATTTGTGCATTTGGGTACAACAATACCCCATATGTATAACTTTGCAAAGTATCAATCTGCATTGTAAAAGAAACCTTTTATTCTAAATTTAATCCTAAAAAAAACACAATTCTAACCCTAGCAATAGTGTTAGGATTCCCTTTATTGATTTTAGCAGAGGGATTCCCTTGACGACCCCAATCCTAATCCTTAATCTATTCATAATCCCAAGGTTTTTCTTCTGCTAATATGAGTACTGATATTTGCAAAAATAATTCTGTTAAAACAGTATGTTGTTGCCGTGTACTGGCTGTTTTCAGTATTACAGGGAGAACCTTGTCATAATACAAACCTAGCATGCCGAATACATTGCAGTTGGTGCTGGGCATCTGGCATCAGTTGACCGGGGAGACAGAGGTAAAGGACTGATACCATTGTGTCCCTCATGTAAGCTGTGATTTAACCCTATTCACATAAATGTACCATTGGACACTTTGAGCACTGCATGCAGCTTATCTGCCAATGTGGGGCCACCAACTGACAGGAGAATGCCCAGTATCGAATGCGGTCTTAGAGTTCCCCTGTCACTAGCAGGAATCCATCCTTGCTGGTGAAATACCGTAGGACTGAAATATTCAGTCATGTGCCCTTAAGGGAAGAACATCCATGATGGAATTAAGTTAAGGGGGTTAATATCGGCATATTCCCAACTTACTACTAAAAGCGTTATCTTCATACAAAATGCAGTTTAATTCATTAATTTGAAGGGACACTCCAGGCCCCTAAAACACTTTAGCTTGCTAAAAAGACATCTCTGAAGAATGTCATATTTTTCTCATTTTGCAAAAAGTGCAAATTTCAATAGAATGTGACTTTTTTTTGTTGTTGTTTGTTTTGTTTTTAAATTCATTTATTTTATTTTATAAGTTACAGAGTTAAAACCCTCTGTGGCTTTCTAGCAGACAACAGGTCCTGATACTTCCTGGTTTGTTGAGCTCAGTGTAGCTAGACTCAAGAGGCAATAATTGCCCACAGCCCATGCCTTGCGAAGACTTCTCATTGAGCTGCATTGGAAAGACTGATTGGACAGCCACAGTCTGAGCTGGGGAAGTAGGGCAGGGTTTGCAAAAGCATGTATGCAGGTTTTCATTTGGGCTACATGTACTAAAGAGTGATTTTATTTATTTATTTGCATTTAATAGGAATGCAAGTACCAGTTTTACTTTTTAGAAGTACATAATGTGGCACATGTACAACCTCCTTGTAATCTTTAAAATATGTACCTTAAAATATTTTTGTATATATTAATTTCTACAAATATGTTTATGTACGTGAAAAAGTGATACATTTTAAAAGCCAAGCATTCCTTGGCCCTTAGAAATAACATTTTTTAATTTTATTATTATTACATTATTTATTTATTTTTAAAACACCATAATTATTACAGCATATTATGATCATAAAAATAATAAATTTCCCCCATAGACACAGAAGAAAAACTAAGGCTTTGGTGTAATATTTTCATATAAGCTTTTCAAATTACTTAATATTTTGAGAAATATTTTTATATATTTGTATCTGATATATTTTGAAAAAAATCCTTTGAAAAATGTATCCAAAAATATTAAGTAATTTTAACGGCTTACCCAAATATATTAAATCAAGGCCTAATTTAGAACGCACTATTCAGAACATGCAGCTTTTAATAATGGCAGGACGGCTTTTTTCAGTCTTGCGTGTAAAACGGATCATTTTATTTCAGCAACGTTTGAATACAAAGTGGGATAAGAATGGACTAGAACAGCTTGTAAATGTATGGAATGGCTGATGTTATGTGAAGAAAATATTCAGGGAACAATATATTTCAGATATGCCAGGATTACAACAGCACATGGGCATGGGAGATGGAGAAGAAAGGCTACCAGGAGATGAGCTTGGAGTGCAAAGTGGGCTTGCTGAAGGTAATGTATGTTGTATATTATTTCCACTGGGTTCTCAAGTTCATTCACTAATGTTCTGGCTTTTGATGTATTCTACAATTCAATTCCAGCACTTTTCTGCATTGTTCTTTCCACTCCTTCAAATCTGTAAATTTCTGCCGATGCCATGTGCAAATCTTAATAACCCTTGCTTGGAGTGTTGAATCGTAGACTTCACCAGTCTCAAGACATTTCATTCCTAAAGTCATGTAAATTATTTAATATAATTTCACTTTGGCAAATAATAAAACACTGAGCACCAGCGCACATGCACAAAGATAGCAACACACACTACACATGGCCAGCACACACATCCCACACACACTATGGGGGAACAAAGAGTGAGACGCTATGCCTAGGGATCTAGGCAGAAGCAACTACTAATCTTTCTAATTTTAACTATTTTGTGTATCAGGACATGTGGACACTTGTGAGGGATAAGTTGATTGTGCACTTGTTTAATTAGATAAAATTTCAACATACCTGCATGTTAATAACTTAATTAGGCATATATTTATTAGCTTTGGTGGGTCTGAGCCACTGCTTATTTACCAAAGATTGACCTTTCCTTGTTGCAGCACCTGTGCGAGTGCCAATTTGATGACAATCTAAAATTTAAAAATATCATCAATGAAGAGGACGGTGACGCCATGCGTCTGCAGCCCATTGGGCGGGATAAAGATGGCTTGATGTACTGGTTCCAGCTGGATCAAGATCATAACATTCGTATGTACATAGAAGAGCAAGATGATCAGGATGGATCGACCTGGAAGTGCATTGTCAGGTAGACCTGTTTAGTGATCAACATGTAGGCCTGTGATTTTTAATGCTCTATTTATCTACCGTTACTAGCATCGTGGGTGGATATTTACTGTGACAGTGACCGGATATCCATTTCCTATTCGTTGTATAATTAACTGGACACTTTGAGGGAATTTCAATATTTTGTCTTTCCCATCTATCTTGTCAAATCAGCAGGTGCTGTTGATGCCAGCCTTAATAGGACATTCTAAGCACCAAAACTGCTATGTCACAATATAGTGATTGTCATGCCTAGATGCTGTTCTCTGACAGTGTAAAACATTGCTTCTGAGAAATTTATCAAACATGCCTCTAGTTGCTGTCATACTGATAGAAGCTGGAGTCACTTCCTCCTAAAGATTTTGGAAATGAATGGCTTTCATGCTTGGTGTCATCACGCACAGTATGGTGATGATGAGCACACGCAGTGCTTCTCAGAGTGAAGCATTGTATTCATTGCTTTTCTTAAAGGAACATCAAAATGATGGAATGCAGTTATTGCCTCATAAGCAGTAGGTCACCGGTTCGAAGGTTGCCTATCTAGAACCATGAACTGTTGGTCCGCAGACTGAGCGATCACTGTGAAAACCAATCACTCTGCTCACATTACCTTCGTTTTCAGCTATAGCAATGAATTACATTAAACGGCTCCCTGGATGATCGGACATCCTGGAGGGCATTCATGTCTCTTTTGATGAACTGTCTCTAGTGAGACAGCCAGCAATAGCCAAGTGACAGCTGATACTAACATGTACTGCTGCTGCTTGACTTCCCCTTATTGGCTGTTCCTTTGATCACTTGGTTTGGGGGACCACCACATTGCTATTTCTAGTAAGGCATCAAGAAATATCTCACTGGCCACAGTAGGGCCGGCTTACAATCTACTTAAACGTGGTTATCTGGACGGTGAGTGATTTACCTCTGGGAAGATCTGATGCATGTTTTCAGTTGTATTAGCTGACTGGAAAAACACATTATCTTGATAGCACAAGGATTATCTGTAATTGTGGAGGAAAGAAAACAGTCTAAAATACCTCATCTGAAAATATAATGAATCTGGAGAATTTTTCAATTTTAAGTAATTTTGACCTAAAATGTGTGTTTTCTCAATGCGGTATCTAGTTGTTTATTGAATAAACACCACATGCTCACATTCATTGGACTGCACTGATGCAGTGTAGGTATGGCTTGTTTATATGTTTCGTACAGGTGTGGTTAACAAAACATGCTTAGTTATCCTCTCGGGTTACACATTAAAAATGTTCAGAGGCTGCACATAAGCTTTCCAGCAACTGGGAAAAGCTCCCTGCTCCCTTGTGATACTATTTGCTCCGTTTAGACTCCTAATTATGCTTCACAGGGAATTGAGATACAATTGACTTTAGTCTCCGTATTGCTTTCACAACACCTTGAAGCCTTTGTGTAGGCACAATATTGCAAGAATTTGTGTATGTCCCTGATAACTTGATTGCTACTTGATAATCCTGCTGTTTTTTGGTGGTTTGTTCTCATTACTTACAATCCTGCAGCCCTAGTATTTCACCCTGATTTGGAGGCAGAGGTTATAACTGCGCTAGCTGAAACTGATTGTAACTGTGTTGACTGCTGTTGTGACTCAAGTCTGCAGGGGTTGTTTGCAGGGTGGCGTCCGGTGTTCACACTTAATGTTAGGCTTTATTGGTTACAGGTTACCAGCTGCTATAGAACTACATGTACTATAATGCTAATAGATTATCCTGAAATTAATGTATATGTGTCACAAAATATACTCTATCCATGCCTGAAGTATTTCTGTGCAGCATTAAAATATTGCATCCCTAGGCTTTACCATGTGCAACACACACTGGTTTGTGTCATTAAAGGGTTACTCAAACCCTTTTTTGGGGGGGGCAGGTGTAATTCTTTGCACAGGTCTCATTAGTCAGTGCAGAACAGAGTTCCTGGTAACGAAGTCATGTTTGCTAGGGGTACAATTACAAAATTGCAGATTTCTCTACATAGGCTGCATGTTACACATTCAGATTGCTTGCACCATGACCACTTCTCAAAGCAGACACGGTCATGGGGGTTGGAAGGACCTCTTAATTGAAGCAACATGTCATTTTCATTTATTTTTCTGTCGTTGTAGGACTAGGAATGAACTAGCAGAAACCCTTGAGCTGCTGAAAGCTCAAATTGATCCTGCGTTGTTAAAGAAAATTGAGCCGCAGGAAGGTTCATCTCATGAGAACCCCAGTCCAGACGATGAAGTGAAAAAGGAAAATGAGGGTATGTATTTTTTTGCCCTTTACTTACAAGCTAAGATTTTTTGCAAGTTTATTTTAAAATCAGATATTTATATATGCCCAAGAGCATATCTAGTCATTCATCTGTAAGACAAACTGATGCAAAGCCCCTTTAACTACATAACTATTTTTCTTCATTACAGAAAAATCTGTGGAGGATGGAGAGATTGACAAACCTGAAGCCAAGAGCCCAAAAGATGAAAGCATCTGTAAAACTGAGAAAGAGGTTTTAAAAACACCTTCTGAAATAAAGATTGAGCCCTCCGCAGACTTGGATGAAGGAAAATCAGTTGTCAAAGAAGTGAATGACTCTTTTAAAGAAAATATTAAACCTTTGAAAGTAGAAGAAAAAACAGAACCAAAAGAATTAAAGGAATCTAAAGCGAATGCTGAAATTATCCCTCCTCCTCAAGAACCTGAACGTTCTGAAATATCAGTTATTGTCAAACGCACAGAAGATCCTGTTGAAAAGTCAGTGGGGGAAACTGAGAAGATAAAAAATGACCAGCAAGCTAAAATACCGTTGAAAAAGCGTGAACTAAAGTTGACTGATGATTTTGACAACTCTGTTAAAACATCGCTTAGCAAGTCCGTTACCCCTACGAAGGAAATGCTCCTGAAAGATGAAGGTAAACAGGAAGAAGACAATCAGAAGTCTTCAGTGGGGACTTGTGCCAATGTGGATGGGAAGCAGCTATTAAATGGAGAGGTCAGTAGTGAGAAAGTAGTACAAAACTCAAAGGTAGATCAGGCCGAGAGTAATTCTAATATAAGAGAATCAATTGTGGTATCAACCAAGGATGATAATGGCTTGCCTAATGAGAAGAGAAGCATTGGTGTTATCAAAAGCTTAACGGTCATAAAAGAGAACAACAAGACAAGTAACGATAATATGGAGAAAAATGCAAGGGACCTAGGAAATGATCTTCTTTCCCCATTGGCAGAAGAATCAAACCTAAAACCACCAGTAAAAGGAGAATTGGGTGAGGTTGGTTTGAAGAAGGATTGCTTGGAAGACAAGAATGGAGAAAATAGAAAAAAAGAACTGACTGTAATATCTAGTAAAGGGAAGCTTGCTGTAGACAAAGAGACTTCAAAGAAAAGTCTTAGTTCAGTGTTAAGTAAGGAGTCTGAATTGGTAGATAAAACAGGGAAGGTCACCGCTGGAGATGGTCAATTGACTGATACACCGCCACCTGAAACAGATGAGTGTAATGAGGACAACAAGGCTGAGCCAAGTCTAAAACAAAAAAGTGATGAAGACAGAGGAGACGAATCTACTGATAAACTGGATGCCAAAAAAGAAATTGCAACAAAAAAGGCTATAGAATCAGAGGCCTCAAGAAAGCCTTCAATTGCAAAAGACTCGACTTCAAAACAAGAGGTTCCCATAGAATCTAAAGAGAGCACAGAGAATGAAAAGAATAAAACGTCTGAATTGACTACACCGAATGAAATGGCAAAAAAAGAAAAATCTGCAGAACCAGAGAGGAGAACAAGAACTACGAGAACACGACATAAATTGGTTTCCAAAGAAAGTCTTCCTGAATCTCAGTCAACAAAAGATAACAAGGTTGATGACCCCAAACCTGCAAATGATGAGATGGAAAAGTCTTCTAAAACAGAAAAGCTAGGTCCAGCTTCAAAAAGTAGACATCAAAATAAAGTGGTCCAGGAAGAAGAAAACAGTGGCACAGACTGTAAGGAAATGACTTCTGAGAGGCAAAAGGATGGCTTAAAGTTAACCATCCGGATTTCCAACAAAAGAAAGAGGACAGAGTTGTCTCAGATAACTGCTGTAGAGGATCCTGAAGATGCAGAAATGGAGGAAAACACTACAAGGACTTTAAGGCGCTCTCCACGAATTTCACGTCCCTCTGCTAAAGCCGCTGAAGTCAAAGACCGTAAGCCTGAGAAGAAACAAAGCGATGATGAGGAAAAACCTCCATCTAAACCTGAAAAAGATGAAGAAAGAAAGTCTGAAAAAGATTTGTGTCCGAAAATAAAAAAGGTATTTTTAATATGTTTCAACGGGTGGCAAAGAATCTGATGTATCATGGAAATCTGTGATACGTATCCTATCATGTTGTACAGTTTAAGTGCTTTACCTTATGGAAGACAGTTGTGGAAGCATAAAGGAATTAGTTATAGTGTCTCGAATCCCCAGCATCGTCCATTCACTCTGTTTTAAGCCGTTACTTAATGAGGGTTCTTGGCTGTCCATAGCTCAGCCCCCACTCGAAGTGTAGCTAAGGCAGAGATTGCACTGTTCCTTAGCATTACAGATTCATATCCGCAATGGGCGGCTGTGATGGGGTGAAAGCAGTCAGCTGTCAATCCCCATCCACTGTTGCCCAGGCTAATGCTTCCTTATTAGCAGGAGCAGCACAGAGAGGCTGGGCTTCTGGGGACTCTGTTTGGCATTAACCCTTTTAATCAGTTTTTAAAGGTGTATTGGATACTAAAACTAATGAGATTAAGCAATTACAGGACCTTCAGTGTCCCTTTAAAACTCTGCTTTCATTATGACTCTAAAACAATCTTTTCATAGTGTATGTCTTGTATATCTCAAGAATGTAGTTCATGTGGTTTTTGGTTTTTTTTGGGGGGGGTGTTTCTGCTAGATCATGACACAGTGTGTAGATCTTAGAAACCTATAATGTGATGGCAGATAAGAACCAATCGGCCCTTCTAGTCTGCTCAATTTTCTAAATACTTTCATTAGTCCCTGGCCTTATCTTATAGTTAGGATAGCCTTATGCACATCCCATGCATGCTTAAACTCTACCACTTCAGCTGGAAGGATATTCCTTGCATCCACTCCCCTCTCAGTAAAGTAATACTTCCTGATATTACTTTTAAACCTTTGTCCCTCTAAAGACTGTGTCCTCTTTTTCTTCTTTTAAATAGTCTCCTCCTTTACTGCGTTGATTCCCTTTATGTATGTAAATGTTTCTATCATATCCCCCCTGTCTCGTCTTTCCTCCAAGCTATACATGTAACTATAGAATGATGTACACCTTTTTAGATTTTGGCAAAGTAAAAAAAGGATAAGTGGAAGGCTCCTGCTCCTCTGCAAGCCATGGGGTGCCTCTGGTGAAATTCAACTACTCTTACCAGTTTTTCACTTGCACAGTGAGGCAGAGGGCGAGCCCGAGAGGGAGCTTTTTGCATCTCCATGCATACTGAAGATTGGTCCTGCCATCTTTGCATGTCCGATCCAAGTTTCTTCTAGTGGCTGTCAGTGACAACCACTAGAGTTGACCTTGGGCATCAATGTTGAGAAAAGGGCTGCATTAACACTGTTCAGCCTGCAGGCATAAGCTGTATGCCCCAGAATCACTACATTAAGCTGCAGTGGTTCTGGTGCCTATTGTCAGTTTATTTGTATTTATTTTTTCTACATGTTGCAAAAGTTTCTAGGTTAAATGTACTTGAACTTTTCAGAAACCAAGACAAAGAAGACGAGCGCGTTGGACTAACTTCCGATCACGCCGCCGACGTAAAGAGTCTAGTGAGGAAGAGAGTGAGGAGACTGACAGTGAGGAAGACTCTGAAGTAGGATCGGAAGATGAGAACAAAGGTGTCCCAGGAGAAGATGACGAGCCGTGCAAAAAATGTGGACTTCCCAACCACCCAGAACTGGTTAGTTGTTTAATCCTGCCATTTTTTTTAATCCTAAAGTTTTGGTTTAACGCTTTGGGGTAGAAAGCTGTTCTAACCATTTTCAGAAGCTCCAGTCAAGAGTTACCTGTGGCTGTGCAGCTGAAGATGAAATTTTGCAGGCCAAACTCCTCCAAACGATTGCATGTCTAACAGTGGTATGGTTGAATGTAGGAGGGTTTGCCAGAGATATCAGAAAGGAGGCATGCCAGGTACTGTCTAGTGATCCAGCAAGTGAGCAACTCTCCCTAAAGAGGGCTTGTCAACCTAGCATGCATGACCAAATGTATTTAGTGACTGTTGCAGACTTTTTCCTGTGTAGGCAATAGAGACCTGAAAAAGAGACCATCCATCTAAATCAGACACAGGGGATATGTGACTGGGTAGCACAAGGTGAAGCTTGCAGCCTGGTTTAATGGTATCCATTCATAGAGCCAAATTACTTGAGTCAAAGTCAAGCTGTAAATGTTAAAAATTAATATATAGTAATGGTTAAAAAAAAAAAAAAAAAATCTTAAATTCATACTTAACATGTCAAGACTTTTAATAAGATTGCCAGATGAGAAATGGTTTTTCATGTTCCTTGACAAACTTGTGTCCCCACACTGGATGTGTATTCTGGCTTAATTTCCAATACATTATATTCACAATATTCTATTGTATTTTATTGTTATGCTATAATTCAGCGTTGCTAAAATAGTTTTTTTTGTTTTGTTTTTTTGTTCTGTTTACAGATTTTGCTGTGCGATTCCTGTGACAGTGGGTATCATACAGCTTGCCTTCGGCCTCCATTGATGTTGATTCCGGACGGAGAATGGTTTTGTCCCCCCTGCCAACATGTAGGATTCAGGTTATATTTATTGCTTCCTGTGTATTGCTTTCAACACTTAAAAGAAATACTTATTAAGCAATTACCTCTCTACACCACTTCAAATTAGGAATATGTTCAGGGAATTAAGTTTTCTTTTTTTTTTTTCTTTAATGCTACCTGTACATTGAAATGGAAACTATAGTGCCAGGAAAACACTCATTTTATTTTTTTTTTTTTTTTCTGGCACTACAGCTTCCCCCTCTGTCAAGCACCCCCTCCTAGAGGTGCAGATGGTGTTAAAACCTTTCCTGGGACATGGGGCTGGCTCGGGCCGCACTTGCATTTTGATTTCCCCATAGGAAATCATTATTTAATGTTTTCCTATGGCGTTTTGGGTGATGCTGGATGTCCCCATGCATAGCGGGAAGGTGTCGAGCGTCAGATAGAGAGATAGAGATATATATATATATAGAGAGATGTATATAGAGAGAGAGATAGATATATTTTAAATTCATATACACACACGTATATGTATGTATGTATATACATATTTAAATTCTATGTATATATTATGTAATACTTTTATAGTTAAGTAATTTTATTAGTGTGGGGGACCTGCCTGACAAACCAGGCAGAAAGTCCACAGAATTTGGTTTGCAGGCCCTATATTTAACCCTGTAACTTTCCAAGACACCATAAAACCTGTACATGGGGGGTACTGTTTTACTCGGGAGACTTCGCTGAACACAAATATTAGTATTTCAAAACAGTAAAATTTATTACAACAATATCAGTGAAAGTGCCATTTATTTTGTATTTTTCACACACAAACTGCACTTTCACTGATGATATCATTGTTGTGATCCGTTTTACGGTTTTGAAACCCTAATGTTTCTTCAACGAAGTCTCCAGAGTATAACAGTACCCCTCATGTACAGGTTTTTGTGGTGTTTTCAAAAGTTAGAGTCAAATATAAAGCTTGCATTTCAGTTTTGTCACATTGAAATTTGCCAGATTGAGACCGTATGGTAGTCCAGGATTGCGAATTACCCCCATTATGCCATTCCATTTATAAAAGTAGGCAACCCAAGGTATTGCAAATGATGTGGTATGTTTAGTCTTTTTTAGTGGCCACTTAGTCACAAGCACTGCCAAAAATTAGCGTTAAAATTCGTTTTTTGCAATTTTCACACACAAACAAATATGAACGCTAACTTTGGCCAGTGTTTGACGAAGTGGCAACTAAAAAAGACTGGACATATACCCCATTTGTAATACCTTGGGTTGTTTACTTTTGCAAATGGTATGCCATCATGGGGGTAATTCTCATTCCTGGGTTACCATTTGGTCTCAAAGGCAACATAACCAGTCTGGCAAATTTCAGTGTGTATAAACGAAAAAAACATGTAATGTGCTGTATTTGACCCAGTAACTTTCCAAAACACCTAAAACCTGTACATTTGGGGTACTGTTTTACTCGTAAGACATCGCTGAATACAAAAATGTGGTGTGTTTTTATGGTTTTTTTTGTATTGCAGTAACTGCTAACCATATTATGCTATTCACAGTTAAAATGTCATGCAGAAATGGAAAAAAGAAAATTCTTAATTTCTCAAATTAATTTTATTAATATTAAATTATGTTTCATATATAAATATTTGATATGACATGAAAGCCCTGTTTCTCCTCAACAAAATTATATATAAGTGTGTGCATTTAAAATGGAAGAGGTGAATTCTGGTTGAACAGACACATAGCGCAAATTCAAAGTTTTGTTTGTTTTGATTACAACTTGTACAACTGCCTCAGTCCTTAAGGGGTTAAGATCATAACCTAATTTTGCTCTGCAAATTTTTTGTTGAAAAATTCCCCCAATGTCAGAATTTTCTATCATAGCCTATCACAATCCAAAGCAAAATTAATGTACATGTAGTATACATCTAACTATATAGAAATCAAGACACGTGGAATTTCTACAAGATTTTCAATGTTGCTAGAGACTAACTGAAACTGACTCTGCCCTTTATATGGCACCGCTACCACAGCTCATATAGCAGTCTTTTATGTTGGTCACATGGACAGGAATCCAGTATGTGTTAGAGTTAAACTTGGTTGTTACAGATTTTCCCACAAACTGATACCTGACTAAAAGTTAAGTTTAGGAAAGGTAGAGGATATCGCACTCACCAGGCAACCAAGGTGCACTGGATCAGAGAATGTTAGACCCGGCTTCAATAAAGCTGCAATCTTGGCTATTACCTTGAGTGCCTGGACCACTATTTATTTTTTTAAATTCTTTTATTTTTGGGAGTGTTAGTCCGGGAACCCCTAACCCAGGTAGTGCACTTTGAGCGTTGGGAAAAGTGAGTTAGTCAACGGTAATGCTCTAATTACTGCCAAAGCTGCAGGAGCACATGTGCCACACGTCTGCGAGGCTTGATGGTCAGGCTCCGCCCCCTGAACCAATATTTTACCTATACAAAAAGTTAAGGCTTGTAATATTTTATTTATTTCAAAAAGATTGTCTTTTTCTTATATCATTTTTATACCCGTCTGTCATTGCATAGTCAGACCATACTGTACAAATCGAGGGTCCTATTCAATATCTACCAGCTAGACATCATTATTGAAGATATATACAAATTATTGGGGGGAATATTTATCAGACCGAAACAATTATCACATTTATATAATAAATTTGAGGTGCAATGCAAATCCATTCATGTGGTTAAAACAATAACTCAGAGGGCAAGGCGCATAGAGGAACTATTTAGAATGGTTACTGAAAATAAATGGTAAAATTATTTATTTTACCCCGGTTGCTTGTCGAAACTTTTCACTGATCCTGTTGCTATATTCCTTTACTAGAAATTACTGTGTGATAAACTGGATGAACAGCTACAGAATCTGGATGTGGTTCTTAAGAAAAAAGAACGTGCAGAGAGAAGGTATTTGCTTTTAATTTGATATTTAATGCAGCAGTGTAGGGAACTGTTGCAATTCTAGTTTTAGACCTGTTTAAGAACTTGGCCCTATTACTTTTCATAACCAATGTGTTTGGTTGATCGATATTGGTGTCCAACATTTTCAAATCTGAGTATATTGTATGCTACAGTGTTAGAACTTAAAAAGTTGCATTTTTTTTTATTTCCTCAAATTGGTTTAAATCATATTCATTGTACGTGGTTTTTTTTTTTTTTTTTTCTTCTAATGCCTGTTGCAGGAAAGAACGGTTGGTTTATGTTGGTATAAGCATTGAGAACATCATACCTACACAGGTAAGTTTAGTAATGTTAGAAATACAAATATTTGTTTCTACCATTGGTGTTTGCCCCTGCCTCCCCAAAAAAGCTAAAAATAATGACTTTATAAAGTGAAATCATTTTTACTTTACTTCTATCCCTGCCCATGCTGGTCTCCTGCTGCAGCAGCCTCTGTTGAGATAATCCGTGACCATGATATCTGCCAATCTAGTGCTTCACCATAGGGACGCTTTGGGAGTTATTTTGCATGCATGGTGATCAGCATTTTTCATAGAAATGCATTATTAGACTTCAAATGTCAGAACTGCAAAGGGAAGCATGAATAGTGACTCTGTGTTAAGCCTTGATTTGCAGGGCACACTCACTGACTGAAAGTGTCAGCTCAGCCAATGTGTTAAAGGGATACTTTAGTGCCGGGAATACAAAGCGGCATTCCTGGCACTATCGCTCCCCCTCCCTCGCGCATCCCCTTGGCAGGGTAAATAATGGGTTAAAAACCGTTTGTTTACTTACAATATCCCAGCGCTGATGTCCCTCTGCGCTGGGTCGATACTCCGCCCCCTCCAGTGGCCCGGGACAAGCAGGCACTGAAGCGCATGCTCGGCAATTTAGACCTCTCCATAGGAAAGAATTGAATCCTATGCAGAGTGAGGATTTCCAGCATCAGATATTGGACAAAGGATTTGTTTTAATCCAGAAAGCTCCCCCAGCGGATGTCTGGTAGACAGCCACTGAGGGCAGACTTAGTGCTGCATTGTAAACAATGCAGTTTCTCTGGAACTGCAATGTTGAACAATGCAAAAGGGACAGTGCACCCAGACCACTTCAATGAGCTGAAGTGGTCTGGGTGCCTACAATGTCCCTTTAAACCTTCCACTGCCTGGCTTACTTCAATACTGAGAGCTTCTGGCTCTTCTGGAAGAGGTGACCAGTGCCCAGCAAATTCCAGGTAAGTTGCCAAACTGTTTGCAAGGCCAGTGTAGTGGTTCTGATGCTTTGAGTTTTCCTCTTAAGAGCAAGGAGAACCTTTGGGTTGTTTTTTAAAAATTATAATTTAATGTATCTGCATCCTTTTGTAATCCATTCTCTATAATGCATTAAACGTAAGAGGGAGCCAAATCCCATCTGGAATGTCCAGATCAATTGATTCAGTTCATTCAAATAATTGCTCTAACACTATAGCACTGTAGGCATGTGGTTCTCCAAAAAGAACAGTGCCAAATTGACCCTAATTTATTTTGTTACAGCTAGAAGCTTATCTAGTTTTATGTATTCAAAATATGTATTCTGTACGCTACATATAGTTTGAGTAAAACTTCCCCCTGGTGTGATTCTACCAGCATAATACAGAGTTTCACTAACTGAATTTAAGCTCTTTAAATCCAAAATAATTCCAGTTTTGCCATTCAGGTTTAGTTGGTTAACATTTGGTATTTAGTGAATAAGCTTGATAAGTTTGTCTTCTTATACCTACATGAAGGGTGTCTTTTCCAATGCGTTTTGTGGATCAGAGTCCTTTAACTCCTTAACCTGTTTGCTTTGACAGTGCGTTGTAAAGGAGGGTACAGCCATTTCACAAAGTGATATGGCTTTCTCTAAAATAATGCACGCAAAGAATAAATTGGTACTTTAATTGCTGTTGAATTTTAGCATTTGTATTTTCATTTAGGAACAAGAGGAAGTGGCAGAGGTTGTGGAAAAAGAAGAAAAGAAAAAGAAAAAACCAAAGCCACTGGAAAGAAGGTCAACACGAGCTAGAAAATGTATAAGCTACAGGTAAGGCCTGAGAACATTTGCAGGTTACCTGTCCACCCAATACTGTACAGTATTTTAATCTATACATCACTGTATCCAAGTTGTTATCACTGTGTATACTTAGAGATAGTCCATATATTATTTTTTTTGCCTGCACATATATTGTATGTATACAGGCAGATCTGTAGAATTCTTCTTTCCTTATCTCAACCTTTTTAAGCAAACTCCTTCCTGCTATAATTTTTTTTTTTTTTTTTCTACGCCCTTGATGCTATGCCTTTTTGTATATGTATTAGGAGTGCATATATTTTTGATGCGTTTTCTGTATAAAGGTTTGAAAAAGAAACTTTGCTACAGCCTTATGTGTCCATCTAATTATGGCAACTTGCGGTGTTCAAAAATACTAGTGTTAATTTCAAATGTGCTATGAAATGCTAAATTGCATTATGGCAACCTTTAGGCACTCCAGGTGTTGTGGACTGCGTCTCCCGTAAGGCTGCTATAGACGTAATGCTGGCAAAGCATCGAGGGATGTGTGTGCCACAACATGTGGAGTACTGAGTTGCCTACCCTGGCTAATATTGTCTTAAATGATTTCCTCAAAGCCATTCTTTGAATAAATGTTCAAAACTGAAAATACATTTGCATATTGCTTTTTTTTTTATTATTCAATTTTGTTAACTTTTGTTTAGATTTGATGAATTTGATGAGGCCATTGATGAGGCAATCGAAGAGGACATCAGGGATGCAGATGGTGGAGGTGGTAGGTAGACTTCATTCATCCTTCTATTGTAAATCCCCGCTTTTCTATATTTTCTTTATTTGTGATTCAAGGACTTGTTCTGATTTTATTGATTTTATTTTTTTGTTTTCTAAATAAACGCTACGGTTTTATGTGATTATTGTTATAGACTTTAAAAACATTGAACAAAATTACTAAGCCATCTAAGGTAATTCAATGATTTTAAATGATGGTACTCCAACTTGAAGCCTGAATGAACTAGCAAAACAGGTTATTAAACATTTCTTATGCTCCTTTAAATGAACACTCTGGGCACCATAACAACTCCAGATCCATGAAGTACCTTTCTCGCATGGTTTTCTCAGTGGAAAACTAATTATCAACTGAAGAACATTAGTTGAGTCACTGCAACATAGAAATACATTCTAGGTAATTTAATTCTTATTTTTAATTGCGTTCCTTGCGTTTTTCACCCCCTGTTATAACAGTAGTGTTTGCTGGGGTTTATAGACCAAGAACTCTCTGGAAATGGCAGTTCTAATTTAAACAAGAACTCGACTACAGCTGGGATAATCTTTGAGAACCCATTATCACTGTAATCTGCTACAGACATTTGGTTGGCAGCAATGTTGCAATGGCCTCTATAGTAATTACATTCCCACTAGGGTTTCTCACAGAGATACTAGTAGTATTGAGTTTAGCATGCAACCAAATGCTATTTTTTATTTTTATTTTTTATTTTTATTAATTGTCCTCCCATATCCTATCTAAACGTGTGTGTATGTATGTGTGTATATATCTATCTCTCTTGAAGTGCTATGTAGTGACCATGCTAGAGTTAATTTAAGTGTGTGCTTTTTCTTCTGTTGCATGGTGTTAATTTTTTTACATATATTTATCTAGGTGCAGGCCGTGGCAAGGACATGTCCAATATCACTGGTCACCGTGGAAAGGACATATCTACAATTTTAGAAGGAGAAAGAACTGAAGGAAAACGGCCACAAAGAACAGTCACCCGCCGCAAAAAACGTCGGCGTCTTAACGATCTTGACAGTGATAGCAACATGGATGAAGAAGAGAGTGAAGATGAGTTCCGGATCAGTGATGGGTACTGTCTGCATTTTGTGTTCAGTTTAAACTACCAGCTGATGAAATTGTTTAAACCTCTTGGGACATACATTTGTATTATATTGTACAGTGATTCGGCATAAATTAGTACTGTAACTATATTTCTATGCCATTGTTTTTTGTAATCATTGAAAAGAATATATGTACTATTTGTATTTTCTATATTACGTAATGCCTATAGTGAAAATGGTGGTCCTCTGTGACCCTCTCTTACGAAGTAGTGTGGCAGATTCTGATGATCTGGCAAAGATTCCCTATGTAAAGGAACACTATAGTGTTTTGAATACAAGATGAATTTCTCCCCCGACCCTAGGGAATTATGGGTTACAAAACACTTTAAACATGTGCCTGATTCCAGCGCCGAGGTCCTTCAGCACTGGTTCAATCTCCTCCAGTGATGTTAAAATAAAAGGGAAACCTAAAACCTATTAGTCTTTTCCCATAGGAAAGCATTGAATGAATGCAAAGCGGGAGTACGTCAACACCTTTTTACGGAGTTAAACTCTGTGAAAAGCCAGGAAGCATCCCCTAGTGGCTGTCTGAAACCGCAATGCCGTTGGAGACCACCCTTTTGAGTTAAACTTTTACCTTTGGGTTAGAAAGCACTGGGGGTGGGGGGTGGAGTTCACTTTGTTTTATGATAACCGGTTTCTAGTCAATCCATGTACAAAACATGATAATATTTGGAACAGAATAAAGCAAAGGTTCAAGGATCAGATTGGTTTTAATTTTGCAGTATGGATTTCCTGGCTAAGGCTGACATGAACTACTTTTATAGTCCTTTTCATGCCAGTGATATTTTCCTTAATCTGCAAAGTAAAAATGAATGTGTGTTGCATTAGGATCAAAAAACATCCACTTACTTTATTTCATATTTCTCCAGTTCTGAAGAGGAATTTGTCGTATCTGATGAAAACGCACCAGAGAGTGAAGATGATCAGCAATCAAATGACAGTGATTTTGGTGCGCGCAAACCAAGACGTCACTACAGGCGACCGATGAGGAAAAGTTCACGTTTGAAGAAAAGAAGCTCAAGAAGGAAATATTCAGATGATGATGAGGATGAGTCTGACGACGATGCTGAAGAGTCTGGTGAGGACTATTACATTGTTTTTATGTGACAGTATTTTCAGATGCAGTCTTGAACAACAATTAACACTAAAGAACCAGACTGGATATAGCTGCAGAAACATCTTTTGATGGGAAGTCTCCATTTATGTTCTAAATAAAAATTAGTGAAGTAAAATTAGAATTTTCTATTTTCTCAATTAATGTTTGGTTTTTCCCTAATTACTGTAATGGTTAGTCTTTTATGCTAGTTTTTTTTTTTTTCCAGAACATGTTATTTTCTCTGCATTAATGGGCCATATTTGTAAGCCTTTCTAAAACACCATCATACGTACATATTGGCTTTATTGGAACTTTAATATTGCAGGATTACAACAGGTACCCGATCACTTGTATAGGTCAAAATGCAGGCATAGGGTCACAAACCAGTGCATGTGGCTGTTTAGTTTGGTCACCCAAAAGGTGCACTCCTTGTTGCATATCATTATGGAAGCACAGCTTTCTTTTGATTGTTTTTTTGCTAATGCGAGTCCAAATAAACAAGTTTTGTATCCGGTTATGATAGCAAAATGTAGAAATGCAAGTCCTTGGATTGTACAGTTTTTTATTTATTTTTTGTTTTGGGTTTTTTTCCCCCCTTTATTTGGAGTGTTTCTACAGAGCAGATATTTAGTTCATCACTATAAATGACATTTAGATAGCTCATGTCAAGACATAAATTCAGAATCGATCAGTGGTCATAATTCCTGACTTTTGGAAACTTTCTAATATTCCTTTTATAGGAGGAAAATCCTATACGATGTCATTATATACATTACCTAACATGAAAAAACAAACTCAAACACAAATATGGGATTTGTAGCACTATGTGAGACTTCGGAGTAGAAATTAAAAACATTTTAAAAGTACACTTGAAAATGTTCATTGAATCTGTGTGTGCTGTGGGCCTTTGTAGAAACAGAAGAAAGCAGTGATTACAGCGATGACTACCTTGATACCAGAAGAAGGAGGTCAAGAAGAAACCAGAAACGTCAAGTCAACTATAGAGAAGATTCTGAGAGTGATGGTTCACAGAAAGGAGCTCGGTACGGCAGAGGCAAAGAAATGAGGCGGGTACTCAAACGCAGGTTCTCCAGCTCGGAAAGCAGTGGTAAGTATTTTCCACATAACAAGTATGAGAACTAAGAAGATTAGATTCCAGGAATTAATTTACCTGTCTGACTCTATGTAGTACATATACATAACATACCGAGCTTCATTGTAATAGAGAAGCAAATTCTATTTATTTAAATTCTAAAACATATGACTTAAACAAGGTTATGCTTTCACACATTGTCCAGACAAACTGACCGAAATGAATATAATAGTTAACTGCTTTAAAGGAAGGCTGTAATCACCATCGTAATGAAACTTTACTGCAAGTGTGATGGTGCACTGAACACCCTTTTTCTAACTCTGCTCTGAGAGTGTCTTAGAAACGTAATTTTTTTTTTTTTTTAAATTGCTGCAGCTCTAAGACGGCCCATGGAAGAGGTCAGTCATGCAGCAAAAATGCTTTGTTTTTGCTGTCCACTTTTGACAGTTTTGTGTTCACCATCTGTGCGCACAACTTGGGTTGAACTCGTTCACTGAGCAGCAGGCGCTTAGCGTGTTGAGATTGTGGTCTGCCTGTAGCACTAAAAGGGTTATCCATTAATGTGAGAATTGTTGGGAATTCAAAGTAAATTGTAAATGTAGGGCCTAAGTAGCTGAACTGGAAGCATACGTGACTTGGATATTTTTTTTATTTTATATTTTTTACAGTTAAGCTATTTTAGCCATAAACTTGTAATTCACTTTGAATTCCCAGCAATTCCCACATTAGTGAATAACCCTATAGTGAACAGGGCTAAGTGTACATTGCTTTGTATGTATATATAGATATATAAAATAAGATGTTATTTAGTTGTATGCTGAAAGAAAGATTTCAACTTGTAGACCAGCACCATACCGATAAGACCAAAAAGGTTGATAAACCCCTAATAAAAACATTTATTGATTTATGCTTTTTTTTTTTTTTGGGGGGGGTATTGAAATGTATAAAAGCTTGCAAAAGCTGAGATCTCCTGTCAGAGGCCTTTACAATCCCTCCCCTTCTAACCCCGCCCAGACTTTCTGTGGCTGTCCAATCACAGAATTCCCAATGCAGCTCAATGAGAAGTCTTTGCAAGGCAGATTCTCTGGGCAATTTCTGGCTCTAGAATATAGCACCACTGCGCTAAACTACCTGGAAGTAACAGGACTGGCTGTCTGACAGCCAGGGGGTTTAACTAGGTTAATTTATAAAAGTGGCAATTTCTATTGAAATCTACACTTTTTGTAGAATTAAGAAAGACATACTCATTACACAAGCACTTCAGCAAGCTAAAGTGCTTTAGAAGTCTTGAGTGTTCCTCTCCCTTACACTACCTAAACACTAAAACTAACCCTAACCTACAATTTACATATCAATTTACATATCAGTCTTGAGAGGCATTATTTTCCTGTATTTTATTTTTATTTTATTTACTTTTTAAAATAAAATTACGTCTTTTATATATATATATATATATATATATATATATATATATATAATTATTTTTTTTGTATTTTTTTTTTTTTTTTATGTATAACCAGAAACCTGAATTTTTTTTATATTTTTTTTGTTTTTTATGACAACCTTAATGCCTTTTTGTTATGCTATAAAATAATGCAAACTATGCAGTGGAGTAAAGTCTTTAGTTTGCTGTTAAGTTGGGACCAACTAGGTTTTAATATAGGATATTATGTGGCGAGGTTAGGATTGGGATTGCTAGTGTTGTATTGGCAATAATAACATCTAACATGAACATTTCCATTACTCATTAAACGATGTCCACACCAAAAGGAAAAAATCCCTTTAATCTTTTCTATACTTAATTAGATGCACCGAGACATTGTAAGCCCCTTCTTATAGAGAAGCAATCTATTCTAAATCTGATTTCTTCACCTAGAATATCAAACTAAGCATATTTATGTCTTTCAGATGATGATTCTGCAGATGAGCGGCTACGAACAGAAAAGAAGCCCTTGCTACGGAAACGCATCCGAAGTTCAAATGATGAACTGTCAGAGGAAGAGAAACCTGTGCGAAAAAGATTAAATCGAATTGAGACCGATGATGATGAAGATGATGATGAGGAGGGGAAGGAAGGGAAGGAAGGAAAGGCTGAGAGCATAACTGAAAAGCCTGCTGTCGTGGAAAAGCCTCTCCCGACAAGCACGGTCCAAGAAAGCACGAAGAAGCCTTGCTATCGGATAGAAAGTGATGATGAAGATGACTTTGACAATGTAGGAAAAGATGGCAGCCCATTGGACTATAGTTTGGTGGATTTACCTTCCACCAATGGACAGAGCCCTGGAAAAACTATTGAGACCTTGATTGGGAAACCAAATGAAAAGAGTCAGAACTCTAAGGACACTTCGGCCAACATTAGCCAGGCTTCCAATGGGACGGTTAGTAGCCAGGAAGCAGTAGTGCCAGAAGAAGACGAGGATGAGCTTCTGCGAGTAACGGACCTTGTGGATTATGTCTGTAACAGCGAACAGTTATAAGACTCATCCTCTTCCATTTTGTGCTAATTTATTCCACAGTCGCTCATACCAGCGGGCCAGTTATGAAATGCGGTTTTATTCCTCATTGAGAACTTTCTCCACTACAAATTTTACCTTTTTATAGAAACATTTGACCAGTCCTGCAGCCTCTGTGAAGTGACCAGTTTTTGAACTTCATAAAATAATTTCTGTAAATTTCTTTTGTATGTTCACCCTCCTACTTCTTCTTTTTGTTTTTTAGTTTTTTTTTTTTTTTTTTATATATTTCTCATTGCATTTGTGGTCATGGGTAATTTCACTGAAACCATGAAAACTTAAAAATTGGGAGAAAAAAGTGTTTCCACATGAATTTTGTGAATAGGGGTAGGACGTATTCCAAATGTCCCAGAAATAAAATGAAAAATACAGTTATTTTTCTTTGTGAACAGGGAGCATATTCCAAGTAGATGAAAATAGGATTGTAATTTGGGATAAGCACTTGTTGCTTTTAGCTTTTTTTCATATGAGATATATATTCTATTTAAATATGCAGTACTTAGGTTACGATAAACAGGCAGTTATAAATAAAAATTACCAACAACTTTTATTGTTGCTTTGTGAGTCTTATACGACTGGTCACTCCTCCCCCCGCCCTTTTTTTTTTTTTTTTGAAAATGTAGTATAGTGCTGAAAGTGACCACAAAATTTATATATAAAACCACTTCTGTGTCAGAAGGTCCTAGAACACATTAAGATTGCAATTTACTAATCTTTCTAAATTTGGACCCAGAAACATTTTATTGCCTCCATCCCCATATGACCTTCTTTGCACAGCTTAAACTGTTAAAATTGTCTTTCTTTTTAACATAGGGGCACAAAAGATGAATTTATTTCATGGAGTGACTTTCATTTTTGACTTGCTCAGAATCCTACTTTCATTTTATAATGGCACAAATTTTACTCTGAAGGCTCCCAGATTGAGACTGATACTGTCATTCATTGTTAGGAGGGGTGGTCCCTATTTAATACGCCAATACTTAAGGAATTGCAATGTACTGTGTTTATGACCCTCTCAGTAATTGAAAGGTCCAGCCAAGGTACCACATTCTGTCTGCTTCAAATTGAAGTAAGGTGGTGGGTGGGTTGGGGAAAACAAAACTGTCTGTTGTGCTATTTGTTCCATGCTAATCTGTGTAGATGTCCTAGAAATTTCTGATGGTTTATACAGCACCTGAAATGTTTATTGAAATCATTTTTAAGTACCTGTGCTTGCAAAGGCTTGTTTCTTACAAAACGCACTCACTAAAAAAACATTTGGAGTTCATAAAACACCTTAAATTATTGGAAGTTTGTTGCCATAAAACAGTGTTCATGGTCTCTATGCAGAATATCAGGTGTGTGCACATCATATCAAGTAAGCATTTTTTTGTGTATGTGTTTTTATACATTTATTCAATCATCACAGTGAAACACCCATGCCTTGTATTCATTTGATATCTGCTTAAACGGAGCAGCTCTAAAAACTTAGTATTTAGTCCTACATTTATTCTGCCATACTGGAGAGATGGAGATGTATAGAGATAGATATAACATACAATATCCCAGCACACTCCCTCACTAAACACTAACTTCAAAGCTCACAAAATGTTCATTTGTTTTTTAGGTTGTTTTTTTTTTTTAAAAACACCTGACAAAAATAATGGGGAACTACTTACATTATATGGTCATACATTGCATAAGCCTGTCACGTCAGTGCATCCCATTTTCAGCAAGTACTGTCCTAAAAACCTATTACCTGCTTTTTTTTAGATTAATCCATGTATTTGGGAAATGCTTCCTCCTGGGGCTCTCTGGAATGAGCCACTTTCGACAGGGAGTTGGCCTGGATTCCCAAATATATTGACATATCAAACCAAGTGGGCTTCACTCACCTCAAAATGCATACATTATAAGGGTGCTCCTGGGGCAAACTAAAAGAGTATACACGACTCAGATTTAATAAATGATGTAACTGCAGACAGTTTGTCTTTCCATTCCAAAAGTATGGTATTCCCACAGTTGGATCCTATAGGATTGGTGTAATGAAATATTTCTGTAATTATTTTTCATCTGCATCACTAGACGAATAAGGTTACTGTCTTTTTGTGTTAGTGTGTACATGTATGCTAAATCAATTTCTCTTCACAATGTTCTGGTGCCTTCATTCACTGTATTGCACCTTAACTGTACCTATTTGCATTTCTGCATGAACATTGCCTTACAATTTGGTATTTATCAGTGATTTTCCAAGGGACTCTAAATCATGTATCTGTGTGTTTGGAGATGATGCAAAACTAGGTAAAGTAAAAAAAAAAAAAAGTTAAATCACAGGATTTGGATAAATTAGAGGACATGGCAGGCAACTGACCGTTTATATCCAAACGGGCAATTGTAAAAAAATATACATTTTACAGCTAGTAAAATATGTAATTCGTATTTAAACAGGTTGAGTTAAAGATGTCCAGAAGGATTTGGGAATAATTATAGACTACAAATTTTCAGTTGGCAGAGGCAAATACCAGTAAGAAAATTTTATGTAATAGGGTAATCATTTTTACTCTTGAAAATGTGATGGTAAGAGCCCAACTTGAATTCCAAACTCAAGTTTAGACAATTTTCTTGAAGGATATCATGGAATTGGAGCACGTGCAATGGGATGCTACAGAATAAAAAAAGGGAATGAAGTTTAAAAAAATATATAGAAAAGATGCATTTATTAACATAGGATGAGGCTTTTGTCAGATGGAGTACAATTTGATACAATTATCTAAGACTATAAAAAGGAGGAAAGGAGTCTTTACAATAAGAGCAAAGATATACAATTCGTATCTTAAAGATGATTGTCTTTTCCAATTAGTAAACATGTTTAAAAAGGTCTAGACTTTTATTTTGTGGTTTGTTTTTTGTTTTTGTTTGGTAGATATTAGGGGCTACCATAGTTAACATGTGCATTGGTAATGGCTTGTTGTTCCACGGAGGATTCTGACACCACTTAAAATTATGAAGTTGTTTTTTGGGGGGAGTGTTTGAGGGGGTTTCATTTGGATCAATAGCAGGGGCCAGGCATGCATTACAGATTGATATTTAAATTACTTTATTGGTGTGATGTGATCATCATATATACTCTTTTTTTAAATTTAAATATAAAATATTCAGGATAACCGCTGATATGGCCATCAATTCAGTATCGTTGCACTATTTACCTGCTGTGTACATGTTATTGTAATAACTCCTTTTTGTAGCTCTCAAGAAGTGGAGTTTGAAACTCTGCTATAAATATCCATGTCAGTAAGGTACCTGGATTATTTGCGTTAGACATACCTTTTACAGATTTGTGTTACTGTCTGATTCCCCAGAGATTGGGGAGGGCTTCCTGTACCGTGTGCTGGTCAAGGATATGTTCCTGCAGGTCACCACAAACCTATATAAATACACCTACAAATGTGTGAATGCTTATTGAAAATGGGTAAAAATGATATTTTCAATCACTATGCCACATTAGCTAAATTTACTCCGTATGAAAACTAAATAGTCCTAGTCCACTTCTGAAAATATTTTAAAATATCAAAACGATGGAGCACAGAATATTGGACTAAATATTGATGTTTAAGTGATTGTGGTGACGGTCAGTTGTGCTGTAACATTGGTATTGTCAAAGTGACCTAGAACAGAAAATATTTCTGTTAACATTGAACTGGGTTAGACAACCTAAGGCACTTTACATGCTATATAGAATTCATCCTCCTTGATGCTTTGCCAGTATAATCACTGTAAGAGAATTATGGGATAGCTGGAGTGCCAAAGGTTTCCTACCTGACATACAAAGTCCTGTTTAATTACAACTTTGCCATTATTGGTATTCTTTAGAACGCAGTTTATTTTTGTGTACCCCAATCACCTGTCTGATAAAATATTTAGTATACAATGTCTGGTACTAGGATGCCTGATGGCTAAGGTGTTAATTTGGGGGGTTTGGCTACAATAATCAGGAGCTGCATTACATTATAGGTTAAAATGTGTATGAAAGAAAATACTTAACGTCTTCAGAGGGGGAGCTTTAGCAAAGTGTTCTGAAAAATAATTCAAAGAGTATTACAAATGTGACAATCGCCGCAGAACCAGAAGGGACATTCCACTGGTGACTGCTTTGATAAATTTCCCCATAGTTTGGTTTATAGGATTGTTTTACACATTTTACTGTGAAAACCATGCTACTTAGAGGGGCTGCAAGGACCGGTCATAGAGTTTGAAACCATGCCCACATGTTTTCTGATGGGCTGCTTCCAGCCAAACAGAATATAGCTGGCATTTAACCCCTTAAGGACCAAACTTCTGGAATAAAAGGGAATCATGACATGTCTCACATGTCATGTGTCCTTAAGGGGTTAAAGAAACACACTGGTGTCATGAATACAAATGTGCATTTCTGGCACTGTAGTGTTAAAAACACATTTTAGATGCCCCTTTGCCTGAGTGAAAGGCATAAAACTTAGTGTTATTCCAGCCCTGCTCAGGTCTGGCTCCACTCATGAGCCACCAAATCTGATCATTTCACCCAATCCAAAGCTTTGGGAGACTACTATGCATGCGCCAATCAGCATTTTCTAGAGATGCATTGAATTATCTCTGCACCTCCATGCATAGTGTGGAGATGCTGAATGTCAGTGCAGGGAGCATCTCTAGTGGCTGTCTGAGTGACTGTCAGTAGGGATGTTCCTAGGACCAATGTAAACAGTGAGTGTTTACATTAAAAAGCGTGCAAGGACAGGCTGTAGACACCAGAACTACTACATTAATCTGTAGTTGTTCTGGTGACTATAGTGTCCTTTTAAGTCATGACTAGGAAACGGAAAACTAGAATAAATTAATAGCAGTCGCAGCCTGTTGACAAAAAAACAGGGAGTGTAAAAATTAAATTAAAACCATTTATTTATATATATATATATATATATATATATATATATATATATATATTCTCCTCCTCTCTCTCTCCAGACTTTTATAAAGACAAAACCTCAGTTTAAATAAACACGAGAGTGCGAGAGAGGGAGGTATGTACTGAGAAAAGAGAAATTCCCAACACCTTCGTAGAGCCTAAAGCAAGCACAAATAAACACTTCCAATAGTGCCAGTTCCATTACCACAGAGGAATAGGGCACTAAAAAAAATAAATGTGCATATAGCTTCCAGCATGCAATATCTATTAAAGTTATTAATAAGGCAGAACATTTACCTATCAAACCAGGACACATGACTATGGTTCTACCTATACCAACATGCAAACATTCTTAGCATTGAGGGGAAAAAAACATGACAAGGGGTTAATTGTATTTAGTGCCCTAGACACACTTAATTTCTTTAGCGTGTCCAGGGAATAAATCCAGAATGGCTCCCTACACAGGAGTTCATTGTTCCTATCACCTGTGGATAGGAACATGGTTAATACCCATAAAATTGAGTGACGAGATGGGTGACATGCCATTAGTCTCACCACGGATGGTGTCGGGATCCAATGTGGCATTGCGGTTTGAAGATCTGTGATTGCAAAATCTCTCAGATCATTTCTAGTCTTGCCGATCGATACATGGTCACATGATTTTATAAACAATGTATTCAGTTTGATATGAAATACAATGTTTTATGTGATACAGTTTACCAGAATAATTGATTTTAAAAAAAATTTCCCCGGGGGTCATATTGTATATCCCAGGCACCTAAAACATCTGAGAAATAAATTGATCTGTATGCACAAGGGAGCAAAGAATACCTTAGAGTTACATAAACACATAGAATGTGACGGCAGATAAGAATCATTCGGCCCATCAAGTCTCCCCAGTTTTCTAAATACTTTCATTAGTCCCTGGTCTTATCTTATAGTTAGGATAGCCTTATGCCTATCCCACGCATGCTTAAACTCCTTTACTGTGTTAACCTCTACCATTTCAGCTGGAAGGCTATTCAATGCATCAACTACCCTCTCAGTAAAGTAATACTTCCTGATATTATTTTTAAACCTTTGTCCTTCTAATTTAAGACTATGTCCTCTTGTTGTGGTAGTTTTCCTTCTTTTAAATATAGTCTCCTCCTTTCTTGTGTTGATTCTCTTTATGTATTTAAATGTTTCTATCATATCCCCTCTGACTCGTCTTTCCTCCAAGCTATACATGTTAAGGTCCTTTAACCTTTCATTGTAAGTTTTATCCTGCAATCCATGAACCAGTTTAGTAGCCCTTTTCTGAACTCTAAAGTATCAATATCCTGCTGGAGATACGGTCTCCAGTACTGCGTACAATACTCCAAGTGCGATCTCACCAGTGTTCTGTACCAGGGCATGAGCACTTCCCTCTTCTCTCTAAACCTGAAGTTAGAAGCTCCAAGTAGTGATATTTTAATTAAGAAACTTTCCAATGATTTAGAGAAGTTCCGGAATTGCCTAAACCAATTCAAAAGACAAAAACTTGATAAGTGGACAGTGACCACGCAGACTTCCATGTTTACCGTTAAAGGACCACTCTAGGCACCCAGACCACTTCAGCTTAATGAAGTGGTCTGGGTGCCAGGTCCAGCTAGGGTTAACCCATTTTTTTAATAAACATAGCAGTTTCAGAGAAACTGCTATGTTTATGAATGGGTTAAGCCTTCCCCCTAATCCTCTAGTGGCTGTCTCATTGACAGCCACTAGAGGCGCTTGCGTGCTTCTCACTGTGATTTTCACAGTGAGAGCACGCCAGCGTCCATAGGAAAGCATTATGAATGCTTTCCTATGTGACCGGCTGAATGCGCGCGCAGCTCTTGCCGCGCGTGCGCATTCAGCCCAGGAGGAGGAGAGAAGGAGGATCGGAGGAGGAGAGCTCCCCGCCCAGCTCTGGAAAAAGGTACGTTTTAACCCCTTTCCAGAGCTGGGCGGGAGGGGGTCCCTGAGGGTGGGGGCACCCTCAGGGCACTATAGTGCCAGGAAAACTAGTATGTTTTCCTGGCACTATAGTGGTCCTTTAACTCATGGCAGATCATTCACAGCAACGTCCTTTGTATCAGCGACTAAGCTGGAGGATCCGTAAACCTATTGGGAGGTTGAGTGTGTGTGATGCCTACTTACATTATCAGCGTTAATCTTGAGACAATATTTTCAACAATGCTTTATAATTATACACTGGTGATATTTACCAATGCGTAACTGATCTATATAATGTTGGCAGACACAAGGGGTGAAGAAGATGCCGCAAACTTGGACTTACATTCTTGTAGGAATGAATACAGGTGGGATGTGTGAAGTCTAATTAAGTATCTCATGTTGAGGTAATTGATCTAACATGACAAATCTTTTGTCTAATTTGATTATTTTGGTCTAACCTTTTGAATGGAATTTGAATTTGCAACAATGGTTATCATGTTTTCTTTTGTGTGCTAACCAGTGGCTGCACAGTATGGGGCCCATCGAGTGACCTATCCACTTAAAACCACCCAGTAGGTATGTGTTAGCAGCGGCCTGGTCAGACGCTGTAGCACTTTTACAGCACAAGTGGTCCCCTTTAATATGGGAAGAAAGAGTAAGGAAGGAGAGCTTCTAAGCAAAGCCTCTGAAAATATACCTGACACGCAAGAAAAAAAAAAAAAGCTGAAAAATAGCTGTAGTAACACTAAACTAAATTTTGATAACTCAGTCACACTGCCGCTCAATTTGCCTCAGGATGTCGTTGAAGGCCTGACGCAAGTTTTTGTTTTTTGTGTCAGGGAATCATTTAGGAGTCTGTGGGTGGAGATCGCCTGTGATCCCATTAAAATAATGGAACTCAACTTCTTACCATTGCTAAAAGAAATCTGTAGAAAAATGAAGGAATGGAGGAATATTGAGATTTTATTGTGGGGGAGAATTAGTACGGTGAGATCATATGTTCTCCCCAAGTGGATTTACTTGTTTCGTATGGTACCTATGGCTTGCCCAGACAGCTGGATGACTCTTGCACAGTACCTAATTACGGTAATAAGTTTACATGGGCGGGGAAACGCCTGTGAATTAATGCTAAACGTTTAGCGTAAGAGGTTAAATCAGGAGGCCTAGGGATACCCCTTCTAAAAGAATACCAAAAATCCTGCAACTTAGCACATGTCTTTATCACTCAAAGACAAAATGCCAAAGAACAAATATTGTATAAAATCGAACAGTCCCTAATTCAGACAGAGCAGCATAATTTGGATCTGAACGGTTTTTGCAAATAAAGAATAAACAGAGAAGCCCTGCAATAGGGAAATCTGGAAGTATGATCTTAGAAAATATAATGAAATATTGGGAGAAATGTAAAAAAGAACTATCAATTTAAAATAAAGTAATTACTTGTCTTCCTATAACCTATTTATCCTATAATATAGATGATTTAAACATACAAATTGGGTCAAATGTGGTATTTCGAAAATAAGTGTTTTAATGAATAATAACAACACTTCGAAGAACTTTCACTTGTTGCGTGCCGAATATAAGTTAGATAACAAAGAAGTTTTTAACTATCTTAGACTAAAAGGTTTCTTGAGTAATTATTTAGCAGTTGTAAAATCAAATAAACTAATCTTATTGGAAAGAGCTACTCCAACAAAGATAGTAGCTGGCTGTCTAGAACTGGTTAATAGTGATCCAGATATACCTATTCAGCCCATACAGGAGAAATGGGGTTAAGTTTTAAATATTCAAATTAGTCGCGAGAAAAGGAGGTATTTCTGCAGCGTGGTATATGAAAACATTCATAGTCTCAATCTATTGAAATGCCACTACAAGCTTTTAAACGTGTGGTATTTGGTCCCACATTGATTGTCTAAATTCTTTCCAAATCAGGAACACAGATGTTGGAGATGTGGGGACCAATTAGGTGAATTTCTACATATCTGGTGGGAGTGCCCCCCTATTCAGCTGTTTTGGAATATGACTAGGAGTAAAATTCAAGCATTTATCGGTAAATCCTTTCATTATGGTCCTGACCTATTTCTACTACAGCTTAACGTTAAGAATACTTTAGGAAATGATATTCCCTTGGTTACTCACATATTATTATCTGCAAAAATAATGATAGCCAGGTATTGGAAATCATCTATCACCCCAATTTGGGCTTTTGTTAAAGAACAGCTCAAATTTAAACTACATGACATGTTGTCCTTATGGTTCAGTTTAATAGAGAAGCTGTAAAAGGTGATTATGGTTTGGGTGGTTTTTACCCTCCTTGGTATTTAGTTATTTTTTTGCTCTCTTTTAACTCTGAATGAAGGGTACATCTAGGACTCTGTATCATCTCCAGGACTCCCCCCGGTGGCTCTCCTACTTATACAAGAAACATTTTGAAAATAATTATGGCAGTTTTGTTTTGCGGGGTTTAAAATTAGCTTGTTATGTTTTTTTTTTTTACATTTTGATACGTTGTTTATGAAAATCTCTGAAGGTGAACTTATCTATACAGGTATACTCCATTTTTAAGTACACAATGGGACCAGAGCATGTATGTAAAACGAAAATGTACTTAAAGTGAAGCAGTACCTTTTTTTCACTTACCAATGCATGTACTGCATTGCAATAGTCCCCCTCCCGCCGGGCTCTAGGGGGAGGAAGGGGTTAAACTTACCTCTTTCTCAAGTGCCAGGCGGGGGACTCTCCTCCTCCATAGCGACGTCATCGGCTGAATACACATGCGCAGCAGGAGCCGCGCGTGCATTCAGCCAGTCCATAGCAAAGCATTCTCAATGCTTTCCTATGGACGCTGGCGTCTTCTCACTGTGAAAATCACAGTGAGAAGCGCGGAAGCGCCTCTAGCGGCTGTCAATGAGACAGCCACTAGAGGCTGGATTAACCCTATTATAAACATAGCAGTTTCTCTGAAACTAACCTCAACATCTGAGTAAAAAGGGATTTAGGGGTGATTATTTCTGATGACTTAACCCCTTAAGGACCAAACTTCTGGAATAAAAGGGAATCATGACATGTCACACATGTCATGTGTCCTTAAGGGGTTAAAGGTAGGCAGACAATGTAATAGAGCAGCAGGAAATGCTAGCAGAATGCTTGGTTGTATAGGGAGAGGTATTAGCAGTAGAAAGAGGGAAGTGCTCATGCCATTGTACAGAACACTGGTGAGACCTCACTTGGAGTATTGTACACAGTACTGGAGACCGTATCTTCAGAAGGATATTGATACCTTAGAGAGGGTTCAGAGAAGGGCTACTAAACTGGTTCATGGATTGCATGATAAAACTTACCAGGAAAGGTTAAAGGATCTTGACATGTATAGCTTGGAGGAAAGACGAGACAGGGGGGATATGATCGAAACATTTAAATATATAAAGGGAATCAACACAGTAAAGGAGGAGACTATATTTAAAAGAAGAAAACCTACCACAACAAGAGGACATAGTCTTAAATTAGGGGCAAAGGTTTAACAATAATATCAGGAAGTATTACTTTACTGAGAGGGTAGTGGATGCATGGAATAGCCTTCCAGCTGAAGTAGTAGAGGTTAACACAGTAAAGGAGTTTAAGCATGTGTGGGATAGGCATATGGCTATCCTAACTATAAGATAAGACTAGGGACTAATGAAAGTATTTAGAAAATTGGGCAGACTAGATGGGATGAATGGTTCTTATCTGCCGTCACATTCTATGTTTCTATGCTCGCTGGCATTATTGGTGTAGAAGGGTAGCGGTGTCTGGTCTACCCCAGGTAAGAAGTCAGAGTGTTCAGAAATAGTTTCACTCCTTACAATGGGGGGTGGGGTGCAGGGGGCACCATAGCCAGGCCTGTAGTTGATGAAATGTTCCTTTAAAAGTCTGCCATTCTCACACTGTATTTAATCACTGAAAAAGGCATTTAATTCGTGAGTATAAGTTATTTTATGCATTTTTATTTATAATATGAATGAAAAACCTTTTTATTTTTTTTTTACATTTTTTATTTCAGAATGAAGGTAAATCTATTTGATGTATTACTGCCCACTGTAACCTTTCCTTCTCCAAAACCCCAGACACTAACACTGGAAGTGACCCAGGGGCTGGCCGCCATTTTAGCGGAGACCACAAACCCCTCACCGACAGCAGCCCACCTGGGGCTCCAACAACATGGCAGCGGGTCCAAGCGTCACGACTTCCGGCTCCGTCACTTCCGGCGTGTTAGGGAGAGCCTGTCATCTCTGTGCGCCGCGCACGTTTCCCAGCGAGTGTTCGCCGCTCTCCCGCCCGCTGTTATTGTGGAGCAACATGGCTGCCTTCCTGAGCAGCTTCTCCCCGCCAGCAGAGGGGGTCCGGCGGCTGCAGCCAGAGACTGAGGCCATAGTGGGCGGCAAGAGCCTGGGCCCCGGGACCCTGTACATAGCGGAGAGGTAATATCCCCCCCATGGCAATGCAGAGAGCATGCTGGGTAATGTATCATATTACTGGCATTAATAGAGCGCCAACAAATACCGCAGCGCTGTACATAGCGGAGAGGTAATATCCCCCCTCTATCATAGGGCACCAACAAATACCGCAGCGCTGTACATAGCGGAGAGGTAATATCCCCCCCTCTATCATAGGGCACCAACAAATACCGCAGCGCTGTACATAGCGGAGAGGTAATATCCCCCTCTGGGGGCCCCCATGGCAATACAGAGAGCATGCTGGGTAATGTATCATATTACTGGCATTAATAGAGCGCCAACAAATACCGCAGCGCTGTACATAGCGGAGAGGTAATATCCCCCCTCTATCATAGGACGCCAACAAATACCGCAGCGCTGTACATAGCGGAGAGGTAATATCCCCCCTCTATCCCAGGGCGCCAACAAATACCGCAGCGCTGTACATAGTGGAGAGGTAATATCCCCCCCCCATGGCAATGCAGAGAGCATGCTGGGTAATGTATCATATTACTGGCATTAATAGAGCGCCAACAAATACCGCAGCGCTGTACATAGCGGAGAGGTAATATCCCCCCTCTATCATAGGACGCCAACAAATACCGCAGCGCTGTACATAGCGGAGAGGTAATATCCCCCCATCATAGGGCACCAACAACACCGCAGCCTGTACATAAAGGAGGTAATATCCTCTGGGGCCCCCCATGGAAATACAGAGAGCATGCTGGGTAATGTATCATATTACTGGCATTAATAGAGCGCCAACAAATACCGCAGCGCTGTACATAGCGGAGAGGTAATATCCCCCCTCTATCATAGGACGCCAACAAATACCGCAGCGCTGTACATAGCGGAGAGGTAATATCCCCCCTCTATCCCAGGGCGCCAACAAATACCGCAGCGCTGTACATAGTGGAGAGGTAATATCCCCCCCCCATGGCAATGCAGAGAGCATGCTGGGTAATGTATCATATTACTGGCATTAATAGAGCGCCAACAAATACCGCAGCGCTGTACATAGCGGAGAGGTAATATCCCCCCTCTATCATATGGCACCAACAAATACCGCAGCGCTGTACATAGCGGAGAGGTAATATCCCCCCTCTATCATAGAGCGCCAACAAATACCGCAGCGCTGTACAAAGCGGAGAGGTAATATCCCCCCTCTATCATATGGCACCAACAAATACCGCAGCGCTGTACATAGCGGAGAGGTAATATCCCCCCTCTATCATAGAGCGCCAACAAATACCGCAGCGCTGTACATAGCAGAGAGGTAATATCCTCCCTCTGAGGGCCCCCATGGCAATGCAGGGAGCATGCTGGGTAATGTTTCATATTACTGGCATTAATAGAGCGCCAACAAATACCGCAGCTCTGTACATAGCGGAGTGGTAATATCCCCCCTCTATCATAGGTCGCCAACAAATACCGCAGCGCTGTACATAGCGGAGAGGTAATATCCCCCCTCTATCCCAGGGGCCCCCATGGCAATGCAGGGAGCATGCTGGGTAATGTTTCATATTACTGGCATTAATAGAGCGCCAACAAATACCGCAGCGCTGTACATAGCGGAGAGGTAATATCCCCCCTCTGGGGGCCCACATGGCAATACAGAGAGCATGCTGGGTAATGTATCATATTACTGGCATTAATAGGGCGCCAACAAATACCGCAGCGCTGTACATAGCGGAGAGGTAATATCCCCCCTCTATCGTAGAGCGCCAATGTGGCAAAACTAGCCACTGGAGACTATTAATGTATAAGTATGTTTGTATTCTTGCTAAAGCTGTAGAGACAAGTTTAGGATTGTACTTGCATTTCAGGCGAATGAGGGCATTCGTATGCTGGCGGTATGAAAACCACAGCATTCATACTGTAGTTTCACGAACAGTGAGTTTCAACACTGTTCGTGAAACGAATAACTTACCGAATGGATGACCACACACAGGAGGTCGTGTGGCGCCCATTACCCGATTGCAACATTGTTGCAATCGGTAATTAAGTGTGTTCCTAGGTGGCCGTCGTTCGACTACCGACCACGCGGCGGTCGGCCATCTTGTTTCCTTTGTTAGCCCAGCGGGGTTTGGTCGTCGAGCGCCTGAAACCAAAATCGGCTACTCGACGGCGCGAACCCCGCTGGACTTCCAGGCCGTTCGGGAGCCCCGGCCGTTCGGTAGGTTGTTTCCCTGATGTCAATCGGTACTTTGAGCAGAACTTGAATTTAATGTTTCGTGCAGCGTTCGGTTAGTTAGACTGGGATCTGAGCGGTATTCTCACGAACTGTGCGCTCAGACCCCAGCTATCTACCGAACGTCCATTCGTTTAAATGAAGGTAATATTATGGTGCAGAGTGCTGGTTCTGGTAAGAGACCCCAGATTCACCCTGTTTTACTGGGCGCACAGAACTGCTTTGTGTGGCTGGCCTTATATGCTTTCTAGCCTCTCAATGCTTTCGGAAAGCATTGGATTGGCAGAGATTATCAACACTGATAAACTCAGCCAAAGAGGCAAAGCTTCAGTCAGGAGATCAGTGCAGCGAGAGGGAAAAAAAAGGGCAAATAAATCAGCCTTTTTTAACCCTGGCAACACAGGCCACCTAAATGGTGACTTGGGCACAAGAGCATTATGAACGCATATGTGTGTTCCTAAAGCTGTGATGTTTCTTTAATCCTGCTTTGCATTCAATTCCTGGATTAGTGAGTGAGGGGTGAAGTCAAGTTACATTAAATAGTGTACTTTTTTATAATTGTCTGAAAGGAAAGGGGGAAAAAACAAAAACGGCGACAGCATATTAAAAAGACTATATATACATCCTTTTAATTTAAGTGTATTGTATTTCAGTCGTCTGGCATGGCTAAATGGCTCAGGACTTGGCTTTTTTTTGGAATATCCTTCAATCAGTCTGCATGCCATTTCAAGAGACACCAGTGCTTACCCAGAAGAACATCTCTATGTCATGGTGAACTCCAAACTAGGAGGTTTGAAATATTCTTTAATTTGCACTTCTGTGAAGCTTTACGAATGTGTTACTAACTGTAAAAACCATTGTTTAATCCTTTTGCTTTCAGACTTAATTTAGTTACTTAAAGATAAACTCTAGGCTGTGCTTGATATTTGTTAATTTTTTATATGGGTGAAAACGAAAAAAAATTAAATACTCACATTTAAACTTCCTGCTCTAGCTACATGCTGTACAGCATCTTCAGTGGGCTCTCATCAAATTAGTTATTGCTGCTCGATTTAAGGAACCCTCTGGGCACTATATCAACTTCATAAAAATGTAGTTATGGTGCCAGGATGTCCCTGGAGCTTTCATACCACTAGGGACCCAACCCCCAAATTTTGGGCTCCAGCAGAATGTCAGAGAGCGGAAGGACAGGGGGCAGAGCTATCTGCTGCTGGAGCACAGATTTTGGGGTTTAACCACTCTTAAACGGGTTTAACCCCAATTTGGTAGCAAAGTGCCAGGGACCTCCTGGAACCATAACTTAATTTCAGTTAAGTTGTTATAGTGCCAGGAGTGTTCCTTTAACATTCTAAAGGAGAGGCCACTGAGTTGGTTCAACTTAACAGTATATTTATTTTGTGTTAAGACAGAAATTAAGTGTATACTGTAAGTCACCATCAGAACAGAGGTGACTCAATTTTGTATCACAATGCAAAGAGAGACACAATTTATTTTTCTCTCTGCACTCTAGTCACTGAGCTAAGGAATGCAACTAATTTTAACATTGGCAGAGATAAGAAATGATGTCTGCAGCAAAGGGGGTTGAATGTAACAACCTAGAGATAGATAGAAAATATTAACATAAATTAACATATTAACATAACAAATTATTAACATAGTACTATTTATATATGATTAATATAATAGTATGTTAATAATATAGAATATTCATGGATACACTCAGACTCAGATACTCACACTCTCAGGATGTACTCTCATCTGACATCTGGAGCCAAAGCTGGACACACCTAATTCTTTGTATCTTTTCCAACTAACACTTAACTTTGAAATTCTTTATAATTCAGAACTCTGAAAACTTTCTAAATTTACCACAATTCTCATCTTGCATTCAAAAATTCCTAGAACATATATACAAATCTGATAGAAACTCTACAACATAACTGATTTTATTCAGCCAGTCCATAGGCAAGCATTCTCAATGAGACAGCTACTAGATTTATAAACATAGCCGTTTCTCTGAAAAAAATAATAATATATACATACATACATACACACACACACACACACACACACACACACACACTATCCACATATAACTTACTATTATATTATAAACATAATTTTCTCTGAAACTATGTTTATATAAAAAAAAGGGTTAACCCTAGATGGACCTGGCACCCAGACCACTGCATTAAGCTGAAGTGGTCTGGGTGCCTATAGTGGTCCTTTAAGGAATTTTGTAGCAATCTGATTTCAAAGTGAAGTGTCCTAAATCTTTTTGAAAACTGCATACATGTAGATACATGTATAACTATTGCTATTTAGTTGTCTGTAAACTGTGTTAAACTACTGCCATATTGTATATTTCTTATAACTAAATATTCAATGATTATTGTCACGCATGTTACATATTATTATTATTATTATTATTATTGTCTCAATAAATTATATTTTTATAATTTGTGATTACTGTGTGAAATAAAATCCTCTAATGAAAAGTATTCCAGGATCTATGAGAATTAAAAATAGTGGGTAATTCTCAGCTTTAATTTAACATAATCAGGGAAGCAGTGCCAATATATAAATTTTTCATATAATAAAAATTAAATTAATTTCTAATTTTTATGAAAATATTCTTTTTAATATTTATCACCCCATAAATATGGGAAGACTAATGCGCATGCAATGATTTACATTGTAGGACTAAGGGGAACAAGGACACTGCACACAGACCACTACAATGAGCTGAAGTGGCTATAGTGTCCTTTTAAACAATTTGTTCATTTATGTTGCCACAGTTTAGTGCTTTGATCCCTTCTAGGCACATTTGCCTGCATTCATAGCCTCTAATTGAATGTTTGTTATTGCTTTAGATAATGAATTGAAAGAGTCAACTATGGATGAAGAGGAGGAAGAGAGTGATGACGATGAGGAGCCAATCACAGAAATACGTTTTATTCCTGGTGAAAAATCTGATTGTACGTTTATTTTTTCACAATTATAAAATGTATTAATTTTCCTCAGTTTGCCTTTTAAACACCGTATATTATTTTTTGCTTTGATGCAATCCATCTCTGCTGCAGTGCCTGTATTATATTTTTGACAAAAGACTGGAATAACTCTTAACAGGCAGTGTTTCTGTATGTAAACATTGCTATCACTGTAACTACCTAATATGTATTGGAAGATGCTGGTACAGGTGACTGAATGAAGTGGACCAACATTTTATAGCTCAGTGGGTTGTTCCATTAGTTTACATGTCTTTTCTTTCCTTGCCCTTTCTTCTTTAGTAGGAGAGATGTTTTCTGCTATGTGCGACTGTCAAGCTCTCCATCCTGACCCCGAAGATGAAGATTCTGATGATGATTTTGAAGGAGAAGAATATGATGTTGAAGCTCATGGTGAGTCACAAATCTTTTTTTCTCTCCTTGTCTAACGATAAGTAAATTCTTTAGAGCTATATCAAGTGATGGGTGTGTGGGTTGAATTCTCTAAAGCATGTCTGTGAATTAATCACATTGACTATTGCTGCAATATAATTAACTTTCCAATTGATTGATCTACAGATATCACCATTCAAGTCTATGGGAATATTTGCACATGACTCCTTTCTTAAGTTTTTCCAACATTGTTGAATTTTAAGATTCCAATAAGATCAGAGGAAATCATAAGAGAGAAAATGACTACTTTGTCTAATGCATTTTTGGCGAAAGGTGGAGCAACCACCATCACATTTGGTCAATTCTCCCAGTTGACACTAGTAACTGCTTTGAAGAAAAAGGCATCCTCCATTGACATTATTGTTGTACTCTTGCACATACTTCCAACCGTGGCACACTCGCAGTACACAGAGACTGATAATTAACCATGCTAGGGGTTAACACTGAGAAGAAGTGTAAAGAAAAGTCCAGGCACATGGGTTTCTAGTAGGTGCAGGTATTAAAGCCTGTCATTGAGACACGAACATCTAAGGAAGCTAGTGTTTTGTTTATTATTTATGTTTTTTTTTTTTTTTTTTGTTCTCTTAAATACAGTTTATGGTGTAATCCAAAGCGGTTATATTTTTAATGTACATTACAGGTTTTAAGGAATGCATTTGTATTTACATATGCATATTATTTTTTTGCAGAGCAAGGACAGGTTGATATCCCCACATTTTATACTTATGAAGAAGGCTTGTCACACCTCACTACAGAAGGTCAAGCTACTCTCGAGCGGTTAGAAAATATGCTGGCTAATTCCATTGGCGGTCAGCACATGATGGCCGGAGTCCGGACTGAAGGGACTGCAGCAGAGTTTGAAGGTGAGGCACTGGCAGAGTTTTAATTTGTAAAGTTATAGAGATGTAATTTTCAGGTTCGATAAGTGTTGTTTTACATAAAATGAAGCTTGGTTAGAAGTGGGGCAAAAATTTGTTGCAAATCACAATCAATTGGGGTGGAAAAATTACTCTTTTAGATATAATCTTCTAATGCTAACACTTTAATTCCCTTTACAACATATAAAAAAAATGCATACAGAAATCACCTACATACACCAGAGGGCGCCAGACACCAGTGGATTAATCATAAAACTTACCAACTGGGAATAATTACCAATGGCATATAAACAGTTTATTTCCAAGTTCTAAAATCTCAAACAAGGGAATAAAAAAAGACAAAGGCATGATAGTATAGTACAATTTATTAATTCCCCTTATCTCTCCATTAATCCTACCAAAATCAAATTTTAGCCACACACCATTTATCTCATGGCCAATGTCTCACACTTTGAGACTTGCGAATGAACTGTTTTTGGAGTAAAAACTTGGAATCACACACTTGTTGGCAAAATAATACATTTAGTCGGGAATGCTTAAGCCTTAGACTGGGTGTTGCTGATAGGCTCAGGGAGTCCCGAATGCTCTCAGCTCATTTCTAGCTCTCCCTTCAGAAAACAGAGTAAAAATGATATGTACTTTTTTCATTCAGTTTTCTTAATGGATAAGATATTTTAGTTTTAAATAATTTTGCAGGCTGTGAGGGGGCTCAATAGGAACATGAACAATGTAGCGTTACAAATATGTATTCCTAATGCTACAGTATTTCTTTAAGGCAGGCCTGCACAAGTTAGTCAGTGGGCTGCTTGCACCCCACGGAACCTCCTTGACAAATTATTTAATGAATCCTTACTTTGGCAGTACTGTGAGAATGGAAACCATGCTTTCCCTTCAGTGAGACATGCTTATAAATTATGCATGCTGCAGGGCAGCAATGATTTCCCCGTGGATCATATACATTTTTTTTGTATTTGCAAAGAAAAGTATAAGATCTGGTTACATAAATAGAAGATATTTGTAGTTTTTTGCTGCTATTGTCCTCTGTTTGAACAGCCTGGGCTTGTTTAATGTTGTTTTGTTTCTCTGCAGATGGAATGGATGTGGAAGCTGTTCCAGCAGTGGCAGGACAGTTTGAGGACGCAGATGTTGACCACTGATTGAAGGCTGGAAACCTGTGAGTTTTTATTTAAACCTGTTGCATGTCTCTTTGCGTACAGTGGATTAGAGTAATTACAAAATCTGTGCTGTTTGTGTGTCTGTGTAAAATCATTGACAGGTTATATTTAGTAGAGGGGAAGTGCCGCTATACAATGTGGAGAACTGAGATTGTTTTTTGTTAAACACTTATTAAATACTAAAAACCAAAGAAAAACAAGTTACCTGTGCTCTCTCCTTAATCCCTATGTATTTTTAAACAAATTGAGGTTTTTAGTTACCTCCAATGGCCATGAGAGGGTAAGCCCACCTGCCAACGTCAAGGCAGACCCCCCCTAAATGGGTCCTAACTCTAACCATTCACCTTGAGCTTCTAGCAAAGACATCTCTAATTAAACAGAAGTGGGTATTTTTTATAAACACCCCTATACATTTATTAACCCTTAATAGGGAACACATAGGATGGGCAGCAGCATTGTAACAAAGCTGTGTGATACAAAATAAATACAAATACAAAAAGAGAAGTCCTGCGCTCACTCCCATCACTACTGGGCGGCAGCAATGACTACAGTACACATCAGCCCCAATGTATAGTAAAAACCAAACCAAATACCCCCTTCTGTCTCATTAGAGATGTCTTTGCCAGAAGCTCAAGGAAGCAAGGTGAATTGTTAGTCAGGACCCACCTAGGGGGGGGTCTGCCTTGACGTTGATAGGTGGGCTTACCCTCTCATGGCCATTGGAGGTAACTAAAAACCTCCATTTGTTTAAAAATACATAGGGATTAAGGAGAGAGCGCAGGTAACTTGTTTTTCTTTAGTTTTTACTATATATTGGGGCTGATGTGTACTGTAGTCATTGCTGCTGCCAAGTAGTGATGGGAGTGAGCGCAGGACTTATCTTTTTGCATTTGTATCCCCTTATTAAATACTGATTGCAAAGCGTTCCCTCTAATTTATAGCAGGATCATATGTGGCAAACGCTTTTCGGTACTTAAGAGGAATTAGAAAAGCTCCACCATCTGTACTCCTGAAACCTTGATCTTCCATGAGTGGGAATGTGTAGCATATGTTCATGACACCATGAGCTCTCGTCTGTAGGAGTAGTTGGTGTACATGCCTGATACCTAATCTCTCATATTTAGGGCAACATTCTATGGGGGGCTAAGCAGCAAGCTCTCGTTGGGGGCAGGAGGTCCTTAAATCTTCTCCCTGACAGAATGTTTAGTATGTAACATAATCTAGAGAATAGTGTGACATGAGTGCTAAATTTAAGGTGTGACTGACGTTGGCTGCTGAAAATGTGTCTATACCTTCACATGTGTGTTCCTCTGATTACAACGTTTGTGCGACTGCACCTAGAACTGAAAGCTATGGCTCCACTTGGTGACTCATTCACTAATCTGGAAAATTTAGGCCAAAATAGCTAACCAGGAAACATAGATATGATGATGGATGTTTCCAACCTGACTGTCTTCACATATTTCCATAATTCCCATTTTAGTGAATGAACCTTTCATTTGGCTATAACATAGATTGCCATATGTTTTTTTTCTTCTAGTTGAAATGTTTGACTGTAGAATCAAGGGTTCTCCTACACTCCCTCTACAAACAAGGTTCTTAACTGGACCTGAGGCTGGCTAGACCATGGTCAATAGTAAAACAAGATGGTCCTGTCACTCAAGGTGTTTAACAAGGCAGTTTTAGTAAAGAACAACGTTTCAACCTCTACTGAGGTCTTTATCAAGCTTGATAAAAGATCTCTGTAGAGGTCAAAACGCTGCTGTGTTCTTCAGTAAAACTGCCTTGTTACACACATTCAGTGCCTGGATCATTCTTCTAAGATGTTATTAAACTGACTTTTGCAGTTTGAATTTTAATGAGCTGCAGGTTCGTTGTAGTGAATAATAACTTCATTACAAAGGCAAATTTTTTTAAACCATTGTCACTATTTTGTGCATTTTTTTTTCTGTTTTGCATTTATACTTGATGCAGACTTTATGCGTAGTGAGAATTCTATGTATTTTTGTGTAATCGTTCCATAAGAGACATTAATTTTTCTTCTTTATTTTCTTCTTCCAGGCTCTGCAGTTTATACACCGTTGGAGTGGGCAATGCTGTGACCATTTTAGTTAATAATAAATTGTGTACTATCTGGCACAAGTCCTTATTTTCCTTAAAACTGCTTTAAAAAAAAATTCAGTCTAGTCATTCCATGAATACGTAGTTTGTGACAATCTCTACAGCAGCTCTTGTAGACCGATAACTGTTACAGCTCAAACTTGGGAAGAATTTGCCATTAACTCGCAATTTAGAAGTGCTGGAGCTGACCCCTTCTTTCCTTTCTTTTTCTACAAACCTGCTAACATCCTTCTCTATTGGAGAAAAGCATCTCAATAGCCATTCTAGATTGTTCTAGAATATGTAGTTATGTAGTAACCTTGCTAATGTTTAGCTGTTAAAAATTTGATTTAAGTGAAATAATAAAATGTCCACATTCGCTTGCATTGAGCTCTTAGACAGGTTTTTGTTCTGTATTTAAAGGAATTGTGTCACCAAAACTAAAATTACATAAAGGATTATTCAATAAAGTGTGTGTTCGGAATTCAAAATTAATTCCAAGTGAATCTCACGATTTTAAAAGCCAAAATAGCAGAATTCCATAAGTTGGTTTTGTTTTGGTTGTGTTTTTTTTTTGCATAATCTCCAAGTGGGCTATGTTTTCATTTGGCAAAAAAAATATAAACTTCATTATGATATCACAGTTTAATGAATAAGTGCTGTTTTGTAGAAACAGAATATCTAGATTTTGGCAATGGACAATGATGGATAACCTTTCTCCCACAGCTATTATGGAGTACGGTCCATCTAACCAGTTTAGGGAACTAGTTCTAGAATGCCCATAGGCAAGCAGTCACTGGGATTGGATTAGGATTATAACATTGCAGCCCTGCCTTGTCAAGGAAACTCTCTCCAATGCCCGTGTGCCAAGGCGGTTTATTGAATTTCTAGATATTTTATTTTCTTGATCTGAGTATTTTGTTAGCTGATCTGTATCACAAATGGCCCTCGATTTAATAAGTTTTCCAAATGATTGAATACTGTCCCCATAAATTACTGTAAAAGTAAATGGTGTCTTTTGTGGATAGATGTTTTGGGACTTAAGGAAAGTTTTCCCAACCGTATTGAATCATTTGGAAAGTGTGTTAAATCGAGGCCAGAGTTCTTTAGTTTTGGAAATGAATACGTAATACGATGTGACAGGTTCACTTTAACTACATAAGCCTGTATAAAATAACAAAAGCACTTGAAGATAACGTGACCGTGTTTGTTATACTACAATTGACAAATAAAACCTAGGTTTTTGTATTGAAATGTGTAATGTTTGTTTTTATTATATGCTGTAAGGAAAAAAAACTTGAAAAATCAACTTTTCTTTTATGTTCTTTTTGCTGCCCTCAAATACCAGCACAAGCTGAATGTGCCTCTGTGCAGGTCAAAATATTGCTCTTTGTTCCAATAAATTTTCTTTGTGCAATATCCTGAGTGCCCATACCTAGCTTTCTTCATTCCCTCAAACAAAAAGTGTCTCACCCAGAGATAATTGGAGGGCCATAGTGATATATTTACAACAACACCGCTCCACTTTTCCTCCACTCAGCATCATTATAGTGCTTATCTATTACTTCGACTTAAAGAAATAAGCCTTTGCTAAACCCATCTTATTTTTGTTGTCTATTTTATCTACTATATATTTATCTATATTATCTAAATGCTTTTACTTACCAACCTTAGCAATTGTCAGTGGCCTGGGGCGGAGGTGTGGGGTTGATACACAACTGCTTTGCAATACCATTTCTGTTATGCTATCCAATTTACTACCCATGGTCTCCTATAAAGAGATTGCAGCAGAGCAATCAGGATCTCTGCTATAATCCTCTGGAGATGGAAGGGAGGTGCTGGTTAATAGATATAGCCCATTTCATCCGGTAAGTAGACGACACACAGTTCTTGGAGTCAGCTGACTTTTATTAGCCCACACATGGCCTTTTATGCACAGCCCCACAGTATGGGGTCTCAAGGACAAGTTGACAGGGAATTTTCCCAAGATGCACTGGGTCTGAGAGATAATTGAGCTGGCAATTTTAGATAACTCAATTATCTCAGCTACATGAAATATATATATTTTTATAAAACAGTACAGGAACCTCACAATTCTTATATCCACGAATAAACTGAATCTGAGCGCACAACATATCCAAAAAGCGCTCAGATTGGTTCGGTGGAACGAGTTCGCTATTCGGGAGAAGATTTCACCGGCCGGCCACGAGGTGATGCCCCAAAAGAGTTCCAGAGAATCCAGGGCTGTAGCCAGTCGCCAGTCTTGGTTTGGGAGTTCCTGCATGAACACCGACAAATGCTCCCCCTGGCTCGCTACTTCGGGAAAGTATACAGGCAGCAGTACCATCTTGACCGGTGTTCGTGAGAACGTGTAGCCAAAATTAGTTCCACGCACTCGATGACCCAGTACTGCTGCCTGAGTTCAGGAGACAAAATGGAGCACTCAAGTACTACTTAATTGCGGTTAACAGCCAGGGGTGATCGGTGTTCTAAATCAATAACCGGGGCAAACCACACAGGTTCTGTTCGGTACCCGATAAGGCGGATACAGAGTTGTTCGTAAGAATTCCAGATGGGTTTGGGCAACCTCCAGAGACTGATGCCAGGTCCACCACATATATGTTTTTGAAAACAACTCAATGCTTACTATACACCTCACAGACTCCACGAGATGGCAAGAAAAGAAACCCAACTGCTTCAAATCTCCACAACCTAACACAAACTTATCACTGTTTGTTGGAGTACTCCCTGATTCCATCATTCTGGAGGGAACTTGGGATGTTCTTTAAAACTAAAATGCCCATCACTCAATCACAACTTCCTTACACTGGGACCTCTCCCAAATAATCATATCCCCCACAAAAAAACAAAACCTTAGTTGCCGCACTGAGTCGTAAGACTTTAGCCCAGTCTGGAACCATCAGGGTATCCCACCTATACATTTTTTATTTTTTTATTTATTGTAAACTTTTTACTTATTTTTGCTGTGGAATGACACAATAAAAGCTGGCCGAGGCCATAGAAATCCACACAGTATTTTTGTAACATAATAAAAACAATACTATTTTCTAAATATACAACGTTGGACTGAGAAAACTATATACATTTATTTTTAAATTGATTGGTTATACACATTAACAAATAAAGAACTCCTAATAAAAGAATTATTGGAAATCTTATATCACTGCTTTGGCTTCATCCTTCCAATCAAGGATCAGGGCTACTCTGGAGTTCACAACATGGTTCTTGACAGAAGTTATAACGGGACATTACCCCTTCCTAAAGAAACTCCTAATCTTTAAGTAAAAGTCACTTACCTGTCATCTCTCTGGGGTGTAGGAGAGTAGGAAGGTCCTGAGAAGGGGCAATATTTCGAGGAATTATAGATTTTATATTTTAGTTTTAGAGTGGTTCATTTAATTTGATACTTACAAATAGCTAGCCAATCTGTACACGCTATTGCTCAGACTTTGACGAATGGTCACATAGTGAGTTATTGGTTATAATTTTTAATGGTTACACAAAAGTAAAATTAAATTGGAATATCTAATGTCATGTTCTATTGTACACAATGTCTCAAATTGATAATCATCTACGCAATGTCCTATGATGGCTATATTTATTAGGATTTGTTAAAGATCTATGACATTCTTAATAAACATAAGCTGGAACACAAATCTAGATGCTAATACTGTTTTATATTTGAAGTCGCCAAGCCACTGCTTATACCTTCCCTTTGGCACGAGGTTGCATTCTAAAAAGAAGAATATAGCTAGGAAATGCCTTCTGACATCTATTGACAAAACAAACTGTTGGATCAATTTGATCTAATTCTAAACTGCTGTTTGGTCTCAATGTTTGCAAATAGTTTAGTCAACATTCAGGATTTTAATTGTTATTTTACTGCTATCCTGCTTAAGGCATACCTAAACTAATTTCTAATGACGGATTTAACATTCCTAAAGAACCTGATACTCGGTTAGAATGATTACTCGTTAAAGGGTCAAAGGCCATACAATTTAGCACTCACAGAAAGCTTAGTTGCTTCCAAAAATTTGAATAAAAGAAACATGGGTCTCCACAGGTTGGTTTTTGACAGTAGCAGAGTAAGCATACAACATTGCAATGTAATACTAAAAAGAAAAATCTTAATTATTAAAGACAAACCAGTAATAATTGGTAATATATAAACCGTGAGCATTAGAAAGAAGGTAGCAGCAGTGGTAAATCCTGAAGGATCATGAAACAGCGTATGAGTGATAGAATACACAGCAAATGCAAACACACTGCATGCAAAGACATACAACATTCATTTCATTCAACGTCAATGGCAGTTGTTGGCTGGGTTAGCCTAATGTCAGCCCATTCAAAAATTGGCGTTGATAATACAGAAGTATTGATTTTTAATTATAGAAGCTGGAAAACCCCCCAGTTTATGTTAAACTATTTTTAACCAGTTTGATATTAAAGTGGTGGAGCCAGGATGCCCTAGGGAACATAACAACTACAGCTCTCTGTAGTACTTGTTGTAAAGTTACCCTTTTAATTATTTTCTAAAACTGATGACCTTTATCAAGAGGTTTCCTTCAATTCTAGAATAATTAACTATATTCTGTAAAACTCATGACTGATGACTCCTTCGATCATCAAATCCTGCTACCCTTCCATTCCCAATAAGTAAAGCAACACCATGTTAAGTAAAGCAACGGCCACAGCTTTATTTAAACCAGCACATCCAAATATTGTCAGCTGCTGGTTTTACCCAGCAGACAGGTACACTTTAAACGCCTTTCAGAGCCTCTTCAGCCCATCCTTCATCATCATCCAAATTCAGACTGCGACTCCCCAAGCCCGTCCAGGCATTATTCATTTACCAAACTCGCTGGCGCAGGAAATCCGCCACTGCAGACCCCCACCCCTACTACAGGCAGAGGGAGAAGGCATCCCCCCAAAGCCAGCGCTTGTTCAATTATTGATTGTACCCCACAGTAAATAAATCCAAACCTATATGAGTAAGGTGTACCAAATCAGTACGCATAACATTCTAGTTATCTCTTTCTAGTTCAACATGATGAATCACCAATCCACCCAAACATTGTATAAATCATGATATTGTCATGTTGAAGCGACATCTACCTCTCTTAATCCCTTTGGTGTTCTGCGCTCTTGACCAAGATAATTACCACCAGCATGGATCAGCAGAATCTGCAGTATAACTGGTTCCGTCACATACTGCCAAAGTGATCACTCAAGATAAAATTGCTGCCAGAGAGACCCGCTGATCCCACACCACCTAACCTTCACCTGGTGATGAGGAATCCAAAGATTCTGGTCATCCGACCTCTGGTCTGCCTGACTAGCGGCCCAATAAATAAAAGAATAACTAGAAATAAAGAAATAAACAGAACATTAACCATTCCCAGGCAACTATAAAAGGTGTGGACAAACATACAATGGAAACCTGCTTAATTGCCACCGGCCCAGCTGCCGGATGGAAAAATTTGACAGACCTAACCTGCTTGCCTGTATTGTCGGAGCGATGCGGGGGTCAGATCTTAGCAGTAAGAGTTGACCATGGATGCCAGATTTTGTTGTATAAATTAATTCTCGGCTCATCGTCATTATAAAAGTATTTTTTGGAAAATCAATTTGGGCTTTAATCTCTAGCAACGAGGTCTTTCTGCTTCCTAAATGCGAGCAAGACATTGATAAGGACGGATGTCTGTTAAGTGTTGGAATATCTAGATGGACAAGAAATGTTTGTGGGGTTAATTCTGAACTAAGTCTGAATACATTTCTAAGCAAATTTGTAAGTGTACCTTTAAGTTTATATAGGCAGCCACATGCCAGCCAAAATGAAAATTGACTGCCCAGCTCAAGTTGGCATATCTAACAGTATTTATCAGAGCCCAGCTGGAATTTAGTCAATCTATATGGAACCATATACCATCGGTGAGTAAGCTTAAAAAATTGCTCATGCAAATCTGAACTGCTTTCCTGGTGGTACACCAGGCTTTAAACCAAATCTGCAAAGGATAAGACTGTCCCTTGTCTAACTCCCACTGCAGGAAAGCCCTGGGTTTCTCAATCAATGTATTGGAATCAAAAAATCTTAAGGTCTGTTTTTCAAAGTGTCTGGAGACAAAAAATCCTCCCACGCCTGTGGAGGCGTAGGAGGATTTGATATAAGAAAGGACTTAATCCTAAAATAATTGAAGAGCTCATGAGCCGTGAGATCATATTTACAACGTGGAGTTGCAAAAAAGGCCAAAATTTTGTTCAGACATAGGTCCTCAATTATCAGGATGCCACTATTTATCCAAGTTGTTATGGTGACATCAGGCAAGCACATTGAGATTACTTCCAGAGGTGCCAGTTTAGAAAAAGAGTTTTTAAACTTTATTTGGTTTTTTACATAA